CAGACCTTCACCATGACCAAGCAGCTGAAACGAGCCGCTGCTTCTCCTCATCAAAAGGAGTAGTGACGCTGTCTGGTTTAGAGACAATGTCCACGAGGACAAGACCGCAGAGCTCAAGAGGCTCAGGTTCTCTTTGGATAGGATGGGTGGACATGATCAGGACCAAGTCCATCACAGGGATAGCTCATGTTAGATGTTTAGGAGATAAAGTCAGAGATTACAGACTGAGATGTTTGGACATGTCCAGAGGAGAGACAATGATGACATAGGTAGAAGGATGCTGAGGCTGGAGGCATCAGACAGGAGGCTGAGAGGAAGACCATGAAGGAGATTTATGGATGTGGAGAAAGACGACATGAAGTTAGTTGGACTTAATGGAGACAGCTGAAGGGGACAAGGCCAAAGAGAAGAAGACTTCAGGGCAGACCTAGAAATCACTGGGACAACATCTCCTCTCCAGCCTGGGAATGCTCCAGGAGGAGTTGGAAGTGGGATATCTGGGCTTCCCTTCAGGATTTGTTAGCTTAGCTGAGTGGAAAATGAATATCTGGATGGAAACCACTGGTTCAGCCTACAGCAGACACAGGAGGAGATGTGACACCATCTCTTCCTGGTCCCTCTGACTGTCTGCTGTTTATATTTAAAAAAATAAAAACAGATAATGGAGGGTAAAGGGAAATAAATGTTCAGTCAAGTCTAAAAATCACAATTTGGCACAAAACTGAAGCTTTTCAAACCCCTAAAAGCCCCTGACTGTTTTTGCACACGTGTGAGAATGCATGTGTCGGTCTCCACAGGGCCGCGTATCCATGGTTTCTAGAAAGGTTTTAAAGAGAGAACCAAACTTATTTTCTCCAGTGGCTGAGTTTACTCCTCGCTAGGAATTGACAGGAGCAGTCTATGTTCGGAGGGATGACTGAGACAGAGAGACAGGTTTCCCTCCAACCTGGGATAACAAGTGCAATCAGAACTTTCTTTGGTGCTGTGACAGCGTTCCCACAAGGATTCAGGTCATTGTTTAATAAGAGAACCCAGGATCGGAAGGCAAAACAGAAGAAAGACTATATTGTTTAATTGAAAATATGCTTTATATCTTATTGAAACTAAGTTTGCAGCTTTCATTGTGGTAAAAATCTTCACACAACCCCTTGTAATGCCCTGAAAATGCATAGATACCAAAACAAAGAGGTTTTGATCTCACACAAGTCCTCCATCTGAGTTCAGCTGAGCAATTTTTTCCAAGTCCTTCTTTATATCTGGGAAGCCCTTGAGTGTGTTCTGGAAGTCGTGCCAGGACAGACAGAAGCACTGGCAGTCAGTCAGCGCCTTCACTGTGGCCAGATGTTTGCCTTTGGTCAGCACACATGTCTCTGTAGACACAGAAGCAGGGCTGCGTTTAATGAGCGAGTAAACCCTAATGATGGAGATGAGCTCTGACAATTAATCCCAAATAAATGACAAGAATCTCAAGAGGCATTAGTGGAGGACTGCTTCGCTCTAGATTCTGGGATGCCAAAACGGTTAGGATGTGTGCCAGCCTAAAAAGAAATGTAGCATTCAAAGGTAAAAAAAAACCCAAAACATTTTGTTTGTTCTCCTTTTTTCAGTGATTGATCTCTTAACCCCTTCAAGGCTATTGTTGTAAATTAGCATTAAACTCTTTTAGACCTTACAGAGTATCAGGATTAGTACATTCATCACAAACCTGCCTTATCCAGGTCCAACTACTGCCCTCGGGTGGTGGATCTACGGGTGGCACGGGCCAATTTTATTTCTTATATATAAATTTGTTGATATGCAATTACATCATGAAATAAAACTTATTATAGTTGTTTTATTCACAATAGAGAAAATACCATATTTTCCGGACTATGAGCCGTTACTTTTTCCCATGCATTGAACCATGCGACTTATAATGAGGTGCAGCTTTAGTCAACCAGAAAGGATGGATGCTAGAAAGTCTAATGAAGGAATGGTTAAAGGAGTACTACGGAAAGCGCCCAGGAGGATTTTTTTCACAGTAAAATGGTGCTGCTTGTTTTCCCAGCTTCACCCCGGGATGATGACAGCAACACGGAGAGCGACACTGACATCGCCACAGAAAAGGTATGTGATGAAGCTCTTCTGAGGCTGTTCTACTCCGACACTGAAGAAGATGACTTCAGTGGTTTCAGTGCGCAGGAGGACGATGAATAAACTAATCAATAACTTTTCTGTTTTGTTTGATACTGATCAGTTCAGTTACGTTCAGTTAAACTACGTTTTCAATTCAGTAGATGTCTGCGGCTTTTAGCCCGGTGTGGCTAACCCCCAAATTCCACTACCTCCGCTCCGCTCCACTGCGGTCCGCCCCCGCCTTCCGCAGCCGCTCGCTTCCGAACTCAATTTTTACTGGTATGCGCTCTACAACGGCTCCGCTCCGGTGCGGAGACCTGAGGTGGGCAAACAAGCATGCGCGGGATTTTCAAGATCTTGCGATACAGTCCAAGCAATAAACGCGGAAGTTAGATCCAAACACCCGTTGTGTGGGAGAAGCATCGGCATGAACTGTTTAATCTGCCCATCATTTGTGTAGAGAGATCAGCAGTGTTTGGATCAACAAAGTGTGACTACTTTGATAGTGGAAACTGTATTTATGGCTTATTTTTGTGCATTTAAAGTTCAACCGCCATTGACAGTTGTTAAAAGTTGTTAAACCTGTGCATATGAAACCAAAAACGCCTTTTGTTTATCGATTTATTGTGAAAAACGGAAGTTGTGCTTGCTCCTTTTCCTGTTGGGCGGTGGTGATTTCTGTCCATTGACTGCGGAGGTGCTCCGGCGTCCGGCGAAAATAGGATTGATTCTATTTTTGCCGGACGCCGGAACAGAGGGCGGCGCACGGCGCTGCACTGCCGGAGCACGGCCGCAGTAGTGGAATTGCTCTGATTGACTACAACGGGACCGATTTTGCTCCGGCGTTCGTGTCGGAGCGGAGCGGATTTAGTGGAATTTGGGGGTTACACTGAGGCGCGCTCTATAGTCCGGAAATTACGGTAGTTCAGCTTTAAAAGCCCTTTTAAAAAGGCACCATGCCAGCAAGTCAGCGTAATATTACTGCAACGGTGTGTCTTATAAACGCTCCATGCCGGCACGGCGATGTGCGAATTTGCGACTTACGTTCCACTTTGCTTGGTAGTAATGTTGCGGTCATTGTCTGTCTTATAGATGGCGACTGAAACTTGGCGCAACAATTCAATTCAATTCAATTCAATTCAATTCAATTCAATTATATAGCGCCAATTCACGACAAGAGTCGTCTCAAGGCACTTCACAAAGTAAACATTCTAATACAGGTCAGTTCATTAAGCCAATCAGAATAAAGTTTCCTATATAACGAACCCAGCAGGTTCCATCGAGTCTCTCACTAGTGTCAGAGTCTTTACAGCAATCCTCATACTAAGCAAGCATGTAGCGACAGTGGAGAGGAAAACTCCCTTTTAACAGGAAGAAACCTTCAGAGAATCCTGGCTCAGTATAAGCAGCCTTCCACCACGACTCACTGGGGATCGAGAAGACAGACACACACACATACACACACACACACACACACACACACACACACACACACACACGCACGCACGCACGCACGCACGCACGCACGCACGCACACACACAACGTAGTGTGTCTTTGGTTACATTGTGATTTCTTAGTAAATATTCTATTTGGCGAGAGGTAAACTTTATTGTATTTATCCTAGTGAATCTATAATTAAATGGGTAAACTAGCAGTAGCACATCCAACGTCAAGGAAAGCAAAAGGTTATTATCAGGGGAGGGAGAATGTTTATGTGGTTAGCAGCAGTGTGCTAGACGATGGCCCCCTCCATGAGGCCACCACAGCTCAGCAGAACATCATTGTAGCTTCTTCTGGGGAGAAAAACACTTAGAGAAAAAATAAAGTTAACAGCTGAAATTGCAGGAAATACTACAGTTAAAGAGCAGATTGTAGAAGAAAGTAGAAGAGTGTGGAAAGTGGTCAGTATGTCCTCCAGCAGTCTAAGCCTATAGCAGCATAACTACAGAGATAACTCTGGATAATCTAGCCTACAGCAGCATAACTACAGAGATAACTCTGGATACTCTAGCCTTTTAAATGGAGGCATTTTGGAGGCAGGGCAAGAGAGAGCCGTCTTTACCGACTGTACACTCCACCTCCCTCTACTCCCCCACTTGTCCAGATCTGGGCAAACATCAGATTTTAACCATAGGCCCTATGAAATAAAAATGTTTTAAGCCTAGTCTTAAAAGTAGACAAGGTGTCTGCCTCACGGACTAAAGCTGGGAGCTGGTTCCACAGGAGAGGAGCCTGATAGGTAAAAGATCTGCCTCCCATCGTATATTTAGATATTCTGGGAATGAGTAAAACTTTGTGTGCCCGTTGCCCCCACCCCACTCCTTGTACAAACATCTGCCCCTGAAAAAGGAGCACCAGAGAAAACGATTCACATGGCACTCATTCATACCGGAGACCACAGCAAAGTCATTGAAAAAATTGGTGAACTTAAGGGGTTAAACTGGGAGGAAGGCTGTATGAGAAAAGTTTCGATCTGTCTAGTTAGACACAAGGACAAGTGGCTCAGCTTCGACAAACCAGTTGGAATTTAACACTAAAAAGCTCAGAAACTCCTTTTTCTCAAACCTCTATGTCCACAAATGTTCCACAGAGACAGCCCGGTCTCTTCTTCTCATTTTATCCACGTGTGTTTTCCCTCCCTCTGAAAAAGTAAAGCATGTTTATCCAAGCTGGTGGCTTGCTTATGGTGTAATAACCAGACACTGTGTCCTGACCGTGCTTCACCTCAGCTTCACCTAGCGCCGGGAGGGTGAACAGCTGATCAGATGACACAGAGGACAAACTGTCAGAAGTTAACAACAGAAAACCATAAAAAACAACCCTTTTTAAAACGAATCTGTAACGTGTCTGTGGACTGCCATATGCCAGACTCATTTTTAGAAACTTCATTTGTTTCAGACAGCAAACATGGGTACATCACATTGTGCAGTGGATATAATAAAATCTCAATACCAGCCACTGTCCAAAATAAGGTTTAATAGATGCCAGCCCATACGACCTCTTCAGCAGCAGAATTACGTCACAAACACCTGCCAGAGATTTCAGTTTATTAACAGTCAAAAGCCACAAAGATTGGGAGGAGTAGATGGATGTGGACTTGTTCTAGGCTGGCAGAAATATCTGGTCACAGCAGCGGTCTGACTACTCAACTTTCTCAGTAAAATTTGGTCGAGCTTCTCACATCAAATTACCACAGAGCAACACATCGTTGGTGAGTGGAAGCTGCCACGGACTACTAACTGAAGGAATCCTGATGTTAAAGTTGAGGAAGCCCTTGGAGAAGCACGCCGTCACTCAAACGTGTGCCACTTTCTTCCTGGAGAAGTACTTTGCCATCAGTACAGTGTTTGTGGGAATAATGAATGTTATGATAAACCCTTACTAACTAGACAAACTGACTGAACGAACAATTTAAAATGACTTTTTAAAATTATGGAGGCAGTGACAAATGGATTTAAACTAACAAACTTACACAGGTTGGGTAGACTACATTAGTTATCTTACAAAGTTTAACTGCTTGTAAATAAGTGATCAGTATAGAGAAGCAGGAGGGCCAGTTTAAACCATGCTTATGGGAGTGATAACTACTATTAAAGCTGTTATAGCAAAGTTGCAAACAAGCCAGGTTTTGAACTCAAACACGGTCACAGAACACTCACCCCTTCCCTCAGGTATCTGTGTCGACTGGAGTCGGAAATCCGCATTGCCAGAGAAAACGAGATGGGGCTAAACACCAGTCACAGTTTTTACATCCAAACATCTTTTGTTGCCCGTGACTTCAAAGGGACTTTACAGACTTTTGAATTTTTATGCTCGTGATTGCCCCCTCAGGCCAAAAGCGTAATGGCAGCTTCAATAGTAGGCTCGTGCACGAGGCGTGCATGCTGTACGTGCACACTCCTTAACGAAAATAACAGCTGAGACAGTCCCTTGTGTGTGTCTGTGTGTGTGTGTGTTTGTGTGTGGCCCGGAGGACAGAGGACAGGAGAATGCGCAGCTAATGAATTAAATAATTTGGTTCTGTACCTTTCTCTTCAGCACAGCCGACAAAGGTTTAAGATGGGTCAGTCCTCCTGCATGCTTAGATCATTCCCTTCCCTTGCTTGAAAAATTGCTCCAAAATGAAAGTTGAACCCACATCTTTTTTATCTGTGAATTCAATGCTGTTTGGCGAGTCTCAAATAAAAATTTGGGCATCTTACTGTAAAAAATATACCACTAATGTAAAAAAGAAACTTTAAATGAACTATGTTCACATCCAGAATCAAACCCAGGTCTTCTGCATGAGAGTCAGACATCTTGCTAGGTGAGCAACACACAGTATCTGTAACATTTATATCCTTGATGACAGCTGAAACAACGTCAAACCAAAGAACGGTTCGAGCGAAAATGGCTATTTTGTTGCTAATTTGCAGGAAATATCTAGAAGAAAGTTCTACAGAAAGTAGCTAAGGGTCCTCAGAAATGTAGCTAGCTTTGTCACTAGGCGTTAGGAATAGCGACAAAGTGGCACTGCCTCACTCTCTGCTGCTGCTACTGATAGCAAATGCTACGGGCTATGCCTGAGCGTGAACGCGCATGAAGCAGCCTGCTCGACCCGAGCAACTCTCTTTTTCTGTTATTTTACAGAAAAACAGGCAATCACAGTAAAAATGCCAGGGCTCATTCTACAGGACCAGGGCATTGCAGGAGAATGTATGAAGAAGACATTTATTATTTCCATACATGTTTTGGCTGTCAAACTTCCATAATGCCCCTTTCAAATGGGGTTTTCTTTTTGGGGCTCCGGTAGTTTGTCCTAAAGGTGATGTGGTAGCAGCCGGCTGTTCTCCTTCACTGATATTGTTGAGCGGAGAACCTCTCACACTAATAGTGTTCTGTTGCTAAATGCGGGAGTGTGTAATGAGTGGAGGACCCAGGGAAGTGCGGCCTTTCAGCGAGACCAACATCCGGATGGTCTAACAGTTTTTCGGTCCAAAATGAGTTATTGGTGGAAGTATTTAGATAAATGCTAGAGAACCACTTCATTAAAAAAAATTTTGTTTTGTTTTTTTAAACCTCCACAATATATTTATTTACTAGGTTAGTGTTCATAAGAGGCATACAGATGTTTTAAGCCAATTTTTCCCCCAAATTTGCTATTGCAGCTTTAACAGACATTCAATGCAGTTATTTTATTAAAGTAAATAACTAACTTAGGTCACATTGCTGTAATATTACGCTGATATGCCAGCATGGTGTGTCCTATAAAAGCACCTTTAGTGACGTCATGTGTTATCGCAATATTGCGGTATTGCGATATAGCCGAAAACTCTATCATTACCCAATTTTATATCATTTCTACCTTATATCGTTTATATTGCCCACCCCTAAGGTGCAGCAGTGGCTGCGCTTGGGAACTATTTGGTGGTAATAATAGATAGTCAGACATTATAGAGACCATAGCGTGTGTGGCAGAAGCTACTGAGGCAATGTATTTAGTTCCAGATGTAAATTTTTGGGATGTTTGATGGTACGTCGTTGCTAGGTCGCTGCTAGATGCTGATTCAATGACATCACCACGCCATCGCGAGTCTTTGGGCAGCAGTGTGCAAAGATCCAACTGAAACATCGGACATTCAGACAGTGATGGAGGGTTCGACTGCCCCCTAGGCTTTACCTGGTCAGGCTGAGGAACGTCACCTTCCACTCCCCACACAATCAACCATGATGCTTTCACAATAAGACTTTGTCCAAATGAAGGATAATCTTGTTTCCTTTGTGCCAATTTCTACTGTTTCATAACATGACACATCTAATGCTTCTTGGCAAAGAAGAAGCATTTAAAACGACATTCTCATGAAAGAACAGCGGTGAAATGTAACAACCCTGGTGACTGTTGTGAGAAAAATATGGTTTTTCCACCCTACCTCCAAAAAAGTCTCCATCACACAGCTCTCTCTCATAGGAATCGGACTCCAAGAGAACCTGGCCGTGATCGACGAAGAACATCCGATCACCAGGTACGTTCTGTCGAACGATGACGTCTCCCTCCAGGAAAACCTCATAATTCAGTTTGAGGAGGAGCTCGCTGATAAAGTTTTCATCTCTGTTCTGAAACATTGGCACGTTTCTTAGCAGCCGGCTGCACATCACCATCAGGATTTGCTGGAAAACACAATGCAAACATTACAAAGTGATAGTTCAAGATGCATTCTTAGATCTAAAACTGAGTCGACCGTGTCGGCACTAATGCAACTGGGCATGTCTGATGTTATTACGGCTGACAGTCGTGAAGGACAACTTCAAAGCCTTAAAAGCTGAACTAATCCACTGAGATGATTCATGCATGTTTCAGTATCAGGTGCATGAAAATAAAGTAAGACACCAGCGGTGCAACAAGACGTCACCTCTTTAAGTGAAGAGGACACCGTGTCCATGACGTACTTCTCATCAAACCACTTCCCCCCGTAGCGCGCCTGGTAATAGTTACTGATGCGAAGCTGGAGCTCTGGCGGGAGCTTCATGAAGGTCATGTAGTGCTCCAGACGACTCATCTGTAGACAGTCAGTGTTATGAAGCATCATTAAGAGTCAGGCATCTACTGGGGCTGCATATTTAATCTATGTTTGGTTTTCAGAATTAGCTGGCTTCAATTAAGATTGTAAGTGTCACCCATGAGGACCTTGCTCTTGTATTCCTTGGCTGCCGGGTCGAGGTTGGCGATCATGGTTGTAGCGTTAGCCACGAGGATGGTGTACATCATGCAGCCAGACACCATGCTAACCATGACGATCCACATCTCAATATAATCTACAAAGCAACAATTCACAGCAGCTTCAGGTCAGATCACTGTAAACCCAAATGTTGAAAATAATCAAATATATTGAGTAGGCGACACTCATAAATAAATAAAAGTTTTAAGAACTCAAATGTGTTATGTTAGTTCAATCTTCTCCTTGTTTTAAGTACATAGAACTCAAACGTTTTAATTAATCTGAAAATATATATATTTTTAGTGAGCATAACTGAAATAAATCAATAAAGAACAACTTAACTTGAATGAATAATATGAACTACAAATAATAATTTATAATTTTATGTTTCTTTATTATTCTATTCATCTTTATGTCAACTTAAAGTGTAATAAACAGACTTTTATATTTCTTAAAATATTTGTGGCTCTATAGGAAAAAACAAGCACAAACAAGCAATTTTGGTGGATTTCAGGCACAACAAAGAACTGATGGGTGAGGTGCATTGTGGGTAGTTATCAGAGGTGGAAAGAGTACTAAAATTTCCTACTTAAGTACGAGTACCAATACATGGATAATTTTTTACTCAAGTACAAGTAAAAGTACTTGCCTAAAGTTTTACTCAAGTAAAAGTAAAAAGTATTGTAAATAAAATGTACTCAAAGTAAAAGTTAGTTACATTTTTGTTGGCATAAAGATGGCTACATCAGTGCAAAATCACAACACCATTTCACAACACGCTTGTGTGTGCGAGCGCACACACACACACACACAGTTTGATGGAAGGATTTCTATCCAGTCAGTGAGAACAGGACGTGCACATTGATTGGACAAGGTTTTTCTAGGATTGTATGTTTCAGTTGGGATTAAAATTATTCTTTATTTTGAAAAAAGAAAAAAATGTTAATTTTTAGATGCCATCAGTATGTGAGGTATCTCAATGTTCTCATGACAAAACTCTAACATGAGACTGTGCTCTAACCTGTCACATAACAAGCTAAATGAAAGTCAAACATTTCAAATGGACCATATGACAGCTGTTAACGTTGGCCCTGTCCTACTTTACCTCTACATTACAGTTCCTTTATCCATGTCTATCATAGAGCTCCTCTCTGACCTTCATGCTTATTTAGAGCAGCTGATTTTTAAAGCTAGCAGAGTTCATCCTTGGTAGTTTTTACTCACTCATTTAACCCTTCACCACTGAAACCAGTTTGTTCATTCCAATCCTCCTAAATAATCCTCCAATCATCCAACTGGAATCCTTAAGGGTCCCGTAACATCTATCCTATCAGAACAGGCCTTGGGAGCCCAGGTGTTACTAGAACTAATGGTGTCTCCTCACCAGCGTGAGCCTGTCATGGTCTGCGTCTGCCCCTTCCTTCATGTGTCTCCTGATGTTTCCTGAGCCATTACTTCAGCCAAGATATAAGATGCATGGATTTGATGAAACCATGCTGTCTCATGCAGTCCTATATGTGCAACACACACACACACACACACACACACACACACACACACACACACACACACACACACACACACACACACACACACACACACACACACACACACACACACACGTCATGACTAATTTAACTACACTGAACTGCTTCTGTAATAATTTAATCTCTTATTCTGGAGTAAGATAAAGAAACAAGCTAAATCATCACATATCTGTGGCATCAAGAAGCAACTTCTGAGTTCAAACACAGGGATGGAGCACAATGTTTACACCTGAACAGCATCAGGATGTTTTAACTCACAGAGGCCTGCAGGTCTTCTGTTTTATGCAAGCCCCCACAATGCGGCTCAGAAAATGGTCTCAACCCGGAAGAACCAAAAATTGCAGTTCCACCCTCATCCACTGGGGGCTGGTGTCAGAAGCGAGCAAATCCTCATTGACTCCCATGTTAAAAATACCAATTTCACAGCAGAAATAAACATGTTTACAGCCTGGTACCAAAACATGTTTTTTGTTTAAATTATCTAGTTTACACTCATGACAACTCTGAGGGGGGTGAATATTTTTCTCACTCTTCTGTTTAAGTGTATTAAAAGCCTAAAATTCTGTATAATTAATGAGCATCCGACACAAGTGACCGCCGCCTCAGACCCACGTGACCACGGAGCTAGCTCCGTGGAAAGGCCTCAGTAGAGCCTCGGTCTGGCCTGGAAACTGTTTCGGGATTTTGAGTCTCTGTGTTTGTGTATTCTTTTTTGGATATTATTTGTGCAATTGTTGGACAAAATGACTTGCTGTGGCATTAACTGCATTAATTGGCTTTGGATGCTTCACTCACTGGCTGGGTGTGTGAATCATGTGCTGATAGCAACTTACCTCGGTTAGTGTAGTACAACATTTTTTGAGTTATGTCAACTTATCAAGTTTGAGCAAAAAATATAAACATTTTGAGTATATTTTCCAAACAATGAGTTGAAAAATGTTGAAAATCTTGAGTGAATTACTCCCCAATTATAAGTTGAGGAACATCAATATTTTTAAGATAACAATGAGATAATTTAGGGCACCTGCCAATGTAATTTATATTTTATGTAAACTTAAAATATTTAAAAACATCACTTAAATATTTTTGTGTAATCTGTTTCAAAACAATTTTTGAGTTTTGTGAACTTATTAAGGTTTACAGTGTAGCAGGTTACAACCTAGAGAAAAGAGCAGATTAAAGAAACGTGTCTCAAATGAAAAATACAATGAAACTCTTACTTTCTGGAGCATCCATGGATCCGTAGGACAGGGCGATCATCTGGGAGAGAGCCCGAAAAACTCCCCACGAGTATTTTACAATTACTGTGGAATTCTGGGAAAAGGATACATGTTTCTATTTTCACGAATAAAGCAACATTTTTATTCATCAACGCTCGAGTCTGCGTTCTACCATCAGGTTCTCCTTCCGGACCCAACAGTCGCTAGGGAACTCCTCCAGCATGGGAACAAAGTACTGGATGCAGCCGTTCCAGTGACACAGCAAAAATATCATCATGAAGAGAGACAGGATGCGGAAGAAGAGACGCACCACTTCTAGGTTTGCATTCGACACCTGTCAAATGAGAGTAGGTGTAGTCACTCACACACATAAATGTGTTCAGCAGTAATCAGTACAGCTACCTCTGGAAATTGGTTTTTGTTTTCTTAGAGTTTTTTAGGTCCGCTTTTAAAAAATGCTGACACAGCAGGGAGATTTGCAGCTTCTAGACAACTGGTTTCAAATGACCACAATAGTAAAATCAGGCAGGAAACAGGAACAGTGGGCCGATCAAGCGAGTAAACCAGCAGATTAGTCAGATTATCCAAACAGCCTAATTAACACCTCAATAATTCAACGCCCTCTATGGTGGAAAATGGCTCACGGGCACAACAGCGATCACTTTAAACCAGCATCTCACTGGGCTGGTGCCTTTAGGAGGATGTTTCCAACATGTCTCAAGGTGACATTTGTAGACATGTTGACCAAATGTTGCTGTTTTTGCAGTTTCATTCGCAGTTCAGAGTCATTTTAACAGATTTTATTCTGCAGGTTGGTGCCTCCAGTAGGTCCCTGCCCAGTGAAGTACTGGTTTAGGTTTGTCCGATCAGGTTTATTAAAATTGTGCTGAAAACTTGTCACCTGTTCTTGTCTCGTTTTCCGGGACACCTGCACTGATTCAGCCATTCAACGTCTCATAAATCAGCACCAAGCGTGCAGATCGGGGTTAATACATGAGCTGAGCAGAAGAACGCACAGAAATAATAAAACTTCCTTGGTGTTATATTGCATCTGAACCAAGTTGGCACACAGAGACATCAGATTTAAGCTCAATAAGAGAGCATAAATCAGAAACTTACAACAGAAAGCTGGCAAAAGTGTCAAAACGCTGAGAATCCTGTTTCTCTGCAGGGGCCATACGCTATCACCATAACATCCCAATAAAGACGAATAAAATGGCCAATTAGACCAAGGTGGGTCACAACTCTTGAAACAATTTGGTAGTCAATAAGGAGAAAAGAGCTGCGGATGACGAGCGTTGGCCCGTGCATTGCCTTTGGCTCCCCATTCCAACTGCCCAGTCGTTGGATGAGGCGGGGGGGGGGGGGGGGGGGGTCATCGAGATAGCCAATACACACCTAACATCGATCTACGTCCCAATCCTCACCTATGGTCATGAGTTTTGGGTAATGACCGAAAGAACGAGATCGCGGATACAAGCGACTGAAATGAGTTTCCTCCGTAGGGTGGCCGGGCTCAGCCTTAGAGATAGGGTGAGGAGCTCGGACATTTGGGAGGGATTCAGAGTAGAAGCGCTGCTCCTCCGGATCGGCAGGAGTCAGTTGAGGTGGTTTGGGCATCTGGTCAGGATGCCTCCTGGACGCCTCCCTGGGGAGGTGTTTCAGGCATGTCCTGCCAGCAGGAGGCCCCCGGGTCCACCCAGGACACGTTGGAGAGGTTACATCTCCAATCTGGTCCGGGAGCGCCTTGGGGTCCTGCCGGAGGAGCTGGTGGAGGTGGCAGGGGAGAGGACGGTCTGGAGCTCCCTAGTTGGGATGCTGCCCCTGCTGTCATATTGTGGGGATGTTTAGGACCCAAATATGCAGATTACCCAGATGACAAGAGGCAGAAGTTGATTCAAAGTAAAAATCCTTTTATTGCAGGATGAATGAACAAAAATTAATCCTAGGCAGTGAGCCAAAAGTCCAAAAGTCCTGGAGCACAGGACACCCAAAGCTCTCTTAGAGCACAAAGTCAGAGGATCAAAAGGTCCTGAACACAGGACACCGAAAAATCTCCCAGAGCATGAAGACCTGGAGATGAAAAGCACAGACAGAGCACGAACAAACGCTAACAACAATACAATGGACCGACACAAAACAAAGACAAGTCAGGGCTTAAATACACAGGGAGGAGTAATTAGGGAAACAGGCCGCAGAAGTGTGGAGTGAGGGCTGGAGGGAAGACAGTTGAATATAATTATCTAAATGGGGAAAACAGAACCAGAGGAGGGCAAATAAACCTAAAACTCTAAAACACAAAACTAAGCCTAAAGTCTGAGGGAAGGACTTACACACACACAATAACACACACATACACTCACACACACATACACTCACACACACATACACTGAGCTGGGGATGACTGAATGATCTGAAGAGGGAAACCTAGAGGGCTGGAGATCTAGGGGCAAACGGAGAAAACCAGGAGACACATGAGGAAGATGCAGACATGACACATGAGGGCGCTAGAAGACACAAAAGGAGCACCTAGAGACAAATGAAGGACACAAGGAGACACATGAGGGGAGACGCAGACACAGACCATGACACCCGCGACCCGAACCTGGATAAGCGGAGGAAGACGACGACAATAATAAGACTGGCTGCTGGTTTATTCTGAACTACTTAATAGAAACATCTGATCTATCGCTCAAAACACAACAAAAGCTTGTTTTTTCAGGTTTTTGTTCTTTGATCCAGATGCAGCAGCCAGCCAGGATTAAGCAGCGCTGAAATGACATTTACGTGTCATCACTGCTGACTGAAGCTAGCAGCAGAGGTGTCAGCAGGTGACTCCCTTACTTTCTCCACTTCGTTGAAGAACCTGACCAGTCTGGACACTCGGGCCAGCCGGATCAGGCTGAGGATCCGCACAAACATCAGGATCCTCATCATCTTGTTGGTCTTGGACGGGCTGTCGTCGTTGTGGTAATGTAGGTCCTGAAACACAAAGAAAAGCACGTTCATCCACATTTACAGCAAGTTTGTTATTATTATATTTGGGACTTTCCATCTTTTGTTGCTGTTTAATGATTGAGTGTGTTTTCATATTCATTCAGGTGTTGTTACACTTTGGCTGTAATAATAAACCCTCACATATAACAGCACAGGAAACACGTTATTGCTCTGAGAGCTGAAGGATGCTTCGGCACGCTGCTCACTTTTAATGTACAGTTTTATTTCCTCATTATTACCGCAAACAGCAGAATGTATCCGATTGGGAATGCTGCTATGAGGTCTGGTATGAACCACGTCCTCAGGTAACTGACTCGGATCCTCTTGATATCTAGAATGGCTTCCTGAAAGAGAGAACAGCCGGATTTAGACAATCTGAGAAATAAAGTTCACAGGAGTTTGTCAGAGTTGCTGCTGAAGGATTTAAATAAATATTTTAAACAAATCTGTCAAAAGCAGATGTTTGTGCGGACAACAGCACAGATGGCTCATTTGTGATTAGCAAGAAACTGATGAGTCATTGAAAGCAAATGGGATGTGGCTTAAGTGATTGGAAATGTTATATAGTCATTTAACCAAAAACCCCATAATCCCTGTTATAAAATCTGACAGCAGGTGCCAACGTTGCCCATATCCAGAGCTCAGCAGGAGGTTAATCTAGCCTTTCGTGTGTATTGAGTATTACAGATGGGACAGAGGTGGATTGTGTGAGCTTGTCCGTGGAGGGATTATCATCTTCCCAGATTTTGTCTGAAAATAGAGCTCAGCCTCTCTCACCTCTGCGTCCTCCGTTATGATTCCCATCCGGAAGTTCAGAACCACGTCTAACAGGAACAAGGTGTCCGAGAACACATTAAAGCTTTCCCAGGCCAGGCCGCTGTGGCCGTCCATGAACGCTATCTCCATGGGAATCCCGATGAGGTTCAGAAACGTGATGGCCATCATGCACATGATGTAGTAACTCCTGCAGGAGAAGGATCACCCAAAAAAACCCCAACCTGTCAGGATGAGTGACCTTTGAGCACCGCTCAGATCAGTGATGCCTCACAGTGAAACGTCTGTGTGTCTGTCAGAGATCTCATTAGAGCGCTCTGACAGACGGTAAGGCAAGCTGATCCATGTAACGGCACATCTCCTCAGGCTGGATTCAGTAGCCTGGATCAAGTAACAGCACTGTTTCATTCCTTCTCTGTTTTCACTACAGATGATCACCTTTCGGACTAAAACCACAAAGTGTCAAAAGTATTCCCACTCATCACTCTGGTAGAAGTATGGGTACTAGGGTTTAAAAACACTTCGGTAGAAATTCAAGTATCAATTCGAGCTTTTTACTTGAGTAAAGGTAAAACACCCTGGTTTCAAATGTATAAAAGCAAAAGTGATGACAAAAGCTGCTCCACACCACACAACACCATGTTTTATACAAAGGTCATGACTATAGCGCTACGGAGAGGGGTGCAGGGTTTTCTCGGCACAGCCATCAGCGTATTGGACACTCCTGCATCAGGCTACCTGTTCAAGCCGTACATCCGCCCATTGAATGCATTTTAATGCAATGCAAAAACCAATAGGGGATCAAAACAGTAGATGCCTAAAACTACTATCCAACCACAATCAAATTCAATCTAACAAGAGTAGAACAGAACGACAATGGATAACTACTCCAGTGAAGTGTAAGTATAGATAACAAAGTATTTGTACTTTCTTACCATACATATTTACACTTCACTGGAGTAGTTATCCATTGTCGTTCTTTTCTACTCTTGTTAGATTGTTCATATATATATATATATATATATACATACACACACACACACACACACACACACACACACACACACACATATATATATATATATATATATATATATATATATATATGTATGTATATATGTGTGTATATAGGTATATATATATACATACACACACACACACACACACACACACACACACACACACACACACACACATATATATATATATATATATATATATATATATATGTATGCATGTATATATATGTATGTAAATATGTGTGTATATATGTATATATATATATATATATATATATGTATATATGTATGTATATATATGTATGTATATATGTATATGTATATATACGTATTTATGTATGTATATATATGTATATGTATATATATATATATATATATATGTACATAAATATATATATATGTAATGTATAAATACATATATACATATATATAATATATATATATATATATACATATACATACATATATGCATATATATACATATACACATATATACATATATATATATGTACAAATGTATATATAAATGTATATATATATATATATATATATACATACATATATATATATATATATATACATATACATATATGTATATATGTATGTATATATATGTATATGTATACATATATATATATGTATGTATATATATGTATATGTACATGTATATATATATGATATATATGTATATATATGTAATGTATATATACATATATGTATATAATGTATATATACATATATATGTATATATATACATATGTATATACATATATACATACATATATATGTATACATATATATGTGTATATATATATATACATGCATATATATATGTGTGTGTGTGTGTGTGTGTGTGTGTGTGTGTGTGTAAGTGTATGCAGTGTATAAATATAACAAATGTAAGGAATTTGTTCGGTTTTAAACATGCTAAAGCACAAATGTTTATAAAATGCTGCATAAACAAAGTTAATTATTACAGTATAATAACTCAAGTATAAAGATGCTGGTTAGGTTAGCATCATCATAACTTCTTTTTCCCTGGAACAAACACTTGATGATTTTGGACATTTTGTGCGCTAAGTTATTCTACAATCCAAGAACTTCAAAGGATATCTTTCCTCTGACTTAAAACTGTTCCATGAGGTGTACAAGTGAAAAGATGGAAAGAAGCAACCATGAGGAATGACTTAATGAGTGCCACTCACAGGTCTGACATGATTTAGTTGGATTAAATACCTCATGGGGCTAAAAGGGTGAATGACGAAGACTCCGCTGGCCAGCTGACGGATGCACTCCTTCTCCACTGCCACCTCGCTGCCGTACACATACAGAGACTGTCTGTTCAGCTGCGGCAGAAGCAGGGCTCTCCATCCACAGGTGGCTTTGGTGAATCCAGCTGTAGGACCTTTTAATTTCTCCATGGCGACTCGTAGTTTCCCCTGATCAGCTGAGAGCACGGGCCATCCGCCCCCTGGTGCTCTTTCTCCTCAGGTTGAGTCCTGACCTCTCTTCTTCTTGGTTTACATCAAACACCCAAACCTCACTGAGCCAGTGTGTGAAGGAGGAGAGAGGATACCCGCCTTTCTGCTCAATCCCTCCCTCCCTTCTGACTGTCTCTCTATTTTTGCCCCATCCCACCCCTTGCACTCCCTTTCTTTTTCTCCCAGCTCATCAACTATTCAGTAACCATTCTCACATGAATCAAGCCACGTCTCAGAGACAAGGTCCAGCTCATGGTGATACGAAGAACAACGGTGAGTGCACAAGCATGTGGAGGGGGTCAGGATGACTATGTTATTGGTCGGTGTGTGCAGAGACGGGTTCAGTCAGGGCCATCTCTTCCATGGATGTAATTAATCCCCGTCCTGTGAAACCTGATGCTGTACACACAGTCCACCGGCAGCTCGGAGCAACCCCTCCGTTGTTTGTTTGCACACCGAACACGGACAGGGCTGAAGGATTACTGAGGGCTGCAGAGTAAAATACAAAGATATATGAGAAGAATGAGATGATTCATTGCAAGCTGACAAATGTGATAAATGCAAGAATTAAGTTACATAATGTGACAGAAAAGTGGAATTAATTTATAGGAACTTGACAGTGGCTGTGACAAATGACTGGCATGGTTAGGTTTTGTCTTCGATGCCACTTCTACCTTTGACATATGAGATGTAAACACTTGAGATGCACAACATTCCCTCTCTGGTTTATGTTCATTATTTATTTTTGCTTTACAATATTCAATATTCAGACATTTTTTGCAAATCTTGTTGCCCCGACTGCAGATAAATACTGACCCCGTCTGCAAGTCTGTCCTACGCTGGCTTCAGCCTTTTAGACATAACATTTATTTTTATTTCAATTCTATGTTAAAAGTTAAACATTAAAGGGACTTTACAGACTTTTGAATTTTTATGCTCGTGATTACCCCCTCAGGCCCAAAGCGTAATGGCAGCTTCAACAGTAGGCTCGTGCACGAGGCGTGCATGCTGTACGTGCACACCCCTTAATGAAAATAACAGCTGAGACGGTCCCTTGTGTGTGTCTGTGTGTGTGTGTTTGTGTGTGTGTGTGTGTGGCCCGGAGGACAGAGGACAGGAGAACGCACAGCTAATTAATTAAATCATTTGGTTCTGTACCTTTAACTTCAGCACAGCCGACAAAGGTTTAAGATGGGTCAGTCCTCCTGCATGCTCAGATCATTCCCTTCCCTTGCTTGAAAAATTGTTCCAAAATGAAAGTTGAACCCACATCTTTTTTATCTGTGAATTCAATGCCGTTCGGCGAGTCGCAAATAAAAATTTGGGCATCTTACTGTAAAAAAATATACCATTAATGTAAAAAAGAAACTCTAAATGAACTATGTCCACATCCAGAATCAAACCCAGGACTTCTGAACAAGAGTCCAATGTCTTACTTAGTGAGCTAAAGCACCAGTGATGTTTTATGTATCTGTAACTTTTATATCCTTGATGACAGCTGAAACAACGTCAATCCAAAGAACGGTTCGAAGCGAAAATGAACTATGTTCACACCCAGAATCAAACCCAGGTCTTCTGCATGGGAGTCAGACATCTTACAAGGTGAGCTACACTCTAGTAACATTCACAGTATCTGTAACTTTATCCTTGATGACAGCTGAAACAACGTTCAATGAACAGTTCGGAGCGAAAATGGCTATTTTGTTGCTAATTTGCAGGAAATATCTAGAAGAAAGTTCTACAGAAAGTAGCTAAGGGTCCTCAAAAATGTAGCTAGGTTTGTCACTAGGCGTTAGGAACAGCGACAAAGTCGCTGAGTTGGCACTACCTCACTCTTTGCTGCTAAAGCTACTGATAGCAAATGCTACGGGCTATGCCTGAGTGTGAACGCGCATGAAGCAGCCTCTCGACCCAAGCAACTCTCTTTTTCTGTGATTTTACAGAAAAACAGGCAATCACAGTAAAAATGCCAGGGCTCATTCTACAAGACCAGGGCATTGCAGGAGAATGCATGAAGAAGACATTTATTATTTCTATACATGTTTCAGCTGTCAATCTTCCATAATGCCCCTTTAAGTGCTGAAAAACCTCCTTTATATAAATTAGCCCTCATCTTTTGAAGTGAAAGTGGTCGATGGAAGTACAAATGTGCCCTATAATGTAACAAATACAACCCATATGGTTATTTGAATTTAATAAAAAAGCCAAATGCATGACAATAAACACATATGAGACACGACACCTAGACAAGGATTTGACACTTTCTTCCCTAAACCATGCTACTGACCAGCTAAAGAGTTTTGTAGATGTAGAACATGAGAATCTGTCTGGTTTTGCGTTCATGAAAGAGGTTTTGCAGCTGGATTTTAACAAGATCCACAAGAAAATCCTTCTTAGCAGGTTTGTGGCCAAGGCACAGTGGCTTCAGTCCAACAAGCATCTCATGCTACATGAGTACAAAGAGCTCAAGAGGTGCTTTCTAAACATGCCAGTAAGGATGTTCGTGTGTTTCTGGGTGAAACTGCACAAAAGCCCAAAAAAAGGGCAAATGGTTTGATTTTGTTTCCCTGAACAAAAAAACACGAGTTACTTTATCCTCATGACAGGTCACCGAAGTCCTGCTGTGTTCATAGAAATGCAACAAATTATTTTACTGCCTTTAGATCCTGAAGTTTAAAGGGGCCCTTTCATGAAAAATCCTCTTTTTGGAGCTTCTCTGCATGTGCTATTGTTGTTTCCTCATGAAAAATACCCTCAAACCCATTTTTCTGCATTCATGCATTTTCCCGTTTCAGCTGCAAATTTGTATGTAGCTCATCACCATCAGCATGTGAATGGATGAAGGATTCACCAGAGTGTAAAGCACTTTGGAGTCCTCTGTCTCAGAAACGTGTGCAAGGGCAGGAATCACGTCATTAGAAGAAGCAAAAAGCTTTGCTGCGGAGCACGCTTCACCTGTGGCGCCGATCTGTGAAACAAAATGCTTACTTGCTCATTTATCTAGCACACAGCTGGCCCTTAAACTAGAGTAGGTGAGTCACTTCCTCTGCTTAAACACTGCTTTGCTGTACTGATGCACAACATGCCAGGCAGACATAAAACTAAAATGTATATTTTCATATCCCAGACCAGGGGCGTAGCACCAAATTCTGGGCCCTAGGTACAAGTCTTCTAGGTGGGCCCCCATGCTCAATTGTTTAATATCTCTCTTACACATTTCTTGTCATGGTATAAGACAAGATAATAAATATGATCTTAGTTTAACCTCTATATTGAGCAAATACAAATGCCAGCATAATAAAAGTGAAATGCCCAGACTTCACATATAATTATTTTTATTTGCCAACAATGTGTTCAAACAAAAATCCTGGAATTTATTTTCCAGTAAATGCCCACTGATGGGTCTTCATGTTAGCAAAATCACTTATGAGATCTTTAAAGTCCAATCCTTTGGCTAATTGGCTTTCAATAGAAAGAAGAGCTAGGCTGTTCAGTCTATCCTGGGACATTGTTGATCTCAAATAATTTTTCACCAGTTTCAGTTTGCTAAAAGCCCGTTCACCCCCAGCAACAGTCACAGGTAGTGTGCAAAATATCCTCAGTTTAATACAAACTTCTCCAGAAATGCTCTGTAATTGCATCCTGTAGATGGCATTAAGCAGCTCAAGAGGAGACCGAATGTGTGGAAATGTGGCACCATATATTGTTCTCAGGTGTAGCATCTCATTCTCAAATTCAGCTGTGAGATCCTTGTAATGTTTTCTCATCAGTGCCTGGCATGATATCTTCATCTGCTCTTCAGTCATGTCTGTCATGGTGCATGATGTTAAGCTTTGCTAATACTGATATATGTTGATATATTAAATACATATGACATGAAATAAACCAGGTTCTCTCTGTGAATGTAATGTACTCTAAATTTTATAATCCCTGCATTATCAGCCAAATTATAAGATTGTCCATTTTCAAGATCAAATATAAAGAAATTTAAAATAGGCTTAAAATATCTAACCAAGTCAATAACAATCCTCTAACACCCGTGTCATCATGCTATACGAAAAACAGTGGCAGCTTCACGTTCCTGAGATTACCACGAATCCATCGATACCAAGTTTGTCCTGGTCCATGACTGGGAAGGAGCTGAAATATCCACACAGAGTGAACCTGTTTTTACTGCGAGGTCGCCCGCGATAATAATTCTGATTAATATATATATATTAATTAGTGTTTTCACTGATAACACTAATTAATTCATATTTGATCTTGATGGTGAAACTAAAGGCGTTTAACACTGAACACCTAACATGAATGCAGCTTCTGAGAGCTAGCTAACTGTGTTCTGCTGCTGCTCACCGTCCTTCTACTTGCTTCTGTTCAATTAACTTTTTCTCCTTCTTTTCTTTTCTTTTCTTTTCTGGAAGCCAGATTTCCCTTTCTTGGGAAAAGACATGACTGACTCTCCTGCCTCCAGCTCTGGCTGTCGGCATCTGCGATGTCTCATAGCTGTACATGCGGCCGTGCAGCCCCTGGCCGCTGGTGTGGACTAAACCACTTTGCACATTTTTAAGGGGTGATAGATGCCTCAGAGGTTATTCAGTTATTATTTTTAAGGCGAAATTTTGTTTCTTAACCTCTTTATCCAGGTAAAGGGAAGTTTATTAAGACATTAAGTAAGTTGGGGGAAAAAACAACAACAATAAAACATTTTTATTCAAAGCTGTCTCAGGGCCCCTCCCTGCAGTGGGCCCTGGGTAAACGGTACCCTTTCCCCCCCCCAGTCCGACGCCCCTGTCCCAGACCAACCAGTATCAGCTAGAAACCGGGTAGAAAAAACTCTTATTTCTGCAGCTGGTGCTCTTAACGCAGAGTTTTTATTTTATAAATAATATAAACACAGACATTTTTACTTGAATTGTGGGACAAAAGAACATCCATCCATCAATTAGTTTTCACCTCTCCGAAGTTCTTTCTTCCACATCAACCCTCTCCAGCTCCTCCTGGCAGATCTTAAAGAGCAAGTAACGTCTAAATTAACTTTTTTTTTTGCTGATGAACTGTATAAATGAGTGTCTAATAGTGTTTTAAATGTGTGTATTCATTATTTTAGCATTTTGGTGCATTTTCTTTAAAAATTAAAAATTCTGCCTAAATACCACAGTATAGCGCCACCTTCAGCTTAAAACATAGAGTTTGAGTCATTTTGAATACACTTTAGCCAATGGCTAAAGAGAAAGATACTACGTAAACCAGTAGAGTACTACGTAGCAGCTCTGTGTCAAAGTTATAAAAGCATCGAGAGTCTCGGCCACGCCTTGTGGTGAGTTGGGATTTGGATTTGCAAGCGAGTGTAGGAGGTTAGCGGTAGTTCAGTATTAGCATATAGCATTAGCATAACCTAATCTTTAGCATAGCTTTCAGTGTTATACATACTTATTTAGTGTTAGCTTGGCTGTTGGATATTGTAGTTTAGTTAGTGTTTAGCTGTTAGTGTTAATAGGAAAGTAGTTTGGGCTTAGTGCTCCATATCGTGTTAGTATGGTGAGAAGGTGTAGTGTAGTGTGGTTGCGGTGGCTTTGTGGGGTTGTACTCCTTTCCGCTGGACTTAGAAATTAGGCACCAGTGATTGCGCGCAATTGGTGTCTGGAAAACAGTCAGTTCCCGCCTGGTGCTGTAGTTTGCAACCAGCATTTTACCCGCGATTCCTTCACCAACATGATGGAGTTTGAACTGGGTTGTTCTGCATGTCTCCGTTTGAAGAGGGAGGCTGTGCCCACTGTGGCTCTTCCTGGATTTAGATGCAGCCCACCGACTCTGCTCCCCCACCATGGCGGGCTCCAGTCTGAGGTGAGTAAGCTAAATAAAAGTTTTAACATCTTCTAAAGTCAATTCCCTACCTAAACGCAAATTTTGAGAGACGTGGTTCACTTAATTTAGCTAATATCAGTCTGCACTGCCTTTGGGCTGATTTTTAAAGTTCACAAAATGTGGAACGGGATGTAAGGTTAGAATCAGCGGCGAATCGGAACACATCTCGAAGCCCTGGCCGACGAAACAGTCCACATGACTATTACTGTCAGGCTCGGAGAAAATTCGGGTTGTTTTTGTGTCATGCTGTAGTTCTTTTTTAAAACACAGAACAGTTTTGTTACCCGTTTTCCCGCTACGTTTCGTTTGCGGCTGCAAACTTCCTCAGGCTGACGCTGATGGTGGCGTCACTTCCTTCTCAGTTTATCCGCGGGCAGCAGAGGACGTTGTCGCCCTCTGCTGCCCACTCTCCCCTCTCCGACGATGCAGTCCCATGCGCGGTCCAACGTGTAAACTCCATCGTCCCTGTTCATGGTCCCACATCCACGTCTCCTTGTCTCGATTGCTTCTTTTATCCATCTTTTGTATTTTTGTTGTTCGGTGTTTATGATCCTTATGTTGTCCCAGTCCATTATATGATTTTCTCTTATGCAGTGATCTGTTACTGATTTCTTTATTGTGCTTTCTGCTTCTTCTTTCACTGCTCTTGTGTGTTTTCGACTTGCCTCTTTCTCGCATTCCTTTCTATGTTCTATTGTTCGTGTGTTGAGTTGGCGTCCGGTTTCCGCTATGTATGTTTTATTGCAGAGTTTGCAGATCTTATGGTAAAAAAAAAAGAATCTTTAAAACGGGAACTGAAGGTGCACTGGAAAAGCCCAGTGGAGATCAGGAATGGGAGCGCAGCGTCTGGGGGGGGGGGGGGGGGGGGGGGGCAGATCAGGTGAGTCCAGGAAGGTAAGTCTAAACTTGGTGGGTGCAGAGAATAGACTTACTGGGAGTAGGGGAGCGTAGGAATGAGGGAGGGTAGGTTGGGTGCCGGGGTGAATCCAAGTGGGGTGTCCAGGAGAGGGAGCGAGAGGAGAGCAGGAGAGCGGGCCGGCTGGGAGGAATGGAGAACGGTGAGAGCTGCGTCCGGAAATCCTATGTCTTTTATTCTTTTATTTGTGCCTGATGCGTTTCGCTGCTGTGGAGCGGGGCGCATCACCTTGTCCTCCGGTGACGCACCTCACTGATGCGGCCAGCAAGCACCGAGCACTCTGCTGTTTTTGCGGTCGGTAGATCTTTTAGAACTGCAGTTCAAAGGTAACTCATAAGGTGAATATATATGAACCCAGGTAGCAGTTTTTCTTTAGGATTGAGAGGAGATGCGGGAAGATAATAAACAGGCAGGACAGAAAAATAGTCAAATAAAAACAAGTTAGTTTTTATACCTGGTGGTTGCAACAAACAGACACCATTGAAGGTAATCAGAAGTGAGGAACAGAAAATGAAATAATTATTTTAATGTTTAGAGCAGCAGGAACTCCGAGAGGCTGCAGGCGCATCAGTGAGTTTGCGGCTGCTGCGCAGGGGGAGGGGGGGAGAGAGCTGAAGCAGAAACTACCGTTGTTAAAAGAAATGTGTTTAACTTTGAAAATGTGGGCGCAATTTTAATTGTCAAAAACTCCAGTGAACCATTAATTCATTTTGCTCAAACAGAAATTGAGGCCTGCCTCTAATTCTGGTCCTCCTTCCAATAAAGGCCTGGAGCTTGATGAGCTTTAGTCAAATACAGGCCCGGGCCTGTATTAGAGGATGTACGGTATCTGCAAATGCATTTTCATTGAGCCTTGATTCCAGGGACTCTGCCAGGTTCAGTCTGTAATGCCACCTCCGTGCTGTCTAACCACCAGTGTTAAAGACAATCAAGATGTCAATAACATTTCTATTCTATTCTATTCTATTCTATTCTATTCTAGTTATGGCTAATTATAGTCTTTAGAATTTAAGTTTTAGCTAAATACAGCCAAAGTAAATTTGTTTTAACTTACTGTATTCTTGGCATAATAGTGTCTTCAGATCAAAGTTCATTATTCCTCACCAAAACATTAGATTTGTTACCAGTTTTATCATGTAAATGCTAGTCTGGAATAGTTTTTCTGATTTTTTGCACAAATTAACTACATTTCCCAGAAGCGTAAAACACAAGGTCACGTGGAAATAAATTTTCCACGTGACCTTGTTACCCGGATGATATTGTCAATTTGAAGGTGAAAGTGTCCAGCTGGTGTGGACTCGATACAGGTAAGTCAGCATTACTTTTCATAAGTTAGTCTCGTTAATAATCAGCAGAGATTTTAAATGATGCGCTGCGTCATGCGTTCATTTAACCGCTGCGTCTATCTGGAAAGAAATCAGCTAAAATATGACGGAACATGTTAGCTAATGTGTGCTAGCTAACTTAATGTAATCGTTTCGCAACGTCTGGTGTTGGACTAGAGGACTAGAGACAGCACGGCGAAACAAGTCATGAAGGCACGTTTCGATGCCCAAAAAGTCCTCAAGGTGCCGAAAGTTCCGTGCTAGTTTCTGTTTCTGAGTTCAGGCTTCTGGAATTTACGTCAGTCCACGTGTGTGTGTGTGTGTGTGTGTGTGTGTGTGTGTGTGTGTGTGTGGGGGGGGTAAATGCTGTAATTTGAATTTGATTTGGAATAAAATCCTAATACAAAAGATCAGAGTGTTTGAAATGTGTTAAAACTGTTGTGTCTTGTAAATGTAGTTTAGTAACACAAGTCAGAAGTAATTTTGAGTCATTTAGCAAATTATTCTGGAAGCTTTTAATTTCTTTTGTACTCGTTTACAAAGGACTACAAATTTGTTGATAGTCCCTAAGCGAACCACCGTTCCCTATAGCAAGTCCTTGGAATTCAGCTAACCTCCGTCTGTGCCGCAGTCAGGGGCGGATTTAGCAATTTGGGGGCCCAAGGCGAACACAGACACGGGGCCCCTTACACAAAATTTTCAACAATCTTACCTTTAACTAGATTTGCGAAACTCCTCCCTCTTCTGACATGAGTTATTTTCCCTTTTTATTAGTCCTCTTTTTTCCTTTTTTTCTCTCCCTTTGAGTGCTTTCAATATTTGCTCTGCTTTCCTTTTCCTGTCAGTGCTCCTGTGCTTTAGCCTTAGTTTTTTTTTTCTATTTTCCATTTTGGTCTATGTTTCCCCCCCTTTAAACATTTTCCATTGTCTTTCCTTTCTGCTTCTTTTTGATGTTTACACCGAAAAACGACGTCACTTTCAGAAGTGAAAATAAAAGCTTTTATGAAGCATGCTGCTTCTTTCTCTTATTGGAGCCACTAGTATAACTCCATTTCATGCTTCATATTTTGACTATCGCTTTGAGTTTGTTACGAACGCTCCCGCCTCTCTTCTTCTTATTATTTATCTCCAAACTCAGTTATCTTCCTCAGCTTTCCCCAGACGATGTCATCATCTCCGGTGGGACCCAGAGGTTTCCTGAGGCAGCCCAGAGATATTGGGTGTTTATCAGTGTGAAGGCACCTGGCCTTGTGAGGCTAGGCACATTGCTTACGAGGACACTGTCCTTCCTTGGTCAAAGAAAATGGTTAAACGGAACAGACTTGCATCCTGTGACTGTGGCTTCCACGGCCGTCACGTCACGTGACACGGGAGATAATGTTATATATATAATACATATTAGTTTCAATATAAATATATAACGAGCCTTTTACTTTTAAATTGTGTATAAGCTTGTTAAATTAAATATATGCGAGTTACTACCCCCCGCTAGCCACCGAAGCTGCAACTAAACAGCAACTAACCAACCATAGATAACTGCTTTGGATCTAAAAAAAAACATTTTAAATTACCTGACTTACTTTTAAACTTTAAATTTGCCCTGAAGTAGTTGCTGGCTTCTGATCTGCCATCCTTTTGAAAATACCGTGGTGTATTCTGGGAAATTTTTGACCAATGCTAGGCTACAAGACACCTCCCGCGTCTCCTCGCTCAGCTAGCTAAACGGCTAACAAACGGAGAACACACGCCTCGGCAGAACATGAACATTGGAACACGTCTTGGCGGCTCCTGATGACATATCTCCTAGGCAATCGGGGTGGGGCCAGGACATCAAGACGAGGTTCCTTGGCATTGAGAAACACCCATTATGTCTCCAGCATGTCCTGGGTCAGATCCGGACCTTCTTGCTTGTTTCGTTTCCGAGAAACATGGTTGGCGGACATGTAGATGAGCAACTGTGCACTCAACATTTAAAATTGTCCCGTTGAATTTTGCTTTTCTTCTATATTTCAGCTAGAAGATGTCCTCCCTGTGTGCTGCTAGCGTTGAGACTCCAGCTGTAACTGGAGCTGCAGAGCAGCCGAAACGTCTGAAAGCGTGCTGCGCTTGTCCAGAGACTAAGAAAGTCAGGGATGCCTGGTGAGAACCTGCTCATAGACACAAGAGCTGTTCCTGTTTTGGCGTGTAGAAAACATTTACTTCTCCCTTGTTTTTTCCTTCAGCATCATTGAAAAGGGAGAGGAGAACTGCAGAGACCTCATCGAGGCACATAAAGAGTGCATGAGGGCTCTTGGATTCAAGATTTAACCACTGGTTGTGTGTGTGGCAAGTGTCAATGGTTCTGTTTTAGTCTGCGTTGTAATTCATAGACCGGGTTACGTTTCCTTCTGGGTCAGATTTGTCTCTGTGGGGACTCTGTGGACCACTGGGTGGATTTTTTTAGACAGTCAGATCAAACTCTTTGGTTGTAGAGCTAATTTAAACCTTTGAGTCAACATCAGCCTACCCAACAAAGATGGCTACAGCTCTTGATCTCACAGAGTTTTATTGACAGCACTTACAGATCACACTAGGACCCTCATTTATCAAATGTTCATATGTCCTAAATTCCCTCCTATGACCAAAATTTAGAATGTGTGTACGAACAGTCAAGACTTAAACGTGCGGGAGCCTCTCGTACGTACGCATCTCCGCAGTCATCTGCTGATAAATCCCACCTGTGCGTACCCAGGCGTTCGTGTCCGCTCACCGTCATTTACATACAGAAACACCCTCAATTAACCATATTTGGTTACGCTATGTCCGCAGCACGTGAGGGGATTCCCTGTTTTTCTTTTTCCAGAAAAAATAAGAAAAACTTTGACAACGAGATCGAAACACTGGCTGCCGAAGCGCAAAAAAGAACAAGTTGCTAAGGTCATGAACGGGACTGAGAGGTTCCCGTCAGGAATAAATACAAAGTGGATTTGATAAATCGTAGAGTTACGGGTTGTTCGGAGTTAGTTTCATTTGGAAATGTTGTCTGAGTGAAGCCTCTGCCTCTTCTCAGCTGTCATTCAGTCTGGTTGCGTGCATGATTGGAGAGCAGAGGAGGACTTTGTGCTCTGTCGGTGACAGCTGCTCCCCTGCTGCTTTGCGTCTCGTGGGAAGGGCCAAGCAGCAGCTTACGCGAGCAAGACGTGCTGCTGCAGTAACGTGCTGCTGACGGCTCCGGTGGAAAGAAGGGGTTAGACCTTTATGATTGCTGTTCCCCCGGTCTACCTCCTAGATGCTGTTCGTACGCGTGGTCAGAGCTGTTCTTATGTTGAGGAACATTTGTACGCACAAGTACAAACTGGCAAATGCCACACGTAAAATCGTTCCCACGCACTAAACATGCACAGATCATGAGGGCTGAGGTCTTTTTAAAGAGCAAGTCACTCCAAATCAACATTTTTTTGCTGATAAACTATATAAATGAGTGTCTGATCGTGCTGTAGACAAATGTATTCAATAATTCGGCATTTTAGTTAAAATTTAAATATTCTGCCTAAAACTGTCAGCGATGCACCGTCGTCTGGTAAAAACTCTGCACTGCATTTGAATTTAAATTGCCATCGCTATTGGCTAAGAGGTACACTATGATGTTAGATCACATAAGTCAGAGTCAAGGCCCGCGGGCCACATCTGGCCCGCGGAGCATTTTTATGTGGCCCGCGAGATATATATCAAAAATATATTAAAACTGGCCCGCTGGCCGATTTTACCGCAAAGACTACAACTCCCATGATGCTTTGCGGCGCCAGCGCGGAGCAGACGCGCCCCCTCCTTTGTGTTTTTTCAGCGCCGAGGCAGTCAGAGGTAGTTGGGTGTCTGCAGCTCCGCTGTCTCGGACAAACTACACTCCTCTCACTCAGCGCCGAGTTCACTCAGCTGTTTTCTGACGTTGAAGCCCAGAAACGGAGATTCTAGCCGCTCAGTAATGTGTTCACGACTTAAAGAGAAAGTTTTCAAACTAACTTCCAGACAGAGCTGATATAACCAGCAAGAAGTGACACGCTAAAACCAGCACGACTCTGTGGTTGTGTTTCCTCCCCGACTCACAACAACGTGGTCAAGCTGCTCAGACATGTTCATCAGCACAAACCTATAAGGTGAGCACCTGTTGTCATCTAATGTCATTATTATGATGAAGATGAACAAAACAACAGGAGTCTCCTCCTCAGCTCAGGTCAGCCCCATGATGCAGGTATCTGGCTGGAACAGGTGAGCATCACAGTAAACCAGTGGAACAAACTGAGCTTTAAATATGTTGGTTTTATGCTCTTTTTCTGCTCCAGAACATGAAAGTTAACAAGTGAGATGTTGCATTTTCATTTAAGATAAAATGATATCTTTATTTTGTTGTTGGCACGTGAGAAAAGATTTAACCTACAGGAAGTGGAAAGGCTGCAGATAGATGAATAGAATAGAAAATCCCTTTATTGTTCCTCACTGGGGAAAGCTAGATGTCACAGCAGCGATGACACTTATTACAGGAGAAAAAAAATAAGAAAAATGAATAAAAAAGAAAACATAAATCCTGAATATATTTTAAAAATGCTGAATATACCACAAGTAATGAATACCACTGATGTGTTTTATTTGTAACTGACTTGCTCGTGTGTAATTTGGTTATTCCACATTCAGTGTTAATGCAGAAATATGTTTGTTTCCAAATTAAAAGGTTCAAAATTGCATACATGTTGATAAAGAAAACGTGCAAATTTGCCGTCACTTTTTCAAAAAATATTAAGTTTGGCCCTCGACTCCGTCCGAGTTTCATTTCGGCCCCGTGTGAGTTTGAGTTTGACACCCCTGTGTTAGATGGTACATTATGATGTCACAATGTTGTGAGTGTGTGTATTTGTTAGTGACTCCACCCTCTCGGTCTGCTAGGCAATAGCATTTGTTGCATTTTTCAAACAGGAAGTGGGAGTTGAGTAAGAATCTGGTAGGGGGTGACTTGCTCTTTAAGTTTTATGAGATGGTAATGTTACATTCAAAATGGAACCAAAATGGCTGACGTCTTTGCTATGACGGTTTCAAATGAATTCACTGTGAATTCTTAAAGCTTATTGTGTGTTTTCTCCTGCAGTGAGATGCTGAGTGCGGCGACCCTGGAGCTGCTTTCTTCATCCTTTTATTTATGACTCTGCTGGGGGGGGGGGGGGGGGGATCATGAAGTACTTGAACTGGAGGATTTCTGAGTGAATTTCTTTTTCTAATTATTTTATTTAAACTTTGTAAAACCTGATGTGTGAATTTCATAAAGTCTGTATGAAAATGAATAAAAGTTCTATGCAAGGCTTTGGTTTCGTCCCGTTTTTATCTGACGGCGTCGTGCTGCAGGCCACAGTTGCTGCTCCTGGAATTCACTTCTGCTTAAAAATAACTCGTGACCCAGCACGGCCAATACTCTGCATATCTGCATTCTTCAGTGTGACACTGAAGTGTGCCTGATGGTGAACATCTTCTCTCGTGCTTCTAGTGTAACCAGTCGTTTGTGTTTTTTATCGTCGTAAGCCCGTTGGAACAAAAGCAGAACTGCTCTCACGTTGGCCTAAAGGTGCTCTATTTGAATTGGTGTCTACACGAAGACATTTGACGAAGCATGAAGCATGCTTGTGGAAAGTACATTTGACGAAACTATTCTGAAATATTTTTCTCAAACTAGGATGACAGAAGCCCTGTTTTTAGGTTTTTCTCATCTTAAACAAGTTAAAATGTAAATCTCATGCATCGAGGTCAAAACCTGCAGTTGTGCTTTAAAACATTTTAAAAGAATTTGATTCACTAAATTTAACTTGAGTCTTTCTAAAGTACAAGTTTACATGTTGACCAAAAGTTCGAGTTGGATATTTAGATCTGAACAAAAATGTTTATTGCTTATTCTGAGAGAGTGAGGTTTATTTTGTTAATAGTGAGCTTTGCCTTTATCACTAATTAAACTCGTAAGTGGCAAAAATAATCTGGATTTGGGCTTGTGCCTAAACGGCTGTAAAATCTGAGTTAAATGATTATTGAAAGTGAACAAAAGTAGTGAATTAGTGAATATTTAAAGCTACACTTTCGCATGATCGTGTTTTTGTAACCTAAAGCTAGTTTGTTAGCTGCACACTGACCAGGCTGGAGGGATTAGAAGGAAATTTAGGACCATTTTTACTTGTTCGTCTACGAAGCATGGATGTAATTTTGGGGGGGGGGGGGGGGGTGTCGTCCCCCACTTTTTCCAAAGTCAAGTTTTGACCCCTGCACTTTTTACCATCCAAAAACAATATTACACTATATTAAATTGACACTGGTTGAGCTCTAGGACCAAGCGGAAAACAACCGTTGGTGTTGAAGCCTGTTTCCCATTAGAGCATACTGTAAAGATTCACACCCCACTCCATGTCCCCCCACTTCTAAAGTGAAAATTACGTCCATGCTACGAAGGCTGTGAAAACAAAATCGGCCCTTTTATATCAGTTATCTCGCCGAGTGTAAACCATCTACGCATAACAGGTTCATTATCTGTTATTAAGCCTTTGTAGCAGTAAGGTAGCTCTGGTGGAGCTGTGGGTGGAGGGGTCCAGGGCGCTGGAGGGTGTTTACACCTGAAATCTGACCTGCTCTGCAGATCCGTTTATTTCTGTGCCTCTGAACACGCCCTCTCACCCTGTCGTCCTGCACTCATGAAGTTTGGTAGAAACTCAGAAGTTTAAGAGTTCCAATCTTTTCTTTATGATTCACTTATGGTGCCACCTCTCCATCCCGTTTCCTGCCCCTATCTCTCTTTTATGTTAAGTAGCGGGCCTGTTTTCTGTCAGTCGCTCTCTCCTTGAGTTTCAATTCCAAACATGGTGATCCTTGTAGGGCCTCATCAGTGGCCCCCTCCCCTACCCCTTCTCCGTCAGCTGTTGGCTCTTCAGAGCAGGCTGGTGGTGCAAGAGCACCGACGGAAAAGTGAAGCAAGAAACGCAACAGGAAGGCTCAGAAGGAAGGGACGGGGCAGAGAGCCAGAAGACAGGACAGGACACAGCATGAGACGAGGAGGAGGAGGAGAAACCTGGTCCAGCTGTGTTTCTGTAACAAACAGAGCTGTGAGAACCTCTGTCTGAAGAATTTTCCACTTCACAGCAAGGGAACAAAGCAACTTTTAGATGTTTACTTCTTCACTCAGCATCTGCCTGTTCCACATTACAGGACTGAAGTATCTCAAGGTTTAGTGGACCAGGAGCCCTTTATAGGAACTGGCGCTTTCATTTCTCCTGTGCTATAGCTTCACCCATTTTAAGCATGACCGGTGACAACTCCACCCTTTGGGACAACTTGTTCTCTCCTCCAGTCTGTGATGGCTGGAGCAACAACACAGAAGGGGCCATCTACCATTTGGGCAACACCATCCTCTTCCTGGGCTACATGGGGGGCAGTGGGGCCTACGGGTGCCTCTTCATCTTCGGCTTCCTGCTTCCTGGCTTCTTGTGCCTGGCCCTATGGGGCTGGATGACGATGTGTGGCCCAGACGTCTTCACCTGGAACATCCTGCTGCTGCTGGCCTCCCTGCTGCAGATCTGTCACCTCCTCTACCGGCTCCACCAGGAGGGCATTCACAGCGAGGAGCTCTCCTCCCTCTACCAGCTGATCTACCTGCCGCTGGGTGTGCCCGTCCAGGTGTTCAAGGAGATTGCAAAGGCTTTTGAAAACAAGGTGGTGGAGCTGAAGACTGGAGAGATATACGCTGTGGAGGGCAAGACACCCATCGACCAGCTCTCCTTTCTGCTCTCTGGGAGGTGGGGAGTGTGTCTTCCTTAAAATATTGATTGAAATAACCAGAATGTTAAGATAAATAGAATAAATCAACACAGAGGAACCAAAACACACACTAGTGATGCACACACACACACACACACACACACACCAGTCACATCATACAGACCTAGAGGGTTCAGCAGAGACTCATAAACCGTGGTCTTTCTGGGCCTTTTTAATTATAAATGGCCTAAATCTAGATTGTGAAGTTTTATTTTACAGCAGTGTTTTTTTTCATATAACCGTATCCTGACTTGTTGCAGCTTATAATGACACATATGTAATGCAGATGATATCTTAAAATTTATCCCCAAAACCAACTTAACTTCTAAATAACCAAACTAATTTTATTCACACAAATATCCTCAATGATTCGGAAAAGGGTAGAATGCTTCTCCGGGTCAGGGATGAGGTCCTGCCCCAAGTGGAGGAGTTTAAGTATCTCGGGGTCTTGTTCACGAGTGAAGGAAAGATGGAGCGTGAGATCGATAGGCGGATTGGTGCTGCATCTGCAGTGATGCAGGCGTTGTACCGGTCTGTCATGGTGAAGAGAGAGCTGAGTCAGAAGGTGAAGCTCTCGATTTACCGGTCGATCTACATTCCTACCCTCACCTATGGTCATGAGCTTTGGGTACTGACCGAAAGAACGAGATCGCAGATACAAGCGGCCAAAATGAGTTTTCTCCGAAGAGTGGCTGGGCTCTCCCTTAGAGATAGGGTGAGAAGCTCGGTCATTTGGGAGTGGCTCGGAGTAGACCCGCTGCTCCTCCACATCGAGAGGAGCCAGTTGAGGTGGCTCGGGCATCTGGTGAGGATGCCTCCTGGACGCCTCCCTGGTGAGGTTTTCCGGGCACGTCCAACCAGGAGGAGACCTAAAGGTAGACCCAGGACACGGTGGAGGGACTACTTCTCTCACCTGGCCAGGGAACGCCTTGGGATTCCCCCGGAGGAGCTGGCCTAAGTGGCTGGGGAGAGGGAAGTCTGGGCCTCTCTCCTTAGGCTATTGCCCCCGCAACCCGACTCCGGATAAGCGGGTGAAGATGGATGGATGGATGGATGGATGGATGGATGGATGGATGGATATCCTCAAATTCACAGAGACTATTGCCAGGGCCCGATTAACACTTTGTTGTACCCTGGGCAACAATATTCAAGGGCCCCATCGCCACGACCCAAGGATCACCGTAATATGGTCACATACAGAATATTTTACTGTAATATGCAGTAAATATACTCAATACTTGAATGCCTGACATCACGTAACCCGCTCAGGGTAACCTTTGACCCACCTCGTGTGGACTGACCAATGAGGAGAGGGTCTTAACTTGAGGCCCTCTCTTCATTGGTCAGTCTGCATGAGACTGACTCTCAACTGACGTTCAAAGTCATAGGCAGCGAAGCGTCTCTGTGCAGCGCAAAAGCCCGGGTGGACAGTTTGTTGAATATAGCGTGACCATATTTCCATTTCCAAAAAAGAAGGACAGGGGATCTGTGCCTATGACGTCATACTATGGCAACGCCACACAAACCAAGTTGGGACCCATTTTTTCGTAAGAACTAAATTAATATCAGATTCTGCCAATAAAAGAGCTCTAAAACAATTCATATGCAAATAGTTTTCTGCTTTAGTGCTGCAATAAGGTTTTATTAATAAGAAATTATTATAACTTTTGTTTTACTACAGCATCGGTACGCTTCCTGTGCACAGATTATTAAGGATGCTTGTTTCAGCTGTGAGATTAGACGGTAGGATCAATGAAAAAATTAAGTTGTCACACACTCCATGGAAACTTCCAGATAATCCGCAAATAGTGGCTTTCAAATGGTTTTGTTACTTTTTGCAAGTTTAGAAAAGAAGCAGATGAGACAGCATGTCTGATAATTTAGTTTTTCATCTGATAATATTAGAACATGTCAGCGATGTATGAGGGGCTTTTATAAACACTGTATAACTAACACTCCTGGAGAGGATAGGAATTACACAGAGGCTTCTGGGGAGCCCAGTTATATGAGTAGGGGGTGTTCTGTTTTGCCTTGGCCCCCAAAATGTCTTGAAACGGCCCTGGGTGTGTGACTGAGTTTTGAAGGTGATCTGAATTGTATCAGATGTAAAAATATGACATGTGTATAACTTATTGTTTTATACGGGTAAATACGTGTAGCTAGTGGAGATAAATCTACCTACATTTTACTTTTCAACACTTTGTTTTGTTTTCTTGTTTTTATTTAACTATTTCCTGTCCTGTCTGTCTCTCATCTTCCTGCATCTGCTCTAAAGTCTCCAGAAAAACTGCTGCCTGGATTCTTACTTTTTCACCTCATCAGTTACTTTTGAGTAGATCAAAGGGATCTCCTGACCGTAAAGCGGAGTGCGCGTCGATGCTGCGTCAGTGAGGTGAAATCACCGCAGCACAGGTGATGAGCTCCACAGCAGCAGAGCGCTTCAGGCACAAATAAGACAGAAAGTAGAGAACATGTGCGGACATGAACGATGGTGTGCTAATTATAGTTTTTTGGTTGCGCCACTTTGAGAATGGACCGTGCGCTGGACGCAGCTGCCTGGAGCACACCGACGATCAGCGCTCTGCCGCTCTCTGTGCTCTCAGCTCAAAAGAACCCCCGGTGCTCTGAGAGTCCATAAATGATGTAATATAGGTAGAAACATTTTTTCCGGCTCTCCCTGGATGTGTAGGATATCCAGCTCCCCCATAATTCGATCCCTACTCCTGGATGATAAAACGGACATTTTCATCAAAACAAGAAACCCCTCGGACAGAGAGTGAAAAGTGGACAATTCTGGAAAGAGGACGTATGGTCACCCTAAAAGTGGGAGATTACAGATACAGTAGTTTGCTCGTGCCCTTGCTGCCCTGGGCCTGGGCCCTTTAGAGTTCGTGGACCCCTGGGCAATTGCCCATATGGTTAATCTGGCCTTGATTATTGTAATACTGAATAATTAAATACCTGATTGTTCACTTGTCTTACAAATATGGCATATTATTAAAGGTAACTAATACCTTTAAGTAAACATTTAATTTGACATTTGATACTGAGTTAGTTTAAAATGTTCCTTTATCAGCAGCAATCCTATACAGCAGCACAAATACGCAGTGTAACATGTGAAGTGTTTGATACCTTATTGTGATGCTTATTGATATTTTGCTACCCACATAGTCAATGTGAGGCTTCCAGCAAAACTTGTGTTCTAGTATGACTCCCAAAAACTTTGACTTTAATATATATGTTATCAATGAAGTATATCAGTGTTCACGTTCTCCAAATAACAAACCTGGTTTTGTTCAAATTCAAAGACAACTTGTTTAAATTAAACCAAACTTGATGAATTTCCTTTGAGACCATTTCCAATATTTGCTGCATCCAGGGCATAAAATAGTTGTATCATCAGCAAAGATGACGAATTTCAGGATATGGGACACCTTACAAATATCATTAATATATAAAAAGAACAACTGGGGACCCAACACTGACCCCTGTGGTACGCCACAGGTAATGCTGTGGGAGGCTGACTTCTGTTGTTGTTATTGCTTTTAGCCTAGTGTTGAGCCACCCCTCTGATGTTTACTAAGCACAATGTTGTGATTTTTGGTATCAAATCTTTATTTTTTTATCAATGAAATTTCTCGGACCAGACCAGTTTGTTAATTTGTTCATCTAAATCAGGCCTATTCAAATGGCGGCCCGTGGGCCACATCCGGCCCGCGGGCCCTACCCAGTTGGCCCACCTCACCCAATCCCCCAACCACCAACGGAAAAAAAAACTGTTGAAAAACTATTTAAGCATGCAAGATTCTAAATTCCCACACTGATATTGCACTTGAACACAACACCATTTTAGCAATCAGGGACATATGTACGTAGATGCCCCGTGGACTGGTGCTGTCTATTGGAGCTGCCATAGTGTGGCTTCATGTCTATGTTAGCTGAGACCCAGGCCAGCAATGACCCAGCCCAGCTTGTGGAGCAAACAAGCGCCTTTCAGGCAAAACTAAACATGTTCGCAACTGACTTGACTGGTGAAAGAATGCTACATTTTCCCACACTCCGTAAAGCCACCTCTCCTCCGAAAGTCACGGCAGAAATGACTGGTTTAGTCGCGAAACTGAAGGACAACTTCACCAGTCGCCTGGACGTTCTGTCACTTCCTACAGAGGCGATGCAATTAACGAAAGATCCATTTGCTGCCATCGCTGAGGAAACATTGTCCATCAAAGCTAAGAAAGTGGTCTCTTCTATCGGTGAGGGACAATTCCTGCTGGAGTTGGTGGACATGCAGTCATCACTTACGATGCCACAAGAGCTGCGCACAAACGGCCCTGCTAAGTTTTGGAGTCAATGCCCATCAGTTCCCAAACCTCAAGAATGTACAGTAGCTGTGACTGTTCTCAGTATGTTTGGATCCACCTATATTTGTGAATCCAGCTTTCTTTTCCCATATGAATGCAATCAAAACAAACCTGCGCTCCTCTCTCACTGAATCCTTTCTGCACTACTGCCTGCGCATTGCACTCAGCTCCTATGAGCCAAATATTCAATTTCTTGTTCAAAACAAAAAGTGCCATCTCTCGCACTAAAGTTGCAAGAATAACGGTCAAGTTGTTGTATTATTTAGTAGCTGCGACTGAGTTATTCGAGGTTAATAAAACAAATGTTTGTATTACCAGCTCTACAGCTGGTAAATTAATACAGATCATTAAAGCAATAAAAGACAATGTGCATTGCTTTTTTTTTGTCGTTGTATTAGTGGTAGAGGTAATGTCAGTCAAAATATTAAAATTTAATATTTAAACATTGGCCGTAAAATACAGATTTTGGTATCCGGCCCAAAGCTGATCCACGATTTTGAAATCTGGCCCAGTAGGGAAAGTAATTGAACAGGCCTAAATGTTGCGTTTAGAGACGTTTAGTCAGAATTCCCTAAATGTACTCCCTGGACCTCTTTAATTTAAATTCTTCATGACTGATGGTCTCCCAGTGCAGCTCTGCCTGCACGGAGAAAGTTTTTATATCAGCGTTTGCTCTGGGTGACTTTACATCCTGTGGGAGCCAGGAAGTAGAAATCACACAAACTCCATCACCTCACAAAAACAAGGGTGTTTTGGAGCGTATCATACTTAAAGTATGTGCAGTATAGGCTAAAGTTGGCCTTAAAAGGACATTAGCATCATAGTTAACTGAAAGGGTTTTAAGGTGCTTTATAGTGTGTTGATCACATGCAGAGACATTCATAGGCTCAGGAGCTACAGTGTCTCCATCTCATTATCACATCTGAACACTTGGCTCTGCTTTTCACCTTTTATCTCTCACTTTCAGGATCAGCGTGTCCTTGGAGGGTCAGTTCCTGCACTATATCCACCGTCACCAGTTCCTCGACTCTCCAGAGTGGGAGTCTCTAAGACCAAACGAGGAGGGAAGGTTCCAGGTATGAGACTCAAAATGCACGTTTAAGGGAACCCTGATCTAGCTCTACTGCCTGAGACCAACAGGGATGCCATCATTGAGACAGCACAAGCTGGAAATTCCCCAACAAAGCTGCAGGCAACATACAGTATATTTGGCTTTTTTGTCTTTAGAAACAAAAGAATGTACGCGTGCACCTGATAGTCAATACATTTTCTTCTAACAGAAAACATATTTTAACTAAAGATTTCCACCCATAAAAGACAAAGCTCTTCTAAAACAGAGGTATTCAATCCCAGGTCTGGAAGGCTGGTATCCAGCATGTTTTAATGGTTTCTCTTCTCCAACACACTAGTGGTTGAGTCACCTGTGCAGCAGCTCACTAGGCTCTGCAGAAGCCTGTTAAAAACCTGCTGATTGAAATCAGGTGTGTTGAAGCTAGAGGTGGGTACCTTTAACATCTGAATTGATTTGGTACCTTGGAATCGATACCGGTACTTAACGGTACCAATTTTCGATGCTTTTGAGTGTTTAATAATAAAATATTTCTCTTTTTTAATGAATTGTATATATAGTTTTTCTCAATATAAATAACCATATTTGATAAGTATCACGATAAATAACTTACAAACTGTATTTTATCATCATAGTGTTGTAAAAAATTATTTTGTAAATGATGCAAAAATGAAAACCCAGCTCCATGTACTCCTATTCCTCTCCTTTCATCTGTAGACAAATTGCATGGTGGGTGGGTCCTTTTAGTTTTATAAACTGCAAATTAAACGGAAGCAAAAATATTTGCTGTGAACTAAATTTATGGTGGTTCTTGTTCCTTTGGCCGTTCTTTTCCAGCAGCGGATTTTTCCTACTTGGAAGTCTGAATTTTTGAGTTCTGAGCAAGAAGCGAACGCACCATTTGCTGATAGCAACGGAAGCTAAAGTATCAAGCTAACGTCTTAAAGAGTTTATTTACATGCTGGAGCAGATTAAGACAATGATAACTCACTTAGAATGTTGTCAGTGTTGTCATCAACACCCAGTCACCCAACGCATTTAGTGAAGTGGCCCCAAACTTTCGAGCATGTTTGTTTGACCATGCTGCTTGGTGTTTACAGCTAGCCTGTAGCGGTGGACGACACAACACTCTTGTGCTGCTGTCTATCTCAGGAAATCAGCTATCAAACTCTGTGATACCGAAACAAGGCACCATTTCTTATCGTGAATTGGTCCGTGGTCGGTACTACGGAATTCGGTCAGTGCCTTAAAAAGTACCAAATACGGTACCCATCCCCAGTTGAAGCAGAGTTAAAACTAAAACGTGCTGGATTCAGGCCCTCCAGGACCGGAATTGAATAGCCCTCCTCTAGAATATGTTTACAACATGATAAGAGGTGTGTTTGCTGCTGTCCAGGTGACCCTGGTGGCAGATGAAGACTCCCGGTACGTCTCATGGCGTCGCCGCCGTCTCTACATGCTCATATCAAAAGACCGCTACATTGCACGCCTCTTCTCTGTGATGCTGGGATTGGACATTGCTGAGAAGCTCTACAACCTGAACAACAAGCTCTACATAAAGAGTGGCGTGCTGCTGGACATCCGTCTGCCGAGCCTCTACCATGTCCTGGCCCCGTCCTCTCAGGGCAGCGAGGGTGGCAGCGTCAGTGATGGAGGCAACACCAAGGAGCAGCACTCTGCTCCAGACCACCAGGTGTCCAGTCCTGGACAGCCTCAGCCTCCCATACCTGCTCTCCATGGACCAAACACAACAGCCCCAGAGTTTTCCCTGGCAATGGAGCATCAGCGCCCCTGGGCGCCAGAACCGGACCTGCCAACTGGTGAGGATTCCACTAGCCTGGTCCTGGAGGACTTTGCTGATGTGGCAGGATCATTAACGGATTATGGCAGTGAGAGAGATTATTTGAGGTAGAAGGGCAGGGATCTGGAGCTAACACACTGGGTCACCACTTAAGCTACATGTAAGTACCTCACCTGGGTGGAAGCATGGTGTGGGGGCGGTGTGTGCATGGGAAATGTTGCAGTGCACAGCTGTTACTAACATCTAGAGCAGGAGTCCTCAACTAAATTAGTTCAAGGGCCAGAGTTTTAATCTGCAGACATCGTGAGGGCCAGATGCTCTTCTAAAATAAAGTTCAAGTATCTTTATTTATTAATATTTAAAATGGCTTTGTTTTCTGTCTAAACTACTATGAATGTAGTATTATTTGTGTTTGGAGAACGTAAACAATTATTGATATTTGGGACATGAATGTTGCTGCTAAACTTCAAAGTCTCCCAATTGGGGCCCTAGGTCTGGCGGGCCGGAGGTGGCCTGCGGACCACTAGTTGAGGTTCACTGATCTAAAGCATTAAAAATCAACGCATCCATCTTTTTACCCGCTTCTTTCTGTTCAGGGTTGCTGGGAGATCTGGTGATCCTTGGGTAAGAGGTGGGGTCCAACCTGAACCATAAAGATGGCTTTACTTTATTTCTTAAAGGGGCATTATGGAAGTTTGACAGTCAAAACATGTATAGAAATAATAAATGTCTTCTTCATACATTCTCCTGCAATGCCCTGGTCCTGTAGAATGAGCCCTGGCATTTTTACTGTGATTGCCTGTTTTTCTGTAAAATCACAGAAAAAGAGAGCTGCTCGGGTCGAGCAGGCTGCTTTATGCGCGTTCACGCTCAGCCATAGCCCGTAGCATGCCTAGTGACAAAGCTAGCTACATTTCTGAGGACCCTTAGCTACTTTCTGTAGAACTTTCTTCTAGATATTTCCTGCAAATTAGCAACAAAATAGCCATTTTCGCTCCAAACCATTCTTTGGTTTGACGTTGTTTCAGCTGTCATCTAGGATATAAAAGTTACAGATACTGTGAATGTTACTAGAGTGTTGCTCACCTTGTAAGAAGTCTGACTCTCATGCAGAAGACCTGGGTTTGATTCTGGATGTGAACATAGTTCATTTAGAATTTCTTTTTTACATTAATGGTATATTTTTTTACAGTAAGATGCCCAAATTTTTATTTGAGACTCGCCGAACGGCATTGAATTCACAGATAAAAAAGATGTGGGTTCAACTTTCATTTTGGAACAATTTTTCAAGCAAGGAAAGGGAATGATCTGAGCATGCAGGAGGACTGACCCATCATAAACCTTTGTCGGCTGTGCTGAAGAGAAAGGTACAGAACCAAATTATTTAATTAATTAGCTGCGTGTTCTCCTGTCCTCTGTCCTCCGGGCCACCCACACACACACACACACACACACACACACACACACACACACACACACACGCACGCACGCACGCACACACACACACACACACACACACACACACACACAAACACACACGCACACACACGCACACACACACACACACACACACACACACACACACACGCACACACACGCACACACACGCACACACACACTCTCACGCACACACACACACACACACACACACACACACACACACACACACACACACACACACACACACACACACACACACACACACACACACACACACAGGACCGTCTCAGCTGTTATTTTCGTTAAGGAGTGTGCACGTACATCATGCGCGCCTCGTGCACGAGCCTACTATTGAAGCTGCCGTTACGCTTTTGGCCTGAGGGGGCAATCACGAGCATAAAAATTCAAAAGTCCGTAAAGTCCCTTTAAGCAGGAAGTCATTGAATTTATCATGTATTTGTCAAGGAATGTTACTTATAAAGGTGAAGATTTTAACAACTGCAACAATGAGAAGTACCTTTGTGATTTGACTAAAGTGTACACTATAGTACTCATGAGTCCCATTCCTCCTGTTAATCCTTTAGACGTGTGTGTTGGTGCGTTCTTCCTCACTCTAATGGCACCTTTCTTAGTTTCTGATGATCCTGCAGCTTTTCACTGAAGGTGTGAAAAAACCTTTTTAATGACTCTTTCTGATTATAATGGGTCATTCTGAGTTTTTCATGCAGGCGGAATATGAAAATAGTCTCCACCTCTCTCCTGCATTAGCTTCTGATAGACAATAGACGGTGAAACTCTAGGATTAGAAGAACCTGACAGATCTACGTCATACAGATTAACATTCATGGACTCACCAATCTTGACTCACGTCAAGGAAAAAGCAGAGAATGTCCCAGGCAGTAGAAGCTAACCGTTAGGATTAGCAACTCCACAACACAGCAGAACTCCTGCAGGCCTGTGGTATTTGTGGAGATAAAACATCATCGCTGCAAAGAAAACAAAGTCAGAGTTGTGTTGCTGTTATCCAATCCGAGGCAAGATGTTCAAATATCAGGAAGTAAGTCTCCAAATCCTGCTGTCTGAATCACAACTCTCACGTGGCAATTTTCTAGTTCTTGAAACTGGTGCACCTGGTTTCTTTCCCCAGAATACGATTTACAAGGCATGCATTCCTACCTGAGAACACTGCACATGTACTGATTAATTGAGTGATCCACACATTTAATTGTTGACTCCCACATCAATAACTAAGGTAAACCCTGTTCTTCTGCTTCTTTATCCAATGTTCCTGCTTGTCTTTGGGGAAGTTGTTGTAAAAATCCATCCGTAAATCAGAAATTTTGATGTCTTATTTTCCACAAACATAAATTGAGGGTAAACCCTTCCCGAGTCAGCCTGCCCCTCTCCTCTACCAGCATCAGCCTGTGTCCAATCCCAGCTGCAGGATCACATTTCAGAGTGAGCGGTACGGTCGGTGCTGGGTTTGGGTTGCAGGACAGCTGTTGAACAGCTGGTCAGTGACTAAATAGCAACGACCCTCGATGAGCATGTTGTTTCACTAATCATTTCTGTCTCACAATGGATCAGAGAGTCATGACTGTTGCTGTTTTAAAGTTCTAAAAAGGACTCCTGAACAGCCTCTGTTCAGAGAAATCGAGTTTATGTCAGATAATCCAGGTGCACCCACAGAGCTGGCGTTGCCAACTAAATTTGTTCAAGGGCTGGAGTTTTTTCCAGCAGATACCATGAGGGCCAGATGCTCTTCTAAAATAAAGTACAAGTATTATTACATCTTTATTTATTAATTTATAAATGGCTTTGTTTTCCATCCAAACTGCTTCGATTGCAGTTTTATTTGTGTTTGGAGAATGTAAACAATTACTGATATTTTGGATATGAATGTTTCTGCCAAACTTCAAAGTCCTCCATTAGGGGGCGTTAGGGCCCTAAGGGTTGGGGGCTGGGTTGAAGGATCTGGTGGGTTGGAGGTGGCCCGTGGGCCACCAGTTGATGTTCACTGCCATAGACCAAAGTGCATTGCTGCAACACATTTGCAGTGGTCTATAGTAGGAATGAACGCCTTCTGAGTTCTCTTGTGAAATAAAGGTCTTGCACTTCTGTTTCAGGAAGTAGACGTTAGCCAGAGGTGAGGGAAGCAGAAAACAGCAGATTTAGAGTCTTATCATTAATATTCATTAAATTCGGATATCTTGCCTCTGATTGGGTTATAGCAACATGACTCTTCCACTGACTCTGTTTGCTTTGCAACGTTGATGTTTTATCTTTACAAATAAACACCTGGAGGAGTTATGCTGTGTTGAGGAGTTGCTAATGCTAACAGTTAGCTTCTACAAGCTGAGAAACTCTCTGGCTGCCAAGTTTAGCATAATTCCATGCATGAGAGCGGAGTGGGGAGGTGGTGGTGGCGTTGGGGGGTGGGGTGGGGGGCATTGTTCCTTTAGCGTGAGAAATTGGAGCTGTGGCGCAAGAGCATGTGAAGATAGTTAAATGTGTGAGTCTCACGCTCATTGTGTAAGAGTTTTGCAGCCTTGGCTCTACTTTCTCCTGGACGCTAAACCAATCGCCTTCCCTGTCACGAGCCAAGATGGGGGAGTCCATGAACGATAATTTTCAGTGTGACTCAGATCTGACTGTTTTTCTATTTTCTATTGGTGGCTAATGTAGGAAATAGAGGTAGAAGACTATTTTCTGCAGTTGCTGTCCAGATGTTTTCTTTTATCTGATGGCACCATCTAGTGGCTGAGAAGCGTATCACATCATGACCTACTTTCATTTCCTCTCATTCATTAATGCGCTCATCTAGTAGACAAAACCAAGCTTAAAGAGCAAGTCACCCCCAAATAAACTTTTTTTTGCTGATAAACTAAATAAACGAGTGTCTAATCGTGCTGCAGACATGTGTCGTCAATAATTTGGCAGTTCAGTGCATCTTAGTTAAAATTTAAATAATCTGCCTAAAACTGTCAGTGTTATACCGTTGTCAGGTAAAAACTATGCACTGTATTTTAATTTAAGTCTGCCACCGCTATTGGCTAAGAGGTATGCTATGATGTAAACTGGTACATTATGATGTCACAATGCTGTCGTGAGCCTGTGTGTGTGTGTATTTGTTAGCAGCTCCGCCCTCTCAGTCTGCCAGGCAACAGCATTTGTTGCATTTTTCAAACATGAAGTGAAAGTGGAGTTAGACTCTGGTAATGGTTGACTTGCTCTTTAAATATGGTGTTTTATAATTATTAAAGGCCCAATGTGTGATATTTCATCTTATAAGTTATCAAATTTCTTGTATCACATTCTCAAATTTGTTTTTTTAAATGATAATTCAAACAAGCATTTATTCTAAGCATTATTATTAGCTTTATATTTTAATATTTTAGACAAAAGAAGCAGACCGGTGCTCCATATGGCATGCGCCATCTTAAAATACAGTGACCTTTTAGGGACATACAACATATTAAGCTTCGCATTTGATGTTTGCGTTTTTAAATGATGTAACCTCAAAGAAACAGCAGGGGGCAGAAGTGCGCCTTGTAAGCATGCAGTCTGACAAAGTAACTAAGAAGAAGAAGAAACTAGCCACACCGTACTTCTAGCGATGGAGGATCACACATATTCTACAAGCAAACTTGAGAAACGGGATAGTTTGAAAGCGCTTGAAAGCGCCGATCTTCTAGACTTTATTGCAGCTCTGCCTCTTCCTCTTGTGCGTGGGACGTTGCGGCTGGTTTGAGCAAATTCGGCTCCTTCATCTTGGGATGCTTGCCCTGCTTCTGTCGCATGTCTAACACCTCTGCCTCTCTGTGCGCTGGCACACGTCTGTCCTCTCCCTCTTCCTCTCCCTCTTCCTCGCCCTCTACCTCTCCCTCGTCCTCTGTCTGTCTCCACTGATGAACCATCGGATGATATCTGACTCTGTTTACGGAGAGAAAACAATTACAGACTACACTACCTTGTATATTTCCAAAATGGCAAATAGAAATATAACATTTCTCAAATAAAATGAACAAAATATTGTCATTTTTTGTAGTCAGAAGTCATCACTAACTAGCTGCCGTTTGCTATTAGCAAACATAACTGACATAAAAAAGTTTTTCTTATTCAAAACCTATTTAGATTAAATTAATAAAATAAGTTAGATGAAAACAACTAACCTGTTCGCTGACTTGAAAGCTGGAATTAGATGATGACATGCTGCCGTTTACAGCAACACGATTTTGTATTGTATTTGTTATATTTGTTAATAAAGTTTTAAATAATGATAAAAAAAACCTTTTTGATCCTCGGGGGCTCCAATAGCTGCAATACCGACTCTAAACTGCGTGGTGCTAAAGAGTCGGATCTTTTTACTATGATTTCTGTGAATTTCACACAAGGGGCCTTTAAAGAGTAACTAAACCCCAAAATAACTATTTTTTTGCTTATAAACTGGGTCTTTACAAATGCAATCTTTCCGTTTCTGTGCATTTTTTGACATGTTTGTGTAAACTTGATTAAATCTAGAATCCAGGTCTAAAAATGTCTTAGTGCTGCCCCCTGTTGCAGAAGAGCAGCTACTGCATTTTCAACTTGTGATTGGGGCTGGAACAATTTCACGTCATCAGTACAGTCTCCTTCCCCCCCACCCCCTCCCTCCCAGGATGGAAATTCCCCACACTTGGCCATGCCACTCTGTGCCTCCTGGCAACGCCCACTTTAAAGACATTTTTCAAATCTTGACTAGGGGTGGAGTTACATTTTCTGCTGGTGTGCAGTACCTCTTTAAGCTCAAGTTATGTTGTGTTTTCATATATTTATATTTTAAAGTCCTACTTGTCCATAAGAGGTCGCCAACCTGCGTCAACCGGGGTACGTCCTTAAAGGGACTTTATGGACTTTTGAATTTTTATGCTCGCGATTGCCCCCTCAGGCCAAAAACGTAACGGCAGCTTCAATAGTAGGCTCGTGCACGAGGCGCGCATGCTGTATGTGCACACTCCTTAACGAAAATAACAGCTGAGACAGTCCTGTGTGTGTTGTGTGTGTGTGTGTGTGTGGCCCGGAGGACAGGAGAACGCGCAGCTAATTAATTAAATAATTTGGTTCTGTACCTTTCTCTTCAGCACAGTTGACAAAGGTTTATGATGGGTCAGACCTCCTGCATGCTCAGATCATTCCCTTCCCTTGCTTGAAAAATTGTTCCAAAATGAAAGTTGAACCCACATCTTTTTTATCTGTGAATTCAATGCCGTTCGGCGAGTCTCAAATAAAAATTTGGGCATCTTACTGTAAAAAAAAAATACCATTAATGTAAAAAAGAAACTCTAAACGAACAATGTTCACATCCAGAATCAAACCCAGGACTTCTGCATGAGAGTCAAACGTCTTACAAGGTGAGCTACACTCTAGTAACATTCACAGTATCTGTAACATTTATATCCTTGATGACACCTGAAACAACATCAAACCAAAGAACGGTTCGGAGCGAAAATGGCTATTTTGTTGCTAATTTGCAGGAAATATCTAGAAGAAAGTTCTACAGAAAGTAGCTAAGGGTCCTCAGAAATGTAGCTAGCTTTGTCACTAGGTGTTAGGAACAGCGACAAAGTGGCACTACCTCTCTCTCTGCTGCTAAAGCTACTGATAGCAAATGCTACGGGCTATGCCTGAGCGTGAACGCGCATGAAGCAGCCTGCTCGACCCGAGCAGCTCTCTTTTTCTGTGATTTAACAGAAAAACAGGCAATCACAGTAAAAATGCCAGGGCTCATTCTACAGGACCAGAGCATTGCAGGAAGAAGAAGAAGAAGAAGAAAATTTCATTTCTATAGCGCCTCTCAAGATAAAAATCACGAGGCACTTCACAAAAACAAAAAATATAAAAATTATAAAAATATAAATTCAGGAGAATGTATGAATAAGACATTTATTATTTCTATACATGTTTTGGCTGTCAAACTTCCATAATGTCCCTTTAAATGCTTGAGCACGCTCTGTGATTAACACTGTAACGTTAGCGGTAATCTAAAGCCTAATTTATACTGGTTCTTCTGCGTCGGGTTGGACACACGCAACACCATTATGCGTCGACACAAGACCCCTTGGCAGGCTTGCGGAGGAAGACGGAGACATGCCCCAAATTTTAACTATCTATCCAAAGAGATGGAGACCGCAAGCTTGTGATTGGTCAGGACGCTGCTTCCTGTAAATTCATCAACAGCACCGCCTTTGCCGCTTCAAAAATTAAAAAGACATTTAGTGGCAGACACAGAACAGATCGAAGAATGCATCTCGGAAACAGTCTGAAAATATGAATGTTTATTCACCCGTGACTGAAGGAGTACAAAGATATGCAGTAAGCGCTTTATTCATGGACGAAAAAGACAAGAAACGTGGGTTTAGACGTGCCATTAGCATGAAGAGGTGGAGGGGAATGAGGGACAAATTTGTCTTTGTTAAAAAATCTCTAAAAGGTATTTAATCAATGTAAACACACTATCATGGATCAGATACGTGAGTGTAATGGTACCTCAGAACAGCGCTATGCCCTCTGTAGTCCTGGCGGGGAATTGTTTTGAAACACTCGCCAGTTGAAAGCAAACATCTCTGTGAATGCCTGTGCGTCTCTCCCTTGCGGAGCTGACGGAGAAGTATAAATTAGGCTTAACACTATTGGTTATTGCTGACTGGTGCTCAGTTCATTTTGCATTGGCATATTTGACATATTTCCTATATCACAGTACAAGATAAACACAATAAGAGATAAATAAAATAAAGTTTATCTCACCAAATAGAACATTTACTAAGAAATCACAATATAACTATAGACACATTACTTTGTCTTGTGTGTGTGTGTGTGTGTGTGTGTGCGCGCCTGCTCTGTCTTCTCGATCCTCAGTGAGTCGTGGAGGATGGCTGCTTATACTGAGCCAGGATTCTCTGGAGGTTTCTTCCTGTTAAAAGGGAGTTTTCCTCTCCACTGTCACTATATGCTTGCTTAGTATGAGGATTGCTGTATAGTCACTGACACTAGTCAGTGACTTGATGCAATTTGCTGGGTTCCTTATATAGGAAACATTATTTCTGATTGGCTTAATGAACTGACCTGAATTGGAATGTTTACTATGTGTAGTGTCTTGAGATGACTCTTGTCGTGATTTGGCGCTATATAAATAAAATTGAATTGAATTGAATAAGACAATCACTTGTTAGGATTCCTGAAACATCATACATAATTCCTGAAAGGAGAAAACTCCAGACAGCAGCTTTAAACTCAGGATGATCAATCGTAAAAAAAAATCTTAGTGAACTTTAAAGGGGTCGTCAAGCCTGCCTCAGAGTCCTTCTCCACCCACATATCAATTTTGAAAACGGCAACATTAGTAGGCGTTGCCTGGTGGACCGAGAGGGAGGAGCCGTGGTAGTGACAAAGATGGATCGGTAACGCAGTGTTGCCAACTCAGCAACTTTGTCGCTGTTCCTAAAGACTTTTTGACCCCCCTCAACGACCTTTTTTCCAAAAAGCGCCTAGTGACAAACCTAGCGACATTTCTCAGGACCCGTTGCTACTTTCTTGTAGATATTTCCTACAGATTAGCAACAAAGAAACTATTTGCACTCTGAATCGTTCTTCCAGGAGTAAGGAAAGAGAACGATAATCTGCACATGTGCACAAGGACTGACCAATCATAAACCGTTTTCGGCCGGGCTGATTCGCCGAAGACAAAGGAACAGTTGCAGAGACCGCCAATTTACATCTGCTGCTGCTGCAGGCTCACGCTTCTACTAGAGACGGCGCAGGCGTCAACCTGCGATCTCTGGTTCTGCAGCCGTCAGACACTTTGGCTTTTCCTGCATTTGGCAAATAAAGTCATCGGGAGTTTCAACTACCGTCCTGTTTACACACACAGCTCTGTGGCTCATCTCAGTTTCCTTCAGTGACACAGGGATGGTTATGTTATGAGACCCGCTCCCTTTTGCTCGGTGCGCCGTTATAACGATGGAGAGAATACACAACAGAGAAGTTGAGAAACTAGGAGGTGTAAAAAACAGCTTTTTAGGAAAATGTCTGTGAGAATGAGGAGAGCAGAAGGTCTGAGTTATATCCTACACCAGAAGTGTTTGGATCACCACACCATATCTGTCTTAATGCCACTTTATTGATACTTTTGGAATTTATTGTACATATCAAAGCAATTTGGGCCATTTTAATCATAATAAACAGTTGGCAACACTGGGGTAATGAGACAAAGCTAGCTCCCTTCACTCTGAGCAGTCATTAGAAGTGGAGGAGGTTTTTTCCCCTCCTTACCCAGACAGTCGAGAAGAAAGGGGCCAAGTCTATTTGGAGGAGACAAGCGGACCTGAGCCTTATTGTTTTGAGCTTGTGAGTTGGCTGAAACTACTGGAGTCGACCCACAGAATAGGCTTCAGTTTCTATGACTGCACATCAGTTCATGCAACATTTTAAAAACCACCACTGAAGCTTTGTTCCATTCACACTGCCACCAGCTTCTAGCAGGTCTAGAGTAGTCCTCTTTGTTCTGTTCCTCCTGATGCTCTTCTGGTCACTCATCAACCCTGAGAAGCACAGCAGGGGGTGGTTCTCCCTGCTGCTCATGCAGTAGCAAAACATCAGATCATCAGATGTTCAGGTGAACACACAGACTGTTCGTAACATCACAGTTCTCCTAACAGAGGTCTGATTTTGTCTTTGCAGGAGATGAGAGCAATGAGAATTTACCTCTTCAATTCCAGAGAAGGAGAGCGCCGCTGGCTCCCACCAACACCCCCGAACTGTGAGAACAGTCCCTCCTGTTCTCACACGGGAGAGCCCGATGCTCACCCCTGAACACGTGGAACAGAAATTTTACCTCTGGTTTTTAAACTGACTGCCTTTTCACCCTGTCACCCCGAAGCCAAAGGGACATCTGATGTATTTGTATTGGGCTGAATCTGTAGGAAACAGCTTTTTATAAGTTTGTAAAGATAATGTTGTTGGCACCACACTACAGACACATTAGGTTTGCATTTCACACAACCGTTTCAGCTTTTTACAAATGCACTTGAATATTTTGGTCAGTTCTAAGTGTATTTCTGTGCCAAAGTGATAATTTGTCTATTGTAGATGGGTCTCTGAACAGCCTTTGTTCGGAGAAATAGTGTTTCAGCCAAAGAGCACTGTTTAAACACAGCCAAGAGCAGAGTTTTAAATTAGCTCCAAACCTCTGAATGTCATAGAAGTTTACATGTCTTTGTTTTACAAACCTCTACACAGACATCAGCTTAACAACAAATGTTTAATTTGTTGTAAAAAAAATCCTGCAGGACTTGACCCCGAATGACCCGGAAGTGCTGCATTTAGCTTCTTTAAGCTTGTAAATAATTATATAATTAAAAAATCTGCTAAACAATCAGAAATGGTTTATAGAATTACAGATGCATGAAGTTGGAGATTACAGCTTTTCTATTAATCCTGGAGCACACTGAAGGCACATGTGTCGCGCTTTTGGGAAATCAAATGGTCACGCAGAAGCTGAGCGCTTCTTGGAAAGTCATGCGATAGTCACAACGTCACGCGGTACTTGAGAACAGAAAGCGGAAAGTGACTCGTTTTTACATTATCAGACTTGCCGTGGTGATTTGTGAGACTAATTCATTAAAAATGGGTAAGTACGCTATTTATTATAATGTTTTAAAGCCAATGGTGCTTTAAAGTGATCAAAACTGCGGTTGGGTATCTGCTGTGAAGCTTTTCTGTGTCATAATGGCTGCTGTAAAGTTTTCTACAATGTTGTAAACAGCCGCGCCACGGCACTTGAAATACTACCAGAGCTTATCTTCAGTGCCTCGGCGCAGCGCTCCCCGTATAGAGCTCCGGGAGTTGACGTCACTTCTCCCGGCATGCAACAGTTCAAATCGAAACGGCGCCATCTTGGCAGGCAGAAGCCCGCAGCTGGACTATTTGTTATTGTCAGAAAACTCAATCAAACGGGAAATATGGTAGATTCCTGTTGTGCCCCAGGATGCAGAGCAGACACGGACGACATAAGGAATGAGCCTTCTACAGGATTCCCCAAGATCCGGAATGCCGCAAACATTGGATCATTGTAATAAAACGCGCTAGTGACCGGGCTAAAATGAAACTGTGTATGGTATTTATTTCAAATGCTTTTATTACAATTTTTAGTGGGCTTCCTAAACTTATTTTGGCGTGGCTTTTTCTGTCTTATTACTCATAGCTACAAGTAAACATCACGTAAAACGTTGCCTCGTGAGTTCTGCATGCTGCCGTTTACGTGTTTTATGATCACAGCAATTAACCAGCTAAGCTGTATTTAATTTTTAAGCAATGGTTGATCAATTGTCAGATCACACATAAAAAGCACTTTGGATTGCTATTATCTGGCTCACCGAGACAGATCTCAGACAGATCCTGAGACGCTCCTACCTGACATATTTATTTTATTCACGGAAAAAAATCACACTAGTGATTTCTCTTGGTGTTCAGTTTATACATTCAAACAGCACAGCTCTCTATTTAAACTACTTAAATGTATTTGTCCATCCATCCATCCATCCATTTTCATCCGCTTATCCAGAGTCGGGTTGCGGGGGCAGTAGCCTAAAGCCTGGTTTATGCTTCTCCGTCAGCTCCGCAAGGGACAGCCACGCACGGATTGACGGAAGCGTTTTGCTCTTTTACTTCTCCGTCTCCTGGAGAGTGTTGCAAAGCAATTGCCCGGCAGGACAACAGAGGGCGTAGCGCTGTTCTGTGGTATCCTGTGGTGTATCGGTCCAAGATAGTGTGTTAATATTGTGTTTTTTGTGTATATAAGAGACTTTTAACACGGACATATTTCTCTCTCATTCTCCCATCGCTTCATGCGCTCCCCACCTCTAAACCCAGGTTTCCTGTAATTTCTGTCCACAAATAAAACGCTTGCTGCGCATCTTTTCACTCCTCCAGTCATGGGAGAATTAAACGTTCATATTTTTAGAGTTTTTTCGCGAGGTATTCTTCAAGCTTCTCCGTGTCTGCCGCTAGTTATCCTCGGCTCTCTTTGCAATGGTGGCGCCGTAAACAACAGCGGTGTCCTGACCAATCACAAGCTTGCGTAATCTGTCTCGTTTGACGGATGTTTAAAAAAGTGGGCTCAACTCCGTACGTACTTGCGTGCCTGCTGGAGCCCTACGCAAGGGCGGATAATGGCGTTGCGTGTCTCCGCACTGACGCAGATGGAGAAGCATAAATCAGGCTTAAGTCGAGAGGCCCAGACTTCCCTCTCCCCAGCCACTTGGGCCAGCTCCTCCAGGTCCAGTAAGAAGTCCGCTCCGACAGCTTCTGGCGTTTTAAAAAGTATCCCAGGGGCACGGTAAGGGTCGGAGATGTTTAGTCTATTTAACTTCTAACTATATAAAACGATTTCTTCAGTGTTAAAGTGTGAAGTAAACTCAGACGAAGTAAAATCCAAGCCGATCCCGTTCATTTTGTTTACATTTGTTGCCTGCCAACATGGCGTCTACTCTCTGAGAGTCATGTGACGTCCGGAGCTCTATAGCCACTCTCAGTAACTAAAATCAGCTGAAATGACCAACATTACGGTTTATCCAGATTGAACTGGAAATCTTTTATTTTGTTATTCCGTTTTAAATACCTTTTAATTTAGTGTTTGTAGATGTCTTTTTAATTGTATGTGTGTTTTTACACTGTTTTTATGTGCTGTGCTGACGGCTGCAAAAGAAGTTCCTAACAGATGAATAAAGTGAATTTGAAATGGCTTATTTTGAAAATGACGGCACGGGGGTGATGTGGTTTAGTGTGCCCCAGGCTTTATTCTTTGGTTGTGGCTAAGCCGTTAGCTAATCTAGCTGTATGGCGTATTCTCTATTTCTTCAAAGAGAGGCTGTTCATGAATCCATTTGGTAAGATCATTTTTGTTTAATAACAACTACATTTTAGAAATGGGCAAAATATTTATGTCAGATTAAATGAGATTTCCTCCATTATTTGTCTGATTTTTAGATAAAAACAGAACGTTCATCAGAAACGACCTGCCAGAGGGTCGTGCTTGTGTCAGACTTCCATCGCTACACGTTTGTGTTTCGTTGGGGCTTTAATGTCAGAGCCTGATGGGAATTTTCTCTGGAATAGTTCCTTTTCCTTCTCACGCTGACAGATCATACCACGGTTAAAGTTTGACAGTAAAGGAGTGAGTTTTTATGTGTTAATAAAACAGGACTGATGAGAAAAATGTTTGGTTTTGTAAAACTATCACAGGTCCATGAAGTTCTTCGTGTGCAGTGAAGGTTTTCTGAACATCCACTTCCTGTGAGAGTTTCCACAACATTAATAAGCCGCGACACGTCCACCAGGTTTCAAATCCTTTAATCCAGATCTCCATAAATGCGTCCACGTTCCACAGAAGCGGAGTGCTTTCACCTCCATGTTCATTCATCTGTTCTTTAAGTTTAATGTATGACTGACTGAAAACAAACCAAAGAACACATCAAATATGTTTATTGCTGAAAGAACTCAAAAGGAGAACTTACAAGATGGACTTGGTGATAAAAAAACTAAAATATTCATCTTAGAAACACGCTTCATGTTTTTTTTATGATTGAAGCGAACGTTGAAAACCTGAGCAATAAAACTAACTGGGTTAGATTTTAACCACCAGTCATTAGCATTAGTACATTTAAACACTCTAAATTCAGATTCTGTATCCCTAAAAACAACAGGTTGTAACACGGTCTATGTCTCTGTAAGGCTAACCTGGTCGTTAATGCTCCGTTTTGAGGGACTCTTCTTGTCACAAGGTCCCACACACCTGCACAAAGTCATGTGACCAAGGAGCTCCTCTCCTGATGTTAATATTGTTCACACACAGCGGCTCCTCGTGTCTGAAAGACAAACGTACAAACTAAAAGGAACCTCAAAGGACAATTAGGAAAAATCCACGGTCTGCACAGCAGCTGCTTCTTCTCCTCTGCTGAGATCATCCATCCCACCTCACAGGTGTGGTTTATCAAGGTGCTGATTAGATAGCATGAATGTTGGACAGGTGTGAATTAGACTGGCCACAATAAAAGGTCACGCTGAAATGTGCACCAAAGAGCTCACTCACAGATTTAGACAGATTTGTGAACAATATGTGAGAGTATTAATGAGTCCTTTGTGCAATAACACCTTTTTTTTCCTTTGAGATCAACTCCTAATAAATGGGAGCAAAAACAAGTGTTTATATTTCTGTTTGGTGGAGAATAGTCTTTTCATTTTGTGTCCCCAGAGGAGGTTTAATCTCATATAAAACAGGTGATATTAACCCTCAGGCATCCTTGGGGACATTTTTGTCCATTTGGGCAGTTTTTACCTTTTCGTTTGGATGCCATTTTAAGCATTGTTTGTGCATATGGTATAAAATTTGGTCGCAAAACCTCTTGCTTGGCAAATTTATAAATTCAATTTGGAATTTTGAAAAAAGACACTACCCTCTTGTGATAAAAACGTGTAAAATTGTGATGTATTTGCCACAGGTTTGTTAAACAACTTCAGCCCAATAAAATTTTTATCATTTTGAGGATTTTAACCATTCAAATGCCAGTTTGATTACTCATTGCCATTGCTGCAATCTATAAACCCTTTAGCATCCATTATGAAGACCACCATCCGAAATTTGGGAGTGTAACTGGACTCAGCCCTTAAATTCGACGCGCAAATCAACCAGGTTGTGCAGTCGTGTATTTTTAACTTACGACGACTAGCCAGAATTAAGCCCCTGCTGTCCAGAGTACATCTAGAGACTGTCACACATGCTATTGTTCTCTCAAGGCTCGACTACTGCAATGCACTGTATGCCGGCCTTAGTCAGGGTGCGGTAGCACGCTTGCAGTTAGTACAAAACTCAGCCGCTACGTTCGTGACAGGCACTAGGCGCAGGGAACATAACACCCCTGTGTTGGCATTTATTCATTGGCTGCCTGTGCAAAACAGGGCAAAATTCAAGGTCTTGGTACTGGCATACAAGGCCTTACAAGGAACGGCTCCAGCATATCTTGGCAACTTTTTGCATAGGCATGCCTCCTCGCGGGCCCTTCGCTCAGCTGACACGGAGCTGTTGATCGTTCCACGCACTAAGTGCAGGTCACGGGGGGACCGTGCGTTCTCGGTGTTGGCACCTGCACTTTGGAACCAGTTGCCTTTGGTGGTGCGTCAGTCACCCTCATTGGGGGTTTTTAAGACCCTTTTTTTTTTGTCAAGGCATTTCAGGATTAGCAAATTTTACCCAGTGTTGATGGCCTGGCCTCTTAATCTTTTTCAGGATTTTATTTTTCGCTTTTACTCTCCTCTTTTAATTGATTTAATGTTGGTTTTACGATTGTTATATTTTATTCTGATGGTTTAATGTTTTTATTGTGTTGTGTTCAGCACCTTGGGCGTCTGCATTGGTCGCAGAAGGAGCTTTATAAATAAATGAAATGAAATAAACAACACAAAAATGAATTATTTTCCAACAAAACAACTTTTTCTTCCTGGGGCATTTATTATAAGTCAGTCTTTAGGTTATGAAACACCTAAAAAAAGACATTTTTGCATCAATAAATTTAAAAGTTACCATCCTCGTTTGACTATCGAGGACAAAAACGTCCCATTGACTTCCATTCAAACAGTGGTTTTTGATCCTGTGACATTTGCAATAAATAACCATGCTTTCTGTGATATTAGGGTTTCATTTTTGATAAAAGTGGTCAAATTTGTGATTTTTACTGTTCACCACCAAATGTCTCCATTAGTGGCCCCGGTGAAAAACTACACATTTCTTTAGATCGTCTGCTGTTTCTATTGAAGTCAAAAGGTCAATCTGACCTCTAAAAAGTAAATAAAACTGTTTCACACTCTTACTGGACTTCAAAGCATAGAAAAACAAACAAAAACAAAACAGTTAGTTTGCTTATGCACCTGGCTGGAGGCAAATAGATTTAAAAAAAAAAATAACAGTAGTTTTTTTTTTCATGAATTACAGCATTGAGTGATAAAACTGGATTTTGAAGGGTTAAAATTCTCAAAATGGCTGAAGTTTTTAAAATTAGAGCAGGACTGAAGTTGTTTAACAGATCTATGAAGAAATAGCCAGAGGTATGTGAATGTACACATTTTTATAGCAGCTTTTACGAGCGTACATTTTTGTCCTCTAAGGTCACAAGAAGGTAGTAAATTAAAGGGTTGAGAAAACTGGGTGGGTCAATAATAATCTCATGGTGGAGAATGGAAATGGAAAAGATGGCAGCACAGATGTGGCAGTGAACCATATTGCAAAGTGATGAGGAGGAAAAACAAAACGTACATAAAAAACGGCTATGTTGGTGAACAGCAGTTTTAGTGTTTGTGTCAACACAAACCTGAGAACAGGGAGCGCAGAGATGCACACAGACTTGACATGGACGTCGGCCTGCCTGTAGAAACGAGCGCCGGTGTTTTTCAGCCTGATGGAGTGGATCTCACACAGAGCAGCCGGGTGAGCCAACACCCTCCTGTACACCGTCACAGCTGTCTGACTGTAAGAAACGCACAACGGTCACCCAGTGAGTTCACAAAACCTTTCACAGCCCCCATACGACTTTCTGAAAGTTTCTGTTGAAAGAGTAGCCTGAATTAAACTGAATTATAGTCAAATTATGTGATTTACTGTCAAGGTTTATGTCTTTAAATATGGTAGCAGGTCTTCATTGTTGAGCAAGACTTGGCTTTGAGGAGATTCTAGATCCACCGTCCTGTGTCTCGGGAGGAGGAAAGCAGTGGCTGCTGACCTAGACTCGGTACGTTTTGGACTGGTGGGCAGAGCACTTCAACGATCTCCTCAATCCCACAGGCACGTCTTCCAGTCAGAAAGCAGAGTCCGGGGACTTTGGGTTGGGCTCTCAAATCTCTGGAGCTAAGGTGCACTAAGGTGGTCAAAAAACTCCTCGATGGCAAGGCTGCGGGGGTGGATGAGATGTGCCCAGAGTTCCTAAAGGTTCTGGATGTTGTGGCTCTGCAATATAATGTGGACATCCAGTTTTATTTGATTGACAGACTGAGGTGGTGGGGGACTGCAGGATGTGTTTCAACTACGGGGGGACCACGCTCCTGAGCCTCCCTGGTAAGGTCTATTCTGGGGTTCTGGAGAGGAGGGTCAGATGGATTGTCAAACCTAAGAATCAGGAGGAGTAATGTGGTTTTCGTCATTGGACCAGCTCTATACCCTTAGGGTGGTCCTGGGGGGTGCATGGGAGTTTGCCCTACCAATCTACATGTGTTTTGTGGATTTGGAGAAGGCGTTTGACCGCATCACTTGGGGGGCCCTGTGGGGGTTTTTCAGGAGTTTAGGGCACCAGGCCCTCTGATACGGGCTGTTAGGCCCCTGTATGACCGGTGTCAGAGCTTGGTCCGCATCGCCAGCAGTGAGTCGGGCTCGTTCCCGGTGTGAGTTGGTCTCAACCAAGGCTGCCCTTATTCACAAATTCTGTTCATAACTTTTATGGACATGATTTCTAGGTGCAGCCAAGAAGTTGAAGGGACCATTTTGGTGGTCTAAGAATTGAGTCTCTGCTTTTTGCAGATGATGTGGTCCTGTTGGTTTCATCAGAATGTGATCTCCAGCAAGCCAAGTGTGAAGCAGCTGGTATGAGAATCTACTTCTCTAAATCTGAGACCATGGTCTTGAGTCAGAAAAGAGTAGAATGCCTTCTGAGGTCCTGCCACTAGTGGAGGAGTTTAAGTATCTTGGGGTCTTGTTCACGAGTGAGGGAAAAATAGAGTGTGAGATCAATAGGTGGTTTGGTGCTGCATCTACAATAATGCGGGCGTTGTTACGATCTGTTGTGGTGAAGAGAGACCTGCACTGGAAGGCATAGCTCTCTATTTACCAGTCGATCTACGTTCCAACCCTCATCTAAGGTCACAAGCTTTGGGTTGTAACCGAAAGAAGGAGATCACAGATACAAGCAGCCAAAATGAGCTTTCTCCGCAGGGTGGCTGGGCTCTCCTTTAGAGGGAAGGTGAGAAGCTCAGTCAGCTGGGAGGGGCTTGGAGTTGATCCGCTGTTTCTCCACATCAAGAGGAGCCAGTTGAAGTGGCTCAGGCACCTCGTTGAGATGCCTTCTGGATGCCTCCCTGGTGAGGTTTACCAGGCACGTCCAAGCGGGAGGACATCCAAAGGAAGACCCAGGACACACTGGAGGGACTATGTCTCTCATCTGGCCAGGGAATGCCTTGGGATCCTCCTGGAGGGGCTGGCCCAAGTCGCTGGGGGGAGAGGGAAGCCTGGATAAGTGAATGAAAATGGATGGATGGATGGTCTTCAATGCTGCTAGCTGCAATGCTAATGCTAGCTGCTTGTACCAAAACATGAGCAGCATTCTGTTGTTCTGTTTTCATATGCTACAGCTAACTGTGTTTAGGTTAGCATCTCTGTCTGTAAAATGCATAATGCTGAGTAAAGTTACTGTTGAGTTAAGTTGTAATAGCCCCAAGCCACCAGAAGAGGGTGCAGCAGACCCTCTTTGTGCTAAAACATTCGGTCGTGGCAGATGTACTTTAGCTTCATTCATCTTTTCACACTGAAGTTTGTCCATGCCTTGGTTTTTGTTGACGTAGTTTGGAATTTGTTTTATTTTTACGTCTTTTATGTCTGACCATTAACACAGGATGTAAAATGCTTGTTTTCTGGATTCTGTATTGGTTATCATCACCCATCTTTGGGCTGATTGATGCGTGATACACTTCACATTTACTGTATCCAACATACATAATGACTTTTGCCTAACAAACACCCACATGATGAGGTTCAGGAATCCAGTTGGTGAGGGTAACGGCAAAACTGTAAATTCATTTGTTGCCATGAAAACTAAAACTGAACTCGAGGCTCCAGCTGAACTGGCGTAACCTTGAGCAGACTTAGTTGAGCTCCTTCAGCGTTTCTGCCTCAGCTTCCTGCACCTGGCCGGAGAAGCTCCCCTCTCAGAATAGAAGCTCGCCTCTCGTGGAGAATCTGCATGCTAAGGATTTGCTTACCAGCACCTTTGCTGGGCTGCTGCATTATAATCCATCAAATCAGGCTAAATAAGGACAATTTGTGTGTGTGTGTGTGTGTGTGTGTGTGTGGGGGGGGGGGGGGGGGGGGCATGTGGTCACACAGATTTCTGCTCTACTTTACTTCTGAACTGATGGGTTTGGGTTTGACTGCAAGCACAGCAGGAACAGAATGTAGATGAATGTGATGGACTTTTGTTTGTTGAGGTTTGTTTGTGTTTCTAAGAAAAACACAACTAATTAGTCTCTCTTTATCACCAGAGGTGTTCTTTTGTCCTCTATCTCTGCTTCATCTGCTAAACAATTCTCTCACCATCCTTAGATCTGGTGTGATACCTACAGCTTGAACCGGTACTCCGTTCCCAGACTCTCTGTCCTCAGCATCACCTCCACCTCAGCGCTCTTGTCCAGTGGGGAAACTTCCAGCTTCACCAGGATGTGATGAGCTGAGTGGAACAACATCAGCACATCAGAGAAAGTTTTATCTGCAGTGCAGAATTATATTTTGGCAACACTTCACAATTAAGGTCACAAAACTGTGCTTTGGTAGGGAACTAGTTAGGAGGTAATGAGTAACCAGTGACTAATGGGTAGTTAACCAGTACTTGCTGGTAAAACACCAGCCAGTCCTAATCAGGAATTACTGGGTAGTTATTTAAGGGATTAGTGTAATGCCTGTAGACTCTCTTTTACAAACTTTAATGAGGATGCAAAGCATTTGTAATGACGAACCGCTGCTGAGTCATCTAGATTTCACTTGTCTGTCACCTAATGAGTCAGAAACCTATGTCTATTCATTTCACGACCACTACTTTGTGCACTAGTATGTGCAGAGAAACAACCTCACAATAGCTGCTGAGGAACAAATCATTATTGCATCATCGCTGGGTCATGGCCTGCCGGTCCTGAGGTGCGGAAACCATGGCAGAAGGCTGATTCTCAGCATGTCAGAGTCCAGTTGGGCGTCTGTGACGGCTCGGCTGGCTGTGGCGGTCCTCCCAGGCTTTTGAGGGAAGTCTTGGGGGCGGTTGGGCCAGTGGATTTACAGATGAGACTTTTAGACTCATCGGGCAAGTCAAACGCTCCAGCGGCTTTGGAATTCTCCAGTTTAAAAACACACCGACTGTGGGGTTCTGATAGGGAATTGTTCAGAAAAAACATAGAACACCTCCACCTTGAGACAAAGCATGGGAGAGAAAAACGGGGGTCAGTCACAGCTTTTATTTTGAAAAACCCCACGGTGGAAGGAGCTGCAGCCATATTGTGCAGGCGGCAGGCTCAGTTCGTGCCAAATTTCCCGCCAGAACATCTGCCAATGGTGGAGTAGACAGCCGGGCTGTGAGACCATAACAGTTCGCCTCTCTTAGACAGACTGGGCCGCTTCAGGAGGAGAGCTGAGAAGCTGGAAGCGGAGTCCGGGCTGATATCTTGAGAGAGCAGAGGGGTTGGGCACATCTGTGTAGCCGCCAACCTGAAGAACTACCGCAACAGGTTGATAAGTCACCGGGAAAACAGGGTCTCCTGTCATCAGAGAAATACTCAACGCAACACTCCCATGCTGGGAGAGTAGCGAAGAGCAGGAGACAGGAGAAAACTGTGTAGCGTTATTGTTAGCAGAGTCGCTTTCGGGCTGCGCCCTTGTACTAGAAGTTGAGTGGTAATAAATGAGAGAATCAAACAGTCTTCTTTCATGACGGGGGACTCCACCACTGCACCTCCGCCGCTTATCTGCTTCCGCTTGTGACAGACAGTCTTTTCCACAGTGGGTGGAGCCTTACCCGTCCTTTTATTCTGACATGAGTTCATTCATTATAACTTACACCTGTAGACACTCAATCCAACACCCCCACTTGTATACAGGTTAAGAAAAGGCAAGGAAACCGAAATGCGTACCGATTCAATTTCACATTCCAAACATGAATACAGAGAACTTTTCCAACTTATACTTTGTTACTGGTTTTGTCATCATATCTGCAACCATTGATTCAGTTGGACAAAACTCAATAAGTACTCTTCCTTCATGTACTGCTGACCGTATAAAATGGTACTTTACATCTATATGTTTGCATCTTTGCCTGTTCACTGGATTTTTTTGACAAAGCTATTGTCCCCTGATTGTCCTCAAAGATCTTAGGTGTTTCATACTCAAACACGTCAATGTCTTCAATCAAATAAGTTAAATACATGCATTCCTGAATTGTTGCCGCTAATGCCATGTATTCAGCTTCACAAGTTGATAGCGCTGTAGTAGTCTGCTTTTTGGATTTCCATGATATTAAAGGGCCATTTCCACTTAGGCTTATACAGTACCCTGTCATACTACGTCTATCAGAAGCGTCAGATGCCCAATCCGCATCACTGTATGCTTGAAGACCTAGTTTTCCACTTGAACATTTTCTGAAACACAGTTCTTTTTCTTGACTACCCTTTAAGTACCTCAGAACATGCTTTACTGCTGTCCAATCATCAACAGTTGGCGAATTAAAATGTTGTGACAGTTTACTAACAACATAGCATAGATCAGGTCTGGTACCGTAGCTCAGATAAATAAGACATCCAACAGCTTCACGATACTTTCTCGGATCTGCTAACGTCTCACATGCATCAGAATGAACCCATTTCTGCTCACAAGGTGTTGACCTCGGCTTACAGTTTTGCATATCAAATCTTTTTAGAATGTTCTCCACATATGTTTTCTGTGACATCTTAATACACCCCGCTTCCTGAAGGAAATCTATTCCTAAAAAATTATTAAGCTTTCCCAAGTCTTTCATTTGGAACCTAGAAGAGAGCATTTCCTTTACATCCGAGAGCACTTTTTCATTGTTAGCTGCAATAAGTAAGTCATCCACCCACACCAAAATGATTACTTTTTGGCTTTCAGTTTCCCTTGTATAAACACAATTATCAGCACGATTTTGTCTGAATCCACAACTGTGTAAATAATCATGCAATGTTTGATTCCAATTACGTCCCGATTGCTTCAATCCATAGAGTGATTTCTTCAATCTATAAACCAGTTTATGTTTCTCACTAGACTCTGTCTCAAAACCTTCTGGCTGTTCAATGTATATTTCTTCATCTATTGGTGTGTGTAGATAAGCCGTTTTTACATCCATTTGAGACAACAACATGCCTTCCTGGACGGCTTTTTGCATCAGGATTCTCACACTAGCTAAATCGGCAGTAGGTGAAAAAGTCTCTCCATAATCAACTCCCATTGTTTGACTAAAACCTTTTACAACAAATCGAGCTTTGAATCTGTTTGAGCCATCGGAGTTTCTCTTAACTGTGTAAACCCACTTACCCCCCACTGCCTTTTTACCCTCTGGTAGAGTGGTTAAAGAGAACGTGTCATTTTCCTTGAGTGATTGAATTTCTTCTTCCATTGCTTTTTCCCATTGTTTTGACTCGCTTGACACAATAGCTTCAGAAAACGACTTTGGTATATCACACAACAGTTTATAACAATAATCCAGGTTGGTTAGAATTTGCTCGCTTCCGCACTCTTTTGCATCCGAGACATACTCACTTAAATAATCAGGTCTCTTTCTAACTCTGGATGGATAACGCTTTGCTCCATCGTCAACGGTTTCCTCAGTTTTGACTTCAGAATCCATTTGACTGCTTTCCATCGGTTCTGGAATTTCCACATGTGAAGTGGTTTTTTGTTCTTCTGTCTGTTCAGATTCACTTTGCTTCATAGATTCAAAGATCTCGTCTTCAAAAATGTGGTCACTCTGCGTTTGTTGATCTGTTGTGGCTGGATTTAATATCTTAATCAACCTATGTTTTTCGACTTTGCCAGATTTCGGAAAATAGACGAAATATGCAGGACTATTTCGATCATATCCCAAGAAAACTCCTTTATCACATCTAGAGTCCAGCTTTCCTCTGTTCTGTTTATAGGCATAACACAATGACCCAAATTTTTTCATCCTTGAGAGATTGGGTCTTTTCCCAGTCAGCATCGTGTACGGTGTCAGCCCTGTACGTTTATTAAAACATAGATTTCTGATCACTCCCGCTGTTTGGACGGCATATGGCCATAAAGACTTCGGCAACTCGCTCTCATTTAACATGCATCTTCCCATATCAAAGAGCGTGCGCCAGTTCCTCTCTGCCGTTCCGTTTTGATGCGGTGAATACGGCGCCGACGTTTCATGTCTAATACCGCTTCTGCTTAATAAATCTCGGAACTGCCGGCTTGTAAATTCCGTTCCATTATCAGAGCGAATGCATTTGATTTTCCCATATGAAGCCATGTCAGCAATAAACTTTTCGGTTGCTTGAGTTGTATTGCTTTTTTGTTTCAAATTATACATAAATGTCGCACCCGAAAAATCATCAACAAAGGACAAAACAAATTTGAACCCTTCTTTAGAGTTTGGTGTAATCGGACCAGCTAAGTCCGTGTGCACCAGCTCTAAAGCTTCGCTGGCTTTTTCATCTGGTTCTCGATTCCTGGTTTGCGTTAATTAGATTGATTTTTATATATAAGAAATCATATTTTTGTAGATCTGATCATAAAAGTAGTTAATGGTTAGTTACTGAGTAAGTAATGATTAGTTTCTCAGTAGGTACTTGTGAGGTTGATTCACTGCACATGCCAGTGCACAAAGTAAAGGCTGTGACATGGGTAGACAATGGTTTCTTACCCATTAAGTGACAGACAAATGAAACCTAGATCCAGCAGCGGCACATCTCTGTGATACTGCAAATGCTTTGCATCCCTATTAAAGTTTGCAAAAAAGAGTCGTCTTATTTCTTTCTTAAATAACTACCCATTAGTCCCTGGATCGTTGATCATTACCTCCCAAGTGGTTCCCTAGTAACAAAGCACAGTTTTTGTCCCTTATTGTAAAGTGTTACCAGTATTAAGCCTAATTTATACTTCTGCATCAGTGCGGAGACGCACAACATCATTATCCGTCCTTGCTAGGGTTCTCCAGCTGGCCACTGATGGAGTCGAGGCCACTTTTCTAAACATCCGTCCAACAAGAAGGAGAATGCAAGCTTGTGATTGGCCAGGACGCCGCTGTCGTCAACAGCGCCACCATTGCCCCCTCAAAAATGTAAAGAAAGCCGAAGGTCTCTAGCGGCAGATATGCAGCAGCTTGAAGAATACCTTGCGGAAGAACTTATTCACCCATGACTGGAGGAGTGAAAAGCTAAGCAGCAAGCATTTTATTCGTGGATGGAAATGACAGCAAATGTGGGTTTAGAGGTGGCGAGCACATGAAGGTGGAGGAGAATGAGGGACAAATTTGTGTTAAAAAGTCTCTTAAATACCAAAAAAATCCCAATATAAACACAACAGTAGATACGCTGTCGTGGACCGGATACATGACAGGATATCACAGAGCAGCGCTACGCACTCTTGTCCTGGTGGGGATTGCTTTGCAACGCTCCCCAGGAGACTGAGAGCAAAACGTCTCTGTCCGTGTGTGGGTCTCTCTTTTCTGGAACTGACGGAGAAGTATTAATGAGGCTTTATTGAAGAAGAAAGTCATCTGCTCTGAATTTGGGTTGCAGATGTTATCCCCTTAGTTCACCAGCAGAGGGAGTTTCACCCTGGGTGTGCTGGGAGCTCAGACCAAAGCCAGGCTGCTGACAAACCTGATCTCATGTGTCTTCATGCAATAAGACCTGTAACGTTTGGAAAGTTCTGCCTCTTTTATTGCTAGCAGACTAACTGTGTAAACAATTCCGGTTGTTGACTTTCTCTTTAGTAAATACAGAATGCTCACATTCGTTTGGAGGTTAGTGGTCTTCCTGCAGCAATTTTACCAATCCCAGCTCTTACCGCAAAACGGTGCTGAAGAAGTTGTCAGAAGAAACACTTTCTGCTCCTTGGGAAGGGGTGAAACGGATATCCCAGAGTTTTCTGATAAACCTAAAACACACAGAACAAGAAAACCTACTAAAGGCCGCCAAACGCATCACAGGCAGCTGACAGAAATCTCTTTAGAGCTGCTGGGGTGATGACAAGCTGCTATGGTCATGGAAGCTTCTGTTGGTAATTGAGCATAAGAATCTATGCAGTGCAGTACAAGGAGGTTCAGCTCTAATTTAGCTTCTAGAGTGTTTATATTAATCCACTGCTAATCCACCAGTACCGTTGTTGTAACTGACGTGATTAGGGTCGTAGGTCAGAAGTGGGACTATGACATCATCCTTTCCTTGAGCTTGCATTGTGGCTGTTCTGCATCACAACCATCGACATATAAATATTGGACAATGGGTTTCCATAGGCTCCAATAACAAGTTTTTGAGGATAAATGGGAGGTGGCCGCCACCGCCATTTTGACCGTGTCACAGGTTCCGTCCAGCCCAGACAATTCCACAAAAGGGAAGAGAGGTGGAGCTGAGGGTGTGGCTGTAAGGCTGGGATCAACTGACGACACCCGGTCGAACTAGCTACAAGCTAACCTGAAGCTAACCCAACGCTAACGCGGAGGTGGGAGCTAAGCTAATGGAGGTAGCAACCTAGCTACAACCGGAGTTAACTGCACAACACAAGAGCTTCTGAGTCAGAGATACGCCGGGCTGACCGCTGGGTAAAACCAGGTGGAACACAGAGGTCTCCCGAAAGCTGCTGAAAGCCGGCAGCCGGCGCAGCAGACAGAAGCCGCGATCAGACAGAGATGCGCCGAGCTGCGAGGAGGGGAGAACCGGGTGGAAAACATCGGTCTCCCGAGAGCTCCACAAGCCGATAGTCGGAACCCAGCTCCACCAACATGTTATATTACAACCCATTTTCTAAAGTGCAGCATTATGTTAAATGCACTGGGTTTTACCCTATTACATTTAAATTTCATGGTTAAACAGTACATGTTAAAATCTAAGCTCAGCTCGGCAGTGACCTGAAATACATAAATATAATTTTACTTACCGAAAACAATGAAGTGGAGACTCCTTGGATGCTCTATTAGTGCAATTAATGCCACAGCAAGTCATTTTGTCCAACAATTGCACAAATAATATCCAAATAATGGACTTGTGAAAACCCACAAAAGATTTGATTGGTCAATGGGGGTAGCGTGATCATGCTTCTTGCACATGCACAGATCATTTTCTTTCTGATCCTCTGGAAGGAAGGACGGTCCTGTTGCTTCAGATGCATCGCTAATCTGCAGGTAAAGTCTGCTACAAAGTTGTAGTCAAAGTAGCTGAGGGGGGTCAGAAATGTCGCCAGATTTGTTGCTAGGCGCTTTTTTGAAAAAAAGTCGTTAAGGGGGTCTGAAAAGTTGTTAGAAATGGTGACAAAGCCGCTAAGTTGGCAACACTTAGCTTCAGGTTAGCTTGTAGCCAGTTCGACCGGGTGTCGTCAGTTGATCCAAGCCTTACAGCCCCACCCTCAGCTCCTCCTCTCTTCCCTTTTGTGGAATTGTCTGGGCTTGACGGAACCTGTGACACGGTCAAAATGGCGGTGGTGGCCACCTCCCATTTTTCTTCAAAAACGTGTTATTGGAGCATATGGAAACCCATTGTCCAATATGTCGATGGGTTGCACCCAGTGTGGAAATGATACATTTAGTTTTATGTAGGTTGCATCATCTGTACTCAGTGGTCTGCTGCAGTCGGACACAGATTTTTATCTCAGGTGTCTTCTTACCGATCACTGGACATCTCCCCTTGAACACCCCACAGTCCACACAGCTTCCCTTCAGGAAGTCCTCATAAGAGGAGCAAGGGATCCCCATCAAGGTGCATGAGCCGTTCAGCGCGCTCACGTAGACGTGCAGCGCCCTCATGTGGTCACAGATCACATAACCAAACACTGGGGAGAACAGAAGAGGGATGAAACTGGACAACAGTTTGCTTTTTGCTCTGCCTTCTTCCGCGTTTTCAACTTACTTGTAGCAAATCTGGAGCGAGCACATCCGTTCTGGTCCTGGCCACCGTTCAGGAAGTAATCCACATGACCCACAGGGATGGAGATGCCAAAGTCTGACACACAGGATCACATTACAGGTGACATTAATGTCCCAGCTGTTGATTGTGATGAGGTAACAGTTCAGCCTGAGGGACCGTGAACTTAAGTTTCTCACTTTAAACCACAATTATCAACAAATAAACACCTGCAGGCATTATAAAAGTTTTCTTAGTGAGATTTTAAAGCAGATGTTGAAATAAGGTGAATGGAGTTAGATTCTCTAGTTTCAGCTAAAATACCAGAAATCACCAGTTTTAGAGCTAAAGCTACATGAGTATTTAGGTCAATGTCCCCTGCAAACACTGTTAAATAACCTCACAATTAAATTAAATAAAAAAAAACTGTAAAGCAGCTGCACTCAGTCTAGCTGTTAGCTCATCAGTCCTATAGGAGTGAAGCTATTTCTCCTAACGGAGGCTGTTTAGGAGGATGTCTACCATGATGGTTGACATTAGAGAAAGTATAATCTCACAATCAGAGTCTGTGTGGATGGCGTCCACAAACTGAGCGTCAGAAGGGTCCAGCCGGTCGTACGTGTCAGCTCCTTTAAACATGGGCCCAGCAGGGTCAAGACCTGGAGACGAGAAAAAGAAACCCGACGGGGAAACCTGCTTCAGATGGGAGAGATCATTAATGTTAATACCAATTAAATAAATGAAAAAAGAGCTTGTTTGGATCTCATAGCACCCACTTTTTAAAAAGTCACAGAGTTAAAACAATCCACTTGGATATTTACTTTATTCTCCATATCAACACAATCCTGCAGCTAAAGTAGCTGTGCTACTGCTAGTTTACCCGTTTAATCAAATATTCACTAGGATAAATACAATAAAGTTTATCTCTCGCCAAATAGAATATTTACTAAGAAATAACAATGTAACCATAGACACATTGTTTGGTGTGCGTGCGTGCGTGCGTGTGTGTGTGTGTGTGTGTGTGTGTGTGTGTGTCTGTGTGTGTGTGCCTGCTCTGTCTTCTCCATCCCCAGTGAGTCGTGGTGGATGGCTGCTTATACTGAGCCAGGATTCTCTGGAGGTTTCTTTTTGTTAAAATGGAGTTTTCCTCTCCACTGTCGCTAAATGCTTGCTTAGTATGAGGATTGCTGTAAAGTCACTGACACTAGTCAGTGACTTGATGCAATTTGCTGAGTTCCTTATATAGGAAACATTTTTTCTGATTGGCTTACTGAAATGACCTGAATTGGAATGTTTATTATGTGAAGTTCCTTGAGACGACTCTTGTCGTTATTTGGCGCTATATAAATAAACTTGAATTGAATTGAATTAAACCAGATGCTATCCCCACAGAAACGGTTTCTTTCTTTAGTATTTAGTAGAATCAGTTCATGTTTGTTTAAACAAAACTTGGATTTCCACCTTTCTACTCCTGTAAAAGTGTCTAGAGTAATTCAACTCATTACTTTTTTATTCTAACTTCATCCTGGTTTCTGAAGATGTTTGAAACTTGCCTCAAGCTGTGACTTCCAGACTTCAGCTGGAGCAAAATGCTGCAGATAGGTTTATATGTGAGGTAAAGACGTGGCAGCACGCGTCGCCCATGTTGGATGATTTGCAATAGCTGCCAGTGAAGCATTGTAAGACCAGTACCATGAAGGTACTGGTACTGGTATTTAAGGCTCTTGCAGCGACTGCACCATCCAATCTTGCTGATCTGTTAACAAAATACATGCCCCCACATTTCCTGTGCTCCCCTGGTCTACCTTTTGGCGTATTTTGTGGACTTGCTGACATGCCGCTGTACCACAGCTCAGTTCATCCATTTTATCTGTTTAGCAAGTTTTTATCTTTCAAATGACATCGGGAACAGACAGTCAGAGATGCTGAAGCAGGACTTTACTGTTTTGTTGAAATCACTCAGCTCTCTGAAAACAAAGGTGTTCATCAGTGGCCCGCTAGTTACCACCGGTCAGAAGAGGGGTTGAAAGATTCCCCCGGGTTTTTGCTTTCAACCCCTGGTTATCTTCTACATGCAACAGAGAGAACGACTGCTTCTTCCACCATTACGACTTCCTCTGGGATTGCACACTTCTTCTTGCCAGATGGAAATCGTTTAAACAAGTCTGGAGTGAAACTCTTAACATCAAACCTTTTACACATTCAGCGTGTTCCTTCTGCCTCCCCTACAAATGACACTAGAAGACAAGAGGAACATGATCAGGAGATCACCACGCAGCACGCCAGCTATCATGAAGGTTTACATTTCACCTGCTATGCCAAGGACAACAGATACCAGGATGTTCCAAAACAACAAGATAACGCGTCAGCAGTCCTGTAATCACACAGTACGGCCCTCACAACCTTCAGATAGCGCCACAGATTCTCTCTCTTCTCTGCTCACTTCAGGGTCACTGTGACCTCTGATCCACCTAGTAGACATGCCCCCCCCCCCCCCCCCCCGCCTTCGATCATCTGTGATTTATTGGGTCCAGATGTCACTAAAGATGTCACTCATGAATATTTCCAGGGCAAATGTGGACCCAATGAAATGTTAGTATTCCCTATCCCTGTTATAATATCTATGTTTGCTCACATAAACCCAGAAGCCTGATGACAGTTCCTTATCAGGCTCATTCCACACAGGCTCCACCCATCATCTCCATGAAGTTTGCCTCATTAAATGTCAGATCTCTTACCAATAAGTCATTTTTAGTAAATGATCTTATCTTATCGCTGCTCATGATCTTGATTTCATGTTTTAATCTGAAACTTGGTCAAATGGTAGCTGTGCACCAGTTCTCATAGAGTCAACACACCAGATTTCACATCTCTAAACGTGGTGCGATCTGCAGGAGAGGTGGTGGTGTAGCTGCTACTTTAGAGACCCGTTCCTCTGTAAGCAGCTAGTGTGTGGTGATTAGGACCTATTTGATTATCTTTGTTTTGAAGTTAAAGGTACACCCAAGATATTAGTGTTAGTAATTATGGGCCTCCAGGGTTGTGCACTCGTTTCCTAGAAAACTTCACTGAGCTGCTTTCTATTATCACAACAGACTTTGCACATCTTCTCATAACTGGTGACTTTAATTTTCATGTTGATGATACTAATGACAAATCTGCAGAACAGTTTCTTGGAGGCTCCCTTAAAGGGTTGTGGAAGACGATTTATAAATAAAGTCTTGATTGATGGATTGATTGATTGATTGATTGATTGATTGATCAATTGATTAATTGATTGATTGATATGTCCAGACAAGACCTAGAGAAACTCATTCATGTGTTCATCTCCAGCAGGCTGGACTATTGCAGTGGTCTATTGACTGGCCTTCCAAAAAAAGCTGTGAAGCAACTGCAGCTTATTCAGAATGCTGCTGCTCGAGTCTTAACAAGAACCAAGAGAACCGAGCACGTCACTCCTGTTCTTCAAGCTCTACACTGGTTACCAGTAAACTACAGAATTAATTTTCAAAGTGCTTCCACTAGTTTATAAATCACTCAATGACATGGGGCCAGATACATGTCGGATCTCCTTCCTGTAAATACGCCCAGCAGGGCTCTGAGATCCTTAGGAAGTAGTCAGCTGGTAGAACCCGGGTCAGAACCAAACAAGGTGAAGCTGCTTTTAGCTACTATGCTGCTCACAGATGGAATCAGCTTCCTTATGACCTCAAATGTGCCCCAACTCTAGAAACTTTTAAATCAAAATTGAAAATGTTCATGTTTTCATCAACCTTTGAATAAATGTTCTTATGCTGCACCTTCTGCACTGTAACTGCTCACCCTTTAACTTGAACTTTGCTTCTTTTTCATTCTTAAATAGTATGTTCTGTCACGTTGATTTAAATGTTCTTGCTATTCTTGCTAATGGGAAGCTCATTGAGTTGCCTCTGTGTATGAAACATGCTACACGTATAAATAAAGCTGCCTTGCCTTTTGTTGTTTGGTCATTTCTGACTGCAGCACTTTGAACCATCGTGATTGGTGGTGGTGAAGCGCTTTACAAATGAAGTAAATGAAATGAAAAATAAAATGAAATAGCTCAGCTTTAGAATCTTGTTTGTTGATCCTGAGCAGGTCAGGTGTACATAATCCAGACTCACCTGTGATTCTACCTATGGTTCCTCCAAACAGAGTCCCCACAAACCCAGCCACGTGTGCTCCGAGGCTGACCCCGATGAAGTGGAAGGATTCTGGTTTGCTTCCATGTTTCTGTTGAACAAGACACGGAGAGCAAAGGTCATTGATAGTGTCATGTTCCCGAGCCAAGGTGAGTGCTCCTCTTCCAATCTAACTGTCTCTGAGCTGATTACCCACAGGTGAGGAGCGGAGGGGGCTGCAGCTGCACAAGATTCCAATCAGGAACTCTGGTATAAAGGGAGGATGGAGACACCTCACCACGCCGGATGATTGCTCCAGTTTAGGTAGCCCCTGCCACTCGTACTCGTTACTTGTTTGTTCACTTTGACTCGTTTGGAATATTTGGATTTAGAACTTGGACTGATTTTGGACCATGCCTTTTGGATTACCCTCACGTCTGGTGTTTGTTTGTCTTATCTCAGGATCTCCACACACCCTGCCTCACCCTCGCCCGTTTGAACTCCGGATTACCTGCACCACGTCCCATCCTCCTCCTCCGTTGTTCCTGTCTGGACCCTCTCTGCTACCTCACCTATCCCGGAGCGCTCATCCTCTGCCCAGCTCTCACCTCGGCTTCCCCGCCTCCCTCGTTCACCACGAACGCTACATGGACAAGAGCTGTACAGCTCACTCCCCACTGGACTTCTCAGTGCTACTTCCATCCCCGTTTTCCAAATAAAGTACTTTCCTTTAACTCAACCATCTCGTCGAGTTGATTCTGCATGTCTTGGGTTAGACACTTACCTCGGGGCATGACAGATAATCTCACCTGGTATTTTCTCTGTGCTTTTAGATATAGAAAATGTGATCACAAGAGACAAACTAAAGGTGAAAATCAAAAAATTAGATATTTATTTCAATCTAGACCGAGTCAACGTCATGTTTAGAATAATAATTCATTCTGAAGAACAAAGCAGATACCTATGTTAACGTGTACATCTACAGCTGATCCACGGTGGCCGCCACAGAACACTGATGTTAGTAAAGGCAAAATACCAAAATACGTGGTGGTTAAGAGTCACGTCTGATGTGTTTTGCTACTCATTGTGTGAGATGTTTGTTTAGCTCCTGCAGCAACATCTCATCACCCCTAACCCTAACCTGTAGAGTTATAAAGGTCGCCTCAGCAGAACTAAACAACACATTATTCTCCATCCAGAAGGAATTAACAGAAGAACAGGGAACAAAATCTGAAACCTTAGAGGGCCCACTAGCTTATAGCTAAGGTCAGAGGTCACACATCAACTATATGTCCGGGAGGGTGACGAGACAAAAGCAAAACTTCCTGGAAGGTGTGTGTCCTGCACCATCAGGAGTGAAGCTAACATGATGGTGGCAGTGTGATGGTCTGGACCTGGACCACTCTCTGTAACTGACAAAACCTTGAATTCTTCCCCTGACTGAAAAATCCTGAAGAAGCTTGACCTTTGACCTTTTAATGGCCACTCATGCTGGAATAGAGCTCCGGATGTCACGTGACTCTCAGAGAGTAGACGCCATGTTGGCAAGCAACAAAGATAAACAAAATGAACGGGATCCGCTTGGATTTTACTTCGTCGGAGTTTACTTCACACTTTAAAATCGAAGAAATTGTTTTATATAGTCAGAAATTAAATAGACTAAACATCTCCGACCCTTACCGTGCCCCTGGGATACTTTTTAAAAACGCCAGAAGCCGTCGGAGCGGACTTCTTACCGGACCTGGCCGGGAAACCCCTTGGGATTCCCCCGGAGGAGCTGGCTCAGGTGGCTGGGGAGAGGGAAGTCTGGGCCTCTCGACTTAGGCTACTACCCCCGCAACCCGACTCCGGATAAGCGGATGAAAATGGATGGATGGATGGACAAATAACATAGATTTACATGTAAGTAGTTTAAATAGAGTGCTGTGCTGTTTGAATGTATAAACTGAACACCAAGAGAAATCACTAGTCTGATTTTTTTCCGTGAATAAAATAAATATGTCAGGCAGGAGCGTCTCAGGATCTGTCTGAGATCTGTCTCGGTGAGACAGATAATAGCAATCCAAAGTGCTTTTTATGTGTGATCTGACAATTGATCAACTATTGCTTAAAAATTAAATACAGCTTAGCCGATTAATTGCTGTGATCGTAAAACACGTAAACGGCAGCACGCAGAACTCACGAGGCAACGTTTTACGTGATGTTTACTTGTTGCTATGAGTAATAAGACAGAAAAAGCCACGCCAAAATAAGTTTAGGAAGCCCACTAAGAATCGTAATAAAAGCATTTAAAATAAACACCGTACACAGTTGAGGAAACGTTGGTTTAAGTACCTGATATGAAGTGGTCGCTGCATAAGCAAAAACCTTTACTCTCGGGATCCCACAGCTTCCTTTTAGCCCGGTCACTAGCGCATTTCATTACAATGATCCAATGTTTGCGGCATTCCGGATCTTGGGGAATCCTGTAGATGGCTCATTCCTTATGTCGTCTGCATCTGTTCTGCATCCTGGGGCACAACAGGAATCTACCATATTTCCCATTTGATTGAGTTTTCTGACAATAACAAATACTCCAGCTGCGGGCTTCTGCCTGCCAATATGGCACCATTTCGATTTGAATTGTTGCATGCCGGGAGAAGTGACGTCAACTCCCGGAGCTCTATAGGGTTTGGTTAAAACCATACTATGAGGAAGAGTGGGACATATTCCCCCACAGTGGCATGAAAGGATCAAGCTGTGGTCTCTAAGGGTGGTCCAACCAGTTAGGGTTCACATGTTTGGACATGGAGAAGGTTCTGACACCATACCAAAATATGAATCAGTCCTAATTAACACCTATTTAGACAAATTCAGGTTTAACCCTTTGATGCATAAAGGTCACTACAGTGGACAAGTACTCAAAATTGTTATTTATTTATTTTTTTGCTATTAAGCACAGCTGTTGAAGACTTTTGAATTTGAGCTCCTCCATTTGGACTTCAGTAAGTCAAGCCGACATATTTCATGTTCAGAATGCACGCTGTCCACCACGGTGGACATGTGATAAATTATTTGTAACTCATTTAATGTTGAAAAAAATATTTGTTGAAATTTGTTTCATTCACACCTAAAGATGAATGAAATAAATATTAAAAAAAATCTTGGTTGAAGATTTCATAATTCATGCATCAAAGGGTTAAAATGCAGCTTGATACACATCTTTGTAGACATTTTTCTTACCTGGAGCTGGTTTATGAGAACAGAGATCTGCAGGGCCACCTCTTTGTAATTTTCCACCACTACATTATAGGCAGAGGAGGCACCATAGAGCCAGTCCACCACCAGAACATTTACATCCTGAGCCCTGAGGAGGGCCTGAGCCAGCTCCGTCACCCAGGACGCGTTACTTCCCAGGGGCCTGAGGGGCAGAGGAGCTTTGTTTCAGGTCATGTTAAGTCTGCTGGTGAACCTGCTGATTCTAAAGAAATGAGAAGGAAAGCCGATGCGCTCCTTTCCCCTCCACTGAAGTTTTGGGAGGCTGCTGAGAGAACAGCTGTGCTCATGTAGGTGATGAAATGATGAGTTATTTTGCTAAAGCAGATATTTAAGTTTTAAAAGTATTTTTAATATTAAAGACCCCGTGTGTGAAATCCGTAGAAAATGTAGCTTTATACAACTCTTTAGCGCCATGCAGAGTAAGTACAGCAGCTACAGTGGCCCACACATAAAGAATGTCAACAACCTCCAGCTTTCACTACAGCCACCAGGTTTGCTTTTTATATATAGTGTGAGCTTGGTAGTATAATCAATTTCAAATTTCTATAATCTAGTGTTTCTCAGTTCCAGTCCTCAGGACCCCATGCTCTGCATGCTTTCCATGTTGCCCTATTAAACACCAGTGTTTCCCTGCTGCCACACACCTGACTTAAATGAATGAGTGGTTAACAGGCATCTGCAGAGCTTGATGTCCTCCTGAGGAGGCAATGCAAATATATAAATCATGTATGCTGAAGCAGATAAATGCAAAACATGCAGGACAGGAGGTCCTGAGGACCGCAATTGAGAAACACTGCTCTAGCCACAATAAGCATATATCTACTTGGCCAATTAAAAAAGCATTTTTAAAGCAAGCTAATCATGCCAGTCCTTGAAGCTGAGACACGGAGGAGGGCTGGGTGGCGTCAGCTGCGGGGGTCACATGGATCTGGGAACAGCGTTGTAGTAAACAAGCTGGCTGCTGCTTAGCGAGAGACCAACACATTCTCACTCCCAGTGCGTCAAAAACAAACGCTTGGTTAGCCACCCTCGGACCTCTGACGCCAAAAGTGCCCTTTTTCGTCACTTATGTGCGAAAAGGGGTTTTTCCCTTTTCTGACTGCAGATCCCAATGCAGCATAAAACTGACGCGATGGGATGTCCGCAGCCAGGGCACCAAACAAGCTCATTGTGCCTCACCCTAACCTCATTCTCTTGTTATTTAACCTTCCCCTCACCCCTATCCTAACCTTAACCATCTTGCTAGCAAACACGTTAGTGATGTGTCGATCGCTCTAAAAGCCGGCTCTATGAAGTGAACGGTGAGCCGCCTCGTCATTGGTCGAGTTTGGACCGAGGCAACGCGAGGGGGAGGGTTCAACTACCACGGTGGAGGTTAAAAGTAGAGGGTATTTGTAACCTCCCCCTCACCAGATGGTATGTTCTAATGATCCCCTTGGGCGGCAGATACGAAAATTCACAGTCAGAATGCATGGGAAACAAACGCTTGATCACAGTGAGAGTAACGTTTTAGGTAGCAAGAGGGTTAAGGTCAGGATGAGGGTGAGGGGTAGGTTATAAATAGTTTTTGAAGCTATTTAGTTTATTATAGGCTTAAGTTATAGCCTAGTTTATTTTCTTTATTTTATGCCAAAGTTAATTTGTTTGTTCTGCATTATGCTTTATATTTATTGTTTTGGCTAATCAGTTTATTGTTTATTGGTCAGGTGTGGGTGATAATTGTATAAATAGGTCAAGGTGGGTAGAGTAGCCAGGACTGCGAGGGAACATGGTCTTTTACCTCACACAGAGATAGAGATGTCGCAAAAATCTGTGCTCTTGATGCTTGAGTGAATAAACCACCACCAAACGCGATTTTGGCATGGACATTGCTTTATATGAAACATGCTACATCGGGATTGGTCTGTTGGAGTTCGACGCCTATTTACCGATTAGCCGCAGCTAATCACGGCACATGGCTGATGTAAGCCGTGGTGCTTGTTAGAAGGTCACCTAGTGAAGGAGGTTTGGCTGGAGCCGGGGACATGCTGCTGACTTAGCCACCAGCTAGCGGTTGAACGCTGGAGCATGTTGGGAAAGAGACGTCAGGCTGCAGGAGAGACTTGAGTAGAAGGAACTACAGAACACGTCTTGAAGAAGGACTTTGGAACTGATACGTTGGGACCGGATCGGGAGCTCTAACACAAAGAAAAGATGAATTAGCATCTTGAGGTGAGTGAGGGAGTCAGGGACACCACTTGGAGGCATGTGTCCAGCTAATAGCGGGCAGGGGTCTCATCATTTGTGGACATGATGACGACTTGACAAATTTGACATGTCTTTCTATTTCATTGCTTGTTATTGAAACTTACAAAGTACAGCAGCGGTGTAGCTAGTCACTTCTTCTTCTTAGTTGAATCGGCAGAATCCATGATTCCAGGGTGCGCTGCTGCCCTCCGCTGGCTCTTTCAGGTTACAGTCATAGTGCAAACGCGTACAACAGAGCTCATATGTCCCTAAATAGCAACCATATTTCAAGACGGTGGATGACCATGGAGCGTCAATCACAGTTTATGTATTGGAAAAATGTAAAATTTCAAGCTGAGAGGAATATTTAGTATTGATGTTGGTGAGAAATAGTGAAAAAGGACAAGTTTGTGAACAGGATAGGCGTCACAGAATTTTATAGTAAATCAGTAAAAATATTACACACGGGGGCTTTAATGTTAGATGATATCAGTCATAATAAAGTTCAGTGATTTTGATCAAAGTGTTTGATCTGTTTTGCAGATGAACTCTTTGGCTTTGGTTTCACTGTCAGTGTAACAAATGTCCAGTAAGAATTGACAACGATGATCTAAAATATGTGGAAACAAATTAGTGCCTTTAGCAAAAAGAACAGTGCTTTCATTTTGTCTGATGTTTCCAACAAGGACTCAGTGCTGCTCTGGTGGAGGTCTGTGGTTGAAACTTGGCTCTCTGTAAATGCCAAACTCACCCAAAAAGTCCCTAGTTAAAAAAAAAAGCTGGTGTGTCTGGGGCTTCAGCTTTTTTCTTACTATAGAAGCAAAGCAGGGTTGGATTTGGTCTGTGGTGGATCTAGAATACCCAAACAGATGAACGTTTTTAGAATGTTTAGGAGTCTGCTGCTCACCTGTACCCATGGATGATGACCTTAGTGGGATGGGAAAAGCTGAAGTATGACTGCTTGTTAACCAAGTCCTGGTTGAATCTTTGAGCACAGTCAGAGTTTTTCCGGGTCAGCAGTAGGTACTGGACCTGCAGAGTGGCCCTCTGACGCCGGTATTCCAGCCATCTGGTGCTGTTGAGTGCAGCACACTGAACATTGTCCTGCCCTTCTCCTGATCCTGATGCAAATATCAGATAAAACTGAGCCACAGCAGCATTTGAATACATTTATTAGTACTGTAAAAGTAGAGAAAGGATTTCCATCTCTGTTTGCGTTTTTATCTCTCTTATCTTTTTAGTTTTACCCTCGTGTCCTCCCTCTTCTACCCCTCCCTAGGCTGCCACCTTATCGTGGTGGAGTGGTTTGAGTGTCCCAATGTTCCAAGGAGTTAAGTTGCCTGAGGAGTTTTGCCTCTGGTAGGGTCACCCATGGAAAACAGGTCCTAGGTGAGGGATCAGAAAAAGTGCAGCCCAAAGACCCCTTATGATGATTGCTTCAAATAGAAACAGCGTTCCCTCAGCCAGATGCGGGTCACCGGGGACCCCTCTGGAGCCAGGCCTGGAGGTGGGGCACGTCGGTGAGCGCCCGGTGGCCAGGCTTTCACCCAAGGAGCCCGGCTGAGCACAGCCCAAAGAGGAAATGTGTGTCCCCCTTCCCATGGGCCTATCACTTGTGGGAGGGGCCAAAGGGGTCATGTGCAATGTTTGATAGGTGGTGGCTGAAGGCGGGGACCATGGCGGTCTGATCCTGGGCTACAGAAGCTATGGGGACGGGTTCTGACTGTGGTTTGAGCTTATGCACTAAACTACAGTTCCAACTACCCACGCTTTTGAGTCCTTGGAGGAGGTGCTGGAGAGCGCTCCTTTCGGGGACTCCCTCGTTCTGCTAGGGAACTTTAACGCTCACGTGGGCAATGACAGTGAGACCTGGAGAGGTGTGATTGGGAGGAACAGCCCCCGATCTGAATCTGAGCGGTGTTTTGTTATTGTACTTCTGTGCCAGTCATGGATTGTCCATAATGAACACCATGTTCAGACATGAAGGTGTCCATATGAGCTCTTGGCGCCAAGATACCTAAGGCTGCAACTCGATGATCAAATTTGTTGTCTGATCTGCGGCCGCATGTCTTGGACATTCGGGTGAAGAGACGGACGGAGCTGTCAACTGACCACTACCTGGTGGTGAGTTGGCTCAGATGGTGGGGAAGGATGCCAGTCAAACCTGGCAGGTCCAAACGTATTGTGAGGGTCTTCTGGGAACATCTGGCAAAGCCTACTGTCAGAAGAAGTTTCAATTCCCACCTTCTACATAACTTCCAAAATGTTCCGGGGGAGGCAGGGGACACTGAGTGAGGGAAAGATGGCGCACGAGATCAACAGGGGGATTGGTGCTGCGTCTGCAGTGATGCGGGCGTTGGACCAACTTGTCGTGGTGAAGAGAGAGCTGAGCCAGAAAGCCAGGCTCTCGATTTGTTGGTCGAGTTACGTTCCTACCCTCACCTATAGTCATGAGCTTTGGGTAATGACCAAAACAATGAGACTGCGTATACAAGAGGCCGAAATGAGTTTTCTCCGCAGGGTGGCTGTGCTCTCCCTTAGAGATAGGGTGAGAAGCTCGGTCATCTGGGAGGAGCTTGGAGTAGACCCGCTGCTCCTCCACATTGAGAGGAGTCAGTTGAGCTGGCTTGGGCATCTAGTTAGGATGCCTCCTGTACGCCTCCCTGGTGAGGTTTTAAGGGTACATTCAAATGGAAGAAGGCCTAAAGAAGACCCGGGACACACAGGAGAGACTATGTCTCACGGCTGGCCAGGGGACGCCTTGGGATTCCCCCGGAGGAGCTGGCCCAAGCGACTGGGGAGAGGGACGTCTGGCCTCCCTGTTCAGGCTACTGGCCCCTCAACCCATCCCCAGATAAGCGGCCGAAAATGAATGGATGGATGGATGGATAGATGTGTCCACCCTTCTGGGAATCTCAGCTTTCACCGAACCCTCGGCGTTGGAAACATCAGCCGGGATCGAAAGGGTTTGGTTGCCTTGGCAACACTTCTACTTATTTTTGCTACCTAAACTCCTAGATGCATCCTGTCAAGAGGCCGTTGGCTTTTTGCACTACAATATTTGATTATCTTCAAGTTTTACATGTTTTTAGAAAAACTTGATTTGATGATTTTAAAACATTTTTTTGTTGTTTAATTTGGGATTTTTAAAAAATTTCTCACATCAAGTGAAACATCGGATTTCAGGATGTTAATGAGATGAAACTCATCCTTTTCATTATTCATTAGTCAGGATCACAAAACACAGATTTAATAAACGGTGGCATAAAGCTTGGTTTGCGCTTGACTCGTCCGCGAGGTTCGCACGGCTCCGCGCGGCAAAATTGCGTCATTTTAACAACCACACACCTCCACCGCGCCTCTGCACGGCCCAACCTTTCTGCACCACGTACCTAGGAAATTTTCTAACCATGCGGATGATCGGACGCGGAAAAGCATGGCGGACTGGCAAGAACTAGTATGGCAGAGGTTCGTAAATACAGACATTTGTATGATTCAGCTCTCAAAGATCACCGTGATCAACATGTTGTTAATAATTCTTGGAGAGAAATAGCTCACACTGTCGGAAAAGACGAGGACGCTGTAAAAAAAATGCTGGAATGCCATGTTGTAAACAACAGTAATTTTTACTTCTACTATGGTGTAGTATTGGATGCATGCCGTAGAGCTCCATGCTGCCCCCTACAGTTTGGGAGAATATTGGCTCACCGCAGAGACAAGCCGCATGAACCATAAACGCTGCAAGTTGTGAGGCACGTTCCATCCGCGAGCCGCATCACCAAGCGGAAAGTGAATGCGTCAAGCATAAACCAAGCTTTACTGTGTTTTTGTGTACTCTCCCACCACGTCCACACATCATTTCACTCCTTTTAACTGGATCATTCTAAACTGGTGCTGAGAGGTTCATCTCACTGATTCGAAGAACAGCTGTATCGAACACTCGCTCAGTTTCAGGACATTCACTTTGAGATGTGTGAACACTGTTTGGTGACAGCACTCAAAGGTCAGATTCAGAACAAATCCAGATCTGACATCTGAGAATGTCCGTTGTTTGATTGAAACAACACCATGAACTTGAAACAAATGCAACAAAGACCACTTACCTGCTGTTAGAGATGAGATGTGGATGAATAAAACAGTTAAGAGAACGACTTTGTCCTCCCAAAGCATTTCTGTAGAAAGTGAGAAGTTGGAAGCTTCCAGCTAGAGCTTACTGGTCCTCAGCTGATGAAATCCCAGCTCAGTCTGAGCTGTGTTGGAGCTCTGAAACCAAACCTCAGCAGGTGAGTCAGGCCCAGCTCCAAACATCAGAGAAACTAGATTTATTGGACCTTGTCTCTTTTCTTATAAAGCCTCGGTTTACACCAACACACAACCACATCGCTCCCTCGCCCCTCCACTGGTTCTTTTTACTCATCACAGCCTTGTTTTTTTTTCTTTTTGTCTGGGTCTGGGTTTGAAAGGAGTCAGCAAGTGGTTGGAGGTCTTTGCCTGCTGGTGAATCTGTGACCTCATTTGTGCTGAATGGTTGTTTGTTTAAAACGCTGGACTCTGGCCTGGCTTCCTGCTTGTTTGTATCCTGGACGACGAGCTTAAGTTTAATGTTTGTGTGGTTGCAAAAAAAAAAAAAAAAAAAAGGTAAAAGAAGGAGGAATGTCACTGAAAGAAAGCAGGGGTCAGACAGAGAAAATCAATAATTAGCTTATGAGTTTTCATAATGTATGCTCAGTTATGTAATCATCTCCTAGAGGACACACACACACACACACACACACACACACACACACACGCGCGCACACACACACACACACCTGCAGATTTAACATGCAAACTAAAACTGCAGCTTTAAATCACAATGATCTCTAAAGTGTGACTGTGTGTGGTCCAGTAATGTCAGTAATACCAGCATGCACGCTCACAAAGACATGTAATCCCCTGGAAACAGGTCAAGGGTCCCTGCTGCAGCTGCAGCTCCTGTTGTGTTCTTGCTGTTTGAGCTCAGCAGTCTTTAGTGGGGGAGGGGAGAAACTGATCTCACTGATGTTATTAGTTTTATCAACAAATTGTCCTAATTGTGTTATCCTCGGTTCTATTCTCTTTAGTCACCAGCCTCCAACAAAGATGTCTCACACTTTCTGAATCATGGAAACTTAACTGAAAGAAGCTCCAGATGCACATATTTCATCATGTTGTAGATCAGAGCGGCTCACCACTAAAACCCCTTTACTCACAAAAGCAAACAGGTGAACCTCACAAATGCTTGGAGACATTTTCCAAACTCAGAAACAAAAACCCAACAAGTGTAATTCAGAGAAATAGGGTCAAGGAGGCTGAATGAGGTGACCCAGTTCAGGTGGTGACACAGGTAGGATTTGGAAGTCTTCTTGTCTTCAATGAAAGACAATGACGTTTTATTTTCTTCAGACGTAAATAAGGAAAAACATTCTGAAATTGAAATTTCTGCAATACTGATTTTCCAAAAAATAGCCAGGAGTCGTGTGGTGATTTTTTAAAAATCATATTATAATGAAAGAAATGAAGGAACAAACATCAGTTTTTAGAGTGTACACAAGGGAGAACCTCACATTCAAGGATCCAAGGATGAAGACAGGGTGAGACACTTCTCATCATTGTCATTATTGGGGCAGCAGTAGCTCAGGTGGTAGAGCGGGTTGCCTCATGATCGGAGGGTCATGGGTTTGATTCCAGCTCCCGCCAGGGGTATCCTGCTGTTGTGTCCTTGGGCAAGACACTCCACCCAACTTGCCTGTGTTAGTGGTGGTCAGAGGGGCAGACGGCGCCACATGGCAGCCTCGCCTCTGTCAGACCTCCCCAGGGCAGCTGTGGCTACAAGTAGCTTACCATCACTAGCAGTGTGTGAATGTGAGTGTGTGGAAAGCGTCTTTGGGTGTCTAGAAAAGCGCTATATAAGTTCAATGCATTATTATTATTATTATTATTATTATTATTACTCAGTCTAAACACTTGTGATCCGGGCAGCATGGGAGTGTGAAGCTGTGTCCATGACTTATTACTGTAGAGCACGCTCTACAAGTGTTGTCATGCCAACATTCAACCTTGAAGATCCCATATCAAAATCAAGTAAAATAAGGTGAAATGAAATAAAAATGAAATCACAGCATTGGTATTTTTTCTGTGTTTATTTTCTGTGTATTATTATGGACTGTAAATTGTTTATCATATTCAAACCTACAACCTCAGATATTTATGGATTAATTTTTTATTTTATTATAATTTATTTTAAGTATTTTGATTAGTTTATCTTGACTGTAGTTATTAGTATGCTTCTTTATTTTCACCATAAAAATTTTAATATATCAAACATAAATACAATCTAACCTTGCATTTGGATATTAGACACTAGACCTGGATGGATGGTAGATGGATGGATGGATGGATGGATGGTAGATGGATGGATGGATGGATGGTAGATGGATGGATCTCCAAGCTTCCATTTTTATCAAAACTGTTAGAGCGTGCTGTTTTTAACCAAATTATGTCTCATCTAGATGATCATGGTTTAATGGATCCCTTCCAGTCAGGCTTCCGATCCCTCCATAGCACCGAGTCAGCTCATCTTCGTGTTTTTAATGACATTTTATTAACCCTTGACTCTGGTTCTAATGTATTGCTGGTTTTATTGGATCTGTCGGCTGCTTTCGATACGGTTGATCATGCTATTCTGCTGACTCGGCTGAACCAGCTGGTCGGCATCCAGGGGACTGCCTTAGACTGGTTTAGGTCCTACTTCTGTGACCGCACCTTTAATGTTATGATGGGTAGTGCTGCCTCCCCCTCTGCGGCTTTGACTTGTGGTGTTCCTCAGGGCTCTATTCTTGGACCCCTTTTATTTAATTTATATATTTTGCCCCTGGGTGACATTTTTAAAAAACACCACATTGATTACCATTTTTATGCAGACGATTGCCAATTATATGCCTCTGTGAAGCCTAATGACTCCTTACTGCCCCTTGTTGAATGCTGTAATGATGTGAAGAGCTGGCTGTCAGAAAACTTTCTTTTGTTGAACGACGCTAAGACAGAGGCCATCATTTTCAGCCCTGGTACTTCTCAAAGTCCCCAACTGACCCTTCCATTTATCACAAGTGGGTTGAAAAACCGTGTCACAAACTTAGGGGTTGTGATGGACGCTAAACTAAAAATGGACATTCATGTCAACCAGGTAGTTAAGACCTGTTATTACCACCTGAGGCGTCTCTCTAAAGTTAAGCCCATTTTAAAAAGGCATCATCTTCATTCAGTTGTCCATGCATTTATTACTTCCCGTCTCGACTACTCTAACTCAGTGCTATACGGTATCTCCTCCTCCACTCTCGCTCGACTTCAGCTAGTGCAGAACGCAGCAGCTCGCTTCTTGACTGGCACCAGGCAGCGGGAACACATCACACCGGTTTTAGCAAATCTTCATTGGCTCCCCATCCATCTCCGGATAGAGTTTAAGATCCTGGTTTTTGTGTTTAAATCCCTAAATAACTTAGCACCTGGCTACTTGTCTGAGCTCATTCACCCATATGTCCCTACAAGATCCCTCCGATCAGCTGACCAACACCTCCTACATGTCCCTAGCTCTCGCTGTAAGTCCCGCGGGGAGCGCGCCTTTTCAGTTTGTGCACCGAAGCTCTGGAACCACTTGCCCCTCCCGATCAGACTCTCTTCCTCTCTTTCCCTTTTTAAGTCTCGTTTAAAAACTCACTTTTATTCTCTGGCTTTTAATTCTGTCTAACTTATTCCCTTTCTACCTTTCCTTTTAGGGTTGGATTACTTGATTTTAATGGATTTAGTTTTTATTTTTGATTGTTTTTATTGTGTGTTTTGTTCAGCACTTTGGTCGGCTCTCATGCCGTGTTTAAATGTGCTATATAAATAAAATTGGTATGGTATGGTATGGTAGATGAATGGTAGATATATGGATGGATTGTAGATAGATGGATGGATGGATTAATGGATGGATGGATGCATGGTAGATGGATGGATGGATGGATGGATGGATTGATGGATGGATGGATGGTAGATGGATGGATGGATGGATGCATGGTAGATAGATAGATGGATGGATAGATGGATGGATGGATGGATGGATGCATGGTAGATAGATGGATGGATGGATGGATGGATGCATGGTAGATAGATAGATGGATGGATGGATGGATGGATGGATGGTAGATGGATGGTCGAATGGTAGATAGATGGATGGATGGATGGATTGATGGTAGATGAATGGTAGATATATGGATGGATTGTAGATAGATGGATGGATTAATGGATGGATGGATGGATGGATGCATGGTAGATAGATAGATGGATGGATGGATGGATGGATGGATGGATGGATGCATAGTAGATAGATAGATGGATGGATGGATTAATGGATGGATGCATGGTAGATAGATAGATGGATGGATGGATGTTTGATGAATGGATGGATGATGGTAGGGAGATGGATGGATGGATGCTAGATAGATGAATGAATGGAAGGATGGATGTATAGAAGATAGATGGGTGGATGATGGATGGATGGATGGATAGATGCATGAATGAATGGATGGTAGATAGATGGATGGATTAATGGATGGATGGATGGATGGATGGATGGATGGATAGTAGATAGATGGGTGGATGATAGACAGATGGATGGATGGATGAAAATATGCATGAATGAATGGATGGTAGATAGATAGATGGATTAATAGCTGGATGGATGGATGGATGGATACATGCATGGTAGGTAGATGGATGGATGGATGGATGGATGGATGGACGGATGGATGGATGGATGGATACCTTACTGACAGGACTAAAAATTTAATCCTAAGGTAAAGCCTTGTGATGCCCTGTTCTGACTCTAAACACACAGCAAACCAACACATAACTGCAACAAAGAAATATGGTTTTAACTGGAGATGATTCAAAACTGTGTTTTATTGTCCAGATTTAGTTTAACCATTGCAAAGCCTACAATAAGATGAGTAAAGTTTAGTTAATTGTACAAACATACAAGTGAAAAACATTTATATATGAGTTACGTTTTAGAGGAAGTCCTCCATAAGTGGGGTTTTCTGTTGCTCCATGATAGCAGTGGGATTTGTACACAAAGAAACATTCATATAAAAGCTGATTTCTGTTAGAATATCTCATCTATGACCTCACTGAGTTATTTGGACCTTTGTTTGTCCCTCTCTGAAGGCAGCTGTGAGGCGAGCCACTCAGTGGTTCTCTTGCGTGCCTCCTCCCAGCTGTAGCGGGGGACATATCCCAGGTCCTTCTTAGCTTTCTGATAGGAGAAGGTGAACGTTGTGTTCAACAAGGTGAGGACCTGCCGGGTTAATGGAGGGGCGATGCGTATGAACGGACGGATCATCATGCATACTGTCTCCAAAATGAAGCAAACAATGTAGAAGAAGAAGAGTGGCAATGGGAGCTTCTTCTGAATGCTGAAGCCCAGAGGAGACATCACAACATGGTTGAAGTCTGAATAACTCACAGGTGGTGTGTCATCAGAAATGAAATAAAACTTTCCGCCGATGATGTTCCGTTTTTGTGGATCTTTCAGGCTTCGGGCTGCTTGAAGGTGAGCTTGGGCCACATTTCCAACATAAACTGGATTCACCAGAGCCTCTGCTACCGATGTACGATACAGGACATCTTTGTTTCGGATCCCGTCCCTCATGTGACTCAGCAGGAAGCGGCAGCCCTCTCCGTAGATGTACATGGGCCTGAGGGCACAGGTGGCGAGTCTGCCTCCGTTCTGGAGCACCTCTCCGTTGGCCTGAAGGGTTCTGTCCTCAGCCTCCCTCTTGGTCTTGCCATAACTGTACTTTAGAGTGCTGTCATAAACCGTGTCTTCACTGCCATTGATTATAGGCTCTCCCCTGGTGTTTGGTCCCATCACTTCCACTGTGCTGGTGTAGATGAAGGATACCACGTTCTCTTGGATACTTGTCTCCAAAAGCAGCTGAGTTCCTGCAAAGATCCAAACTTGAAGCTAGGGACTGTTTTATGGCAAAAATGCTGAATGATGTCGTTGAAGCATTCTTAGGCAGGATTTATTTCAACAGTTTAGAGCTCCAGCCTTACCTTTGACGTTGACTCCATAGAGCTCGCTGTACTCCACCGACTCAGTGACATCGATGATGGACGCGATGTGGAAGACGGTCGACGCCCCCCGCAGGGCTTTCCTCAAGAAACCACCGTCTCTGATGTCCCCCTCGAACAGGCTCAGTGTTGTTTCTCCCCTGCAGTCTGACAGACAGTGAATCAAAGGTAAATGTTTATTTACACACACACGTGCGCGCGCACGCACACACACACACACACACACACACACACACACACACACACACACACACACACACACACACACACACACACACACACACACAAATACGCACGCACGCACGCACCCACACATGCACACGGCACCGGATGTTGGTGTTTGCATAGCACTTGTCCAGCTCCACGATGCTACATCCAGCCACTAGCAGGGAAGTCATCATGTCACTGAGGATCTCACCCACACTGGGTTAAAGATTGTTCTTCCCTGGTTGGTACAACGTGCAAAATGTTCTAATCGGGGGTGAAGAACACATTGGACATGGTGTTTTGCAGCATGAAACATACATAGAGAACAGTACCCTGGTTAAGCTAGGCCAAATGCACTTTTCAAAATAAAAGTGAATTTGATAAATAGGTATTCCATTGTCATTGATGTCATTGCTGTCATATTGATGTATCGATGTTGACCACATAGTTGATGTATTGATGCAGATGGATTTATTGTTACACTCTGAGTACTCAGTAGATAATGAGAGGCCCCAGCAAAACAAAAGAGATGGTGCTGGACTTCAGGAGATGGAGAGGAGATGCTTCTCCACCAAAGATCATCAGGAACTGTGTGCAGAGAGACTCTCACGTTGATGACCCCTTGCAACGATTGACTCATTAGAACCTCCATGTCATCACGTTACTGAGAATAAACAACCAGGAGGCTAACATGTTTCAGACCTTCTGCATCACAGTGTGAGTAGGTTATCAGAAGACTGTCAGCTGCTCCCCATCTCCCTGGACGACCTCACAAGCTCTTGCTGTCTCACTAGAGCCTACAGTGTCTTGTCTGACTTGACCTTTCACCCCCAGTCTTCTTTCACCTTCCCTACTCTGACAGCTGGTCACAGAGGACAAAAGAGTCAAACAAAGTAAAATAAAAAAAGTTCTGACCGTGGGCCACAAGATGCTCCAGTACTTTAAAAGATCACCCAGAGATGCTGCAAGACCTCCAGCCCACCCAGCCCACACACACACACACACACACACACACACACACACACACACACACACACACACACACACACACACACACACACACACACACACACACACACACACACACACACACACACACACCAGAATATTATATTGATTGGAGTTGTGCTAAAAGCACAAAAGTTCTGGTTGCAGGCGTGTCTGCAGCCCGTGGAAGACGTTCCTCTGCAGCAGAAGTTCTTGCTGAGGTAGAAGGTATGAAACCTTGTACTGAGAATGTGGAATGAGCGCTGATGGTCAGAAAACGAAAAGCAGATATGATCGCCGCACTTCCTTTCACATACAGACCAGGGGGCTAATCAATCTTCTCGTCATTCTTCTCTGTTTGCTGACGGAGCTCACTGATGCAATGTGTCTCATCACTTTCAGTGAAAACAGCTGCTGCTTTTACAACACACACGGGTCAGAAAACATAAAATCGCCACTTTTGATTGTTCACTGCAGCTCCACCTAAAGATGTTGACGAATTCATGTGTTCATTCAGCAGCTCTGGGTTATTCTTTAAGTCATTTTCAGCTACTTTTCCTCCTGATGCTCATGTTGCAGCAAAATTTTGCTGCAACATGAGCATCAGGAGGAAAAATGTGTTTTTAAACACGCGTGCACCTGCAGCACCGAATGGCTGAAATGAAAGTCTTGCATGCATGTTACCTGTCCAACATGTGAGGCCTGTGACAAAGGAGCAGCATTTTTCAACATGGACAGCTGTGTGAACATTCAAAAAACAACTTTTGTGCGAAATGATGACATGACGCTTTGGTCTTGGTTGGCTCAGAGCAGCCATTAGCTCAGCTGACTCAGGAAGCACCTGGAACTTAAATGTAGTGATTGTGTTTAACTTTTAGACAGAAACGCATCAAAATGTCCAAAATGTCCATTTGATTTAGAATTTGGAGAGAGTGTGAAGAGATTTGTCTCATGTCCTAAGATGTGCCTCTGAACCAGGATGAACTTATGAATTTTAATGACAGTTACAATAATTCTCTTTCTGCCTTTATCTTATGTAACTATGATAAAAAACTACGGGTGCCCAGGTCTTCTACAAACCAAATATAACTTATGGCAAACTGAACAAAATCCATGAAAAATCTATCTATGCAAAAATATTATGATGATTATTTGTTTGTTATTGATGATTGAATTACTGAATCATTCATTCATCCACCAAACACAAACCCAGAGGTGCTTCTTTCACCTGAATCCTGATAAATAATAAAAATAAAACCCCAAAGGTCTCTCCTTACCTCCTAGAGCAGGGGTGTCAAACATGCGGCCCGCGGGCCGGATTCGGCCTGCAAGCGGGTTTAATCCGGCCTGCGAGATGGTTGTGTAAACTTTATTTTTATACTTTACAATGTAGAGTGAAAATAAACTTATGTTTGTGAGCAAGTTTTCTCTGTAGTGAGTATAAATAAAACAAAGCTGCGCTCAATGCTCACACAAGAACTTGTGTGAGCATTGAGCCTGAAGTTGTCCGCCACTCAGGATGTGACTTCTGATATTGATGTGCTGGTGAAAGCTAAAAGATGTAAAGTAAAATGAGTCAAATATATTTTAAGTGCTGCATGAAACTGATCTAGCCATGTGATCTGTAAGCTCTGAATCACTAAGGAATGTGTTTTTATTTATTGATTTTTTTTTTTCAAATTTTCAAGTACACTTCAGGTGTTGCACTTGTACTACACTGTCCTCAGGCTCCAGCCTTGTTTTATATTGATTTAATTAAAACAAAGAAAACATTCTGAAGTTTTTTTAATTTATCGGGCCGGCCCACCTGGAACTAAGCCCCATTCCCACCTGTACCGGGTCGGCCCGGGCCGGGTAGCCCCAGTCGGCCCCAGCCTGGCCCGGTTGATTCCACACATCCTTGCCTTAAGCCCATGTGGGCTGATTCTACCCACCAATCAGAGGCTTGCTCTAATGGAAGGTGTGAATGGGCTGATTCTACCCACCAATCAGAGGCTTGCTCTAATGGAAGGTGTGAATTTGCTGTCAGCAGTGGGCGTGTTGGCCCTGGTCGGCCTGAAGCAGTACCCCTCGGGAAGAGGGCCGAGAATGAGCCTTGGTTGGCCCGGGAAAATTCCAGGCCACCCAGATATGTAAACAACCTATGCTACCCGGCCCGGGCCGACCCGGTACAGGTGGGAATGGGGCTCTAGATTTCCCTCAATGTGGCCCCTGAGCTAAAATGAGTTTGATACCCCTGTCCTAGAGGATTCAGCATCAGTGACTTCCCATAGTCATTTCATCCTCCTCAGCAGCTGGACCTGTTTTGTTTTCCTGACAGTTATTTTACGGCGTGTCCCTGAACTCCTGCAGGATCTGTTCCTAATACGTTTGTGCCCGAAAGCCTAACGTTTGCTTTGGACAGTTTGTCTAAAGCTTTACTGATAATATGCTTCAGATATGAGATGTCTCCATGTCCACACACCCTTGAGCAATGCACTTTGGTCATCTGAGCATGATGCAAGTCAGTTCACAAATCATTATATATTTAAAAAAAACTGTTTTCTGTATTTTAAACCTTAAAGAGCAAGTCACCCACAACCAGATTCTTACTCAACTCCCACTTCCTGTTTGAAAAATGCAACAAATACTGTTGCCTAGCAGACTGAGAGGGTGGAGCCGCTAACAAGTACACACACTCATGACATTGTGACATCATAATGTACCATCTAACATCATTGTGTACCTCTTAGCCAATAGCGGTGGCAGATTTAAATTCAAATGCAGTGCCTGACGACGGTGCATCGCTGACAGTTTTAGGCAGAATATTTAAATTTTAAAGAGCAAGTCACTCCAAATCAACATTTTATTGCTAATAAACTATATAAATGCGTGTCTGATCATGCTGTAGACAAGTGTCGCCAATAATTCGGCCCTTTAGTGCGTCTAAGTTCAAATTTAAATATTCTGCCTAAAACTGTCAGCGATGCACCGTCGTCAGACAAAAACTCTGCACTGCATTTGAATCTGCCATCACTATTGGCTAAGAGGTACACTATGATGTTAGATGGTCCATTATGATGTCACAATGTCGTGACTGTGTGCATTTGTTAGTGGCTCCACCCTCTCGGTCTGCTGGGCAACAGCATTTGTTGCATTTTTCAAACAGGAAGTGGGAGTTGAGTAAGAATCTGGTAGGGGTGACTTGCTCTTTAACGAAGATGCACTAAAATGCCAAATTATTGAATACATGTGTCTACAGCACAATCAGACACACATTTATATAGTTTATCAGCAAAAAAATGTTGATTTGGAGTGACTTGCTCTTTAAATGCACCCTGAAGATCGAATAAAAATAAAGTAAAATGTAGATCTGCAGGATTCAGCATCATGCTTACGAAGCATCCAAATGTTTCCACATTTCCTCTGAAATTGTATTGATATAATCATCATCTGGTGAGAAACAGACATTTCGGAGTGACTTTTACCCTCCAGACTCTGTAACAGCTGAGGCTGCACGCGTTTGTCCAGCAGTCGGATCTCAGCGGTCCTCTCCTCCTCCAGCAGCAGCCTCACCAGCCTCTTTCCCAGGAATCCACTGGCTCCCGTCACCACACACACATCACCTCTCAGAGACATCGCAGGATAACGCTCCGCTGACGTATGAGGTGAGAAACACAAAAAGCAAACTTCTCCTCCTCAGATGAGTGAAAGTGGAACACAGATGCAGGATTCCTGGAGTTTTGGTGTTCTGTCGGTGGAAGACCGGCGGCACCTTCTGCCCTCTCAGCCTCAGCCGCTCCACTTTTTGTAAGAAAAGTTAGCAGAGGAAAAAAAAAACGTATTATTTGCTCCAAGGCAGTGTGGGAAAAAAGGGGATGGGCCGAGCTACTTCAGGGTGGAATGAGAAGTTTTCTGGTGCAAAACAAAACAAAACAAGGGCTGAATCAAGTCCAACTAAAGGTACAAAGACAGGGAAAAGGCATCATTAAATCATTTAAAAGAACAAATGCTCAATAAATAAACTCCTGATGCTCGTCTTGCTCTGAAAAGGACGAGGAAGTTATTTATACTCTTAGATTCACAACAGAATCTGTGGGGAGTGGCGAGCTGCAGGCATGTCAGTGCCCGGGAACTATTGTGTGGTTTATTCGGTTAATCAGCAGTGATTCAGCTTTTCTTCTGTTGCACGCAGCTGCAGGGGCGTGTGTGTGGGATTTCAGGGGACTTAGTCATGCTGTCAAAGTTCTGAGTCACTGGTGTCCAACCCCAGTCCTGGAGGTCCTCTGCTCAGCAGGTTTTAGTTGTTTCTCTACTCCATTACACCTGATTCTAATAGCAGGTGATGAGCAGGTGGTTCAGGTATGTTGGAGCAGGGAAACAGCTAAAACATGCTACTTTCTCTTCTCAGGTGTCACATACAGAGTCCCTTCATGCAAACAACCACGTTTGGCTAGACTTCATCCCAAGGGGGAGCAAGGGGGAGCGGCGGTCCTCCCTTTGAAACCAGTTTAGCTGATTGTAGTTGGAACTTTGTCGTTTTCAGTCTCAAACCGTGCAGAGTTCATTTTCTTCCACGCTCTGATTTCTGCAGCAGTTTCTGAGCGGATCTGTTCTGCTTTATTACTTTTTACTGCTTTGCTTGTAAATGGGAAACTTTTACAGGCAGCCTTGAAGGAGACAGAGAGAAGATGAAATCTACACTCCTCTGCATCTGTAAGGTAGTCACGTTCCTCCCAGTCCAGATTAAAGACACCAGGCCTACAGAGACAATTAAAACAAGGGAACATCTGTCTGACATTCAGCCAGATGTGTTTTCCTCATTTATTGTGATTAATTATAGTTTCATCAGTGAGTGGTGGGCTGGCGCCTGGTGGCTGCATGGTGGTGCAGGGTTGATCGCCGTCCTTCAGACAGCTCAGGGTCTACACAACATAAACATTTACAGTTCAACAAAGCACCACCCAGTCTGCTAACGGGGCAGCAGGCCCAGTTTCTACTGACTATCTGACAGAGCAGCTGCGTGCTTCTTATCTCAGGGGGTGAAGGACGACATTTCAAGGTAGCTTAGATGTGTGTGTGTGTGTGTGTGTGTGTGTGTGTGTGTGTGTGTGTGTGTGTGTGTGTGTGTGTGTGTGTGAATGTAATTTTCCAGTGAATTAAATCTTTAATTCACCCTTAAACACGATTTATCAGGTGACTTTCCATTTAGTTTGTCTTAAATCTGAATTAAACACTAAGTGAGAAACCTCACCTTTCCAAGTTGGACACAGATTTCAGGCAGAATGTTTTTTACTACCATACCTCTCATGCCTGAAGTTTTAAAGGGTAAGTGGCCTGTATTCGTGTAGCTCCTTCTTAGGGTTCCACAACCCCCCAAGGCGCTTCACAACACAGTCATTCACCCATTCACACGCTGGTGGGGAGGAGCTACGATGTAGCCACAGCTGCCCTGGGGGGCACTGACAGAGGCGAGGCTGCCGAGCACTGGCGCCACCAGTCCCTTCGACCACCACCAGCAGGCAACGTGGGTTAAGTGTCTTGCCCAAGGACACAACAACGACGACGACAGACTGAGTGGGGCTCGAACCTGCAACCTTCCGACTACGGGGCGAGCACTTAACTCCTGTGCCACCGTCACCCCTATGGTGGTAAGTGCACCATACCACTGGGTAGCGCGGGGTCTCAGCTTTCAGAATTCATGTGAATGTCACTGATTGCACAAATGGTCTAATAGTTACGGTAATTTAAGCATGGAAGCCATGTGGTGTCGTCGCCGTTGCCTCATCGTTAAGAGGGAGATAATTTTGCTGATTAAAACTTCGACTCAATGTTGATTCAAAGCTGTTTGCTAACAGGCTGAATTCATAAGAGGAACAGGAAGTTACTCTGCAGTGACATGAAAGTTTGTGGTCTCTGCAGCATTTGGGTAGTCGATGTCCCATGACTGTCTCAGTGGGGGTTTCTGCACACACACCCACACGCGCGCGCACACATTGTCTTTGTTAATTCTGATTCCAGGAACCGTTTCGCTTGTACAGCTGGGCTGAGGCCTAAATGAACTTTGTAATAAACCACACAGACTGCTCTTGTTATTTAATTTTCCACTTTCACCACTTCATTTCCCCCGGAAGTCCTCTAAAGTGATGATTTTATCATTTTCTGACCTGTGAGATGGTGAATCCTGGTTTCTGATCAAACAGTGAGTGACGTCAGCTTGGATCTTTTATTTTGGCGAGCAGACATGACATAGACAGCAGGACAATGTGGATATGCTACATGACAACTTAGAAAAGTAACAGTGTGTAAAAGTGCCAACCAGCAGAGTATAAATGGGTCCCCTCATTTGTACATGCTGCATGTGTTTACAGCCTACTCTACTTCCTGTTTCAGACCCTCTTAGCATTAGCGCGATCTGGGGACACCCTCATGGTGCTATCAGCTCTTCGTCGTGGGTAACGGGCACTCTTGTATCTGAGCCTCATCCACAGACCCCTCTGGCAGATGAACAGTCATTGTACAAGCACGAATCCCTCCCAGAGGCTCCAACACATTGAACACCTTGTCCCACACGTCCTCCTCGGGGTCATAGCGCTGGACTATGTCGACCATGCACCTGCTGTTCCAGGAATAACCTCCAACCACGTAGATCTGCCCATTAAAAACCGTCACCCCCACGTCACTTTGGCCCCGAGGCATCGGCGCCACCACCGTCCACTGGTCTGTGTCTGGGGTGTAGTACTCGCAGCTCAGGACGTCGTCGTAGTCGCTAGTGCCTCTGAAGTGATTCCCACCCATGACATAGAGTCTGTCTCCCACCGTGCACATGCAGTGCAGGCCGCGGAGCTCCATCATGTCGGCCCTCCGACTCCATGAGTCAGCGATGGGGTCGTAACAGCAAAGTTCCTTCTGGAAGGTGTCACGAGTGATCCCACCTATGAGACAACAAGTACAGAGGAGTTACTCAGATTTACTTGAGTAAAACTATCAGTACAAATACAATTAAAACAATTTATAACCCACAGACTGAAGCTTTATGAACTTGTATTTTTTAAAACGTTATCATCAACTATTGAAGTCCACCCTGTCAGTGAATGGGGTTAATGTACATGACCGTTGGATGACTGGAATCAGCCTGATGTAGGATGGCCGGTGTTGGGAGTAGCAACGTAATTTTTTAGCTACCTGAAATGTTCCCTCTTGTGAGAATTATTCGGTAAAAAAATCTTTCACGTTGTAGATATTATAGAACGTAACTGCGTTACAGAACATAAAAGTAACATCACAGTTACTTTGCTAGGTAACTAATTACTTTTACAATGTGGTAACTGATTCACTAACTCAATTACTGTTTGGAAAAAGTAATTTGTAACTATAACTAATAACTTTTTTATGTAAGATGCCCAACACTGATGATGACCATGTAACGGAATGAAATGACTGTTTTCCACCTAAAAGTCATTTCCCCCCTCTCCTCAGCAGGAACCAGTCTGCATGAGATATTGTTCAAGGTCTCATGCTCTGCTTCTAAACTGTTTTCCTTTCCAGCCCAAGAGAAGAATGAAGACAAAGGACTCTTTATTTTTTTAATAAATCAAAGAACTCTATTTTTAATAAGCTAATCAAACAAAGTGTTAGTCAATAATAAAATGTGAACCAATTTGTGAAATGAAAATATTAATTAGGAAAAGGGTGGCTTGCCAACTCCGGGTCGGGAGAGAGGTCCTACCTCAAGTGGAGGAGTTTAAGTATCTCGGGGTCTTGTTCACGAGTGGGGGTAGGAGGGATCGGGAGATCGACAGGAGGATTGGTTCGGTGTCTGCAGTGATGCGGACGCTGAGCTGATCTGTTGTGGTGAAGAGGGAGCTGAGCCAGAAAGCCAGGCTCTCGATTTACTGGTCGATCTACGTCCCAATCCTCACCTATGGTCATGAGCTTTGGGTAATGACCAAAAGAACGAGATCGCGGATACAAGCGGCCGAAATGAGTTTCCTCCGTAGGGTGGCCGGACTCAGCTTTAGAGATAGGGTGAGGAGCTCGGGCATTCGGAGGGACTCGGAGTAGAACCGCTGCTCCTCCGGATCGAGAGGAGTCAGTTGAGGTGGTTTGGGCATCTGGTCAGGATGCCTCCTGGACGCCTCCCTGGGGAGGTGTTTTGGGCATGTCCTGCCGGCAGGACGCCCCCGGGTCGACCCAGGACACGTTGGAGACGTTACATCTCCAATCTGGTCCAGGAACACCTTGGGGTCCTGCCGGAGGAGCTGGTGGAGGTGGCTGGGGAGAGGACGGTCTGGAGCTCCCTAGTTGGGATGCTGCCCCTGCGACCTGGACCCGGATAAGCAGAGGAAGACGACGACGACAAAAATATTAACTACTTGATATTATAATCCTACAGAATACAATAAGTAATATAACTTTAAATGTTTCCACTAGAGACTGATCACACGTAAGTTTAAGCCACATCACACATTGCTTTACTGATCCAATCAGAATCTGCCAGATCTGACGGAGGCGTGGTTTTGGCGGTGCTTGGTAAATCTGTCATCTTTTCATTCGACCATAAACCAAAACATCCGAAGTATAAAACTATGCCCACGTCATCTTTAACACCAGTTCAAAGCGTTCTAGAGAAGATGACGGAGTGGCCAATCCGTAACTTTCCTCTTCAGCCAAAAGAACCAACGACAAGCTGGATAAAATCTGTTGCTGTTCCAACTGCTGCAACGGTTCCTTTCAGAATAAAAGCTGAACCATCACGACCCAGTTTTGGGTCTTGCTAGATGCCAAAAAACTGTCGTGACCCGGAAGTATCTCAAAGACTGGTCTGGTTGGCAACCGCTGCTTTTCCTACCGGCTTCGGTTCCAGAGAAGGTCCAGCTGGACCTCGACATTCCAGATCTAACGGGGACTTCCGAAAGGGTACGGAGACCGACAGAATGGCGTCTTAATGTGTGTTCATGAATCTCCAAATCAAAGCTTAGCGCGAAGACATCACCTTCACTCCCATCAGAACTAATCGTTTCTCCGGCTTTGTTGGTTCTGAACAACATTCCACACTACACCATTCTCCGTCTCACTCACCTTAGTTACACCATACATTTAGTGTTTAAAGTTAGTCTAGTTTTAATTTGTTTAGTAATAAATCTTTAAACTTTTAAAACTCGACTCGACTCTCCTGTTGTCTCTGAGTGAATACGAGGTTGTTACATAATCCCTGCAATAAAAAGTTCCAATCTTCTGGTTAAAAGTACCCACAGATCCATAAGATTGATTTCATATTCACTATGGAATCTCATGTCTTATGGTTCATTAAATAGATGTAAATTAAACCCTTTACAACCACCACGTGCTGACCCTGGCAAGCAAAAACTGGCATGTCTGCACTACAGTTGATGTTGTAGCAGACAAGCGTGACACCCACCCAACAAGACCTTAGATCATTTGTTGGTGATGAAAGCAAAACAAAATAGTTCATTTTTTCCCCAACAGTCTTTGCTTTCTAACGCTGACCAATAACAACGGACTGAAGCGTTACGTGCTCGCCAAACATGGATGTGAACAGTTGCCTTTTGTTGGTCTGGAATTGGCGTCTCATGGTTTAACTTGCTGCAGGTAATTGTGCCATCACATGTTGGTGGGCCACGCCTGATCTTGTGATCCCCCTCACGCACGCACGCACGCACGCACGCACACACACACACACACACACACACCGGAATATTATATTGATTGGAGTTGTGCTAAAAACACAAAAGTTCTGGTTGCAGGTGTGTCTGCAGCACGTGGAAGACGTTCCTCTGCAGCAGAAGTTCATGCTGAGGTAGTAGGTATGAAACCTTGTACAGAGAATGTGAAATGAGCACTGATGGTCAGAAAACGAAAGCAGATATGATCTCCACACTTCCTTTCACATTCAGACCAGGGGGCTGACAGAGCTCACTGATGCAATGTGTCTCATCACTTTCAGTGAAAACAGCTGCTGCTTTTACAACACACACGGGTCAGAAAACATAAAATCGCCACTTCTGATTGTTCACTGCAGCTCCACCTAAAGATGTTGACGAATTCATGAGTTCATTCAGCAGCTCTGGGTTATTCAGTCATTTTCAGCTATTTTTCCTCCTGATGCTCATGTTGCTGCAAAATCTCTTTGTGAGAGGTTGCATCAGATTTCCTCCTGATGCAACATGAGCATCAGGAGGAAAAATGTGTTTTTAAACACACGTGCACCTGCAGCACCGAATGGCTGAAATGAAAGTCTTGCATGCATGTTACCTGCCCAATATGTGAGGCCTCTGACAACTGGGACCTTGTTTGGCTCAGCTGCAGGTCGTCAGCTTCCTGAACTGCAGTCCCACATGTGTGATTTTCACAGTGAGATGAGGTTTTCCTGTCCAAGGTTGCTAAGTAACCAGGTTGAACGCGGCCTGTCATTTGCTGCTGAACAGGAAGAGGTGTCGAGTAGGTTGACCCAGATGGTTATGTCTGTGATGCATCCCCTCATGATACAGCACATCTTAGCAAAACACTTAGAGATTTAGTCTGGGGTCTGTGAGTTTATTCCTGCCAAGGCCAAACTCATTAACAACTGTGAAGCAACGTGTCACGGTCATGTCCACAGATTAATCTAGAAGGTTTTCTACATTTTCCTATCAGCGCTGTTTATTTGGTAGCAGGACTTTTGCTCTGGTTGAAAACAAAAGCTTGCTTATGAAAGCTGTTTTGATGCTGTTGACTGCGTGACTCCAGAATGCCGGTACATAGAAGCTGTTTCAGTGGTTTAGCAGCTGTGGAACACATCTGAGAGAGACTGGGGTTAGATGGCTGATCTTCACATTTGCTGTTCAGCTGTGTCTCACACTTGCAAACTCTTGCATGTTTTAACACCCGTGCATTTTTGTTAAAGTCGTGCATCAAATCAGGAGAGCAGAGCAATTTTTTAGAAACTCGTTTTAGCCTTGAACTCCCAAAATGAAATGAAGAAGGGGCTCTGAGACAAAATACAAGTGCGGTGGCTTCTCTGAACAGATGAGTCATTTTGAAGAAGAACTGTTTACATCAGGAAGTGTTGTTTAGTGGTTAGGGTGAAGTGGCTTTGCTCTGCGTGGGACTCGTTTAACATCGAGTGTGAAGCAAACATCAGTGTGTTAGAAAATATAAATGTAGATTTACTGAATCATTCAAACTTATGTTTATGGGAAGAGTTGAAGTCAAATATCTTAAATATGACTGAGCTTTGAAGACCAGTAAAGGGGAGGAAAGCTTTGGTTTTATAGTTCATCATCATCAATAGCACCACCACCATCATCATCCTCGTAAATACCATCTTCATCATTATCATCATCAACCTCACCATCACCACCACCACCATCATCCTCATAAATACCATCTTCATCATTATCATCATCATCCTCACCATCACCACCACCACCATCATCCTCATAAATACCATCTTCATCATCATCATCCTCACCATCACCACCACCATCCTCATAAATACCATCTTCATCATCATCATCCTCACCATCACCACCACCATCCTCATAAATACCATCTTCATCATCATCATCCTCACCATCACCACCACCATCCTCATAAATACCATCTTCATCATCATCATCCTCACAATCACCACCACCATCCTCATAAATACCATCATCATCATCATCATCATGATCATCATCATCATCATCATCCTCACCCTCACCACCACCATCATCATCCTCATGAATACCATCTTCATCTTCATCATCATCATCCTCACCATCACCATCATCATCCTCATAAATACCATCTTCATCATCATCATCATCATCATCATCCTCATAAATACCATCTTCATCATCATCATCGTCTTCACCATCACCACCATCATCATCAGTATCATCATCATCATCATCCTCATCAATACAACTTCATCATAATCATCATCCTCACCATCACCATCATCATCCTCATAAATACCATCTTCATCATCATCATCATCCTCACCATCACCACCACCATCATCATCCTCATAAATACCATCTTCTTCATCATCATCATCCTCACCATCACCATCCTCATCCTCATAAATACCATCTTCATCATCATCATCATCCTCATAAATACCATCTTCATCATCATCATCATCATCATCCTCATAAATACCATTTTCATCATCATCCTCACCATCACCGCCATCATCATCAGTATCATCATCAGTATCATCATCATCATCCTCATCAATACGATCTTCATCATCAACATCAATAGCACCATCATCATCATCCTCATAAATACCATCTTCATCATCATCATCATTCTCACCATCGCCATCATCATCATTGGTATCGTCATCATCATCCTCATCAATACCATCTTCATAATCGTCATCTTCCTCACCATCATCCTCACCAGTCTCATCATCATCATCATCATCTTCACCATCACCACCGCCATCATCATCCTCATAAATGTCATCTTCATCATCATCATCCTCCCCATCGTCATCCTCATAAATACCATCTTCATCATAATCATCATCCTCATAAATACCATCTTCATCATCATCATCATCCTCACCATCACCGCCATCATCATCAGTATCATCATCACCATCCTCATAAATACCATCTTCATCATCAACATCAATAGCACCATCATCCTCATCATCCTCATCAATACCATCTTCATAATCGTCATCTTCCTCGCCATCATCCTCACCAGTCTCATCATCATCATCATCCTCACCATCACCACCACCATCATCATCCTCATAAATGTCATCTTCATCATCATCATCATCATCCTCACCATCCTCATCCTCATAAATACCATCTTCATCATAATCATCATCCTCATAAATACCATCTTCATCATATTCATCATCCTCACCATCACCACCACCACCATCATCATCCTAATAAATACCATCTTCATCATCATCTTCATCCTCACCATCACCATCATCAGTATCATCATCCTCATCCTCATCCTCATCAATACATCTTCATCATAATCCTCATCCTCATCAATACATCTTCATCATAATCATCATCCTCACCACCACCACCACCATCATCATCCTCACAAATGCCATCTTCATCATCATCATCATCCTCACCATCACCATCATCATCCTCATAAATACCATCTTCATCATAATCATCATCCTCACAATCACCATCCTCACAAATACCATTTTCATCATCATCTTCATCCTCACCATCACCATCATCATCAGTATTGTCATCATCATCCTCATCAATACATCTTCATTATCGTCATCATCCTCACCATCGCCATCATCATCATCCTCATAAATACCATCTTCATCCTCACCATCACCATCACCAGTATCATCATCATCATTATCTTCATCAATACCATCTTCGCCATCATCATCAATAGCACCACCACCATCATCATCATGTGCATAAATACCATCTTCATCATCACCATCCTAATGTTCATCCTCTTTCTCACCATCATCATCACCAGCATCATCATCATCCTCATAAATACCATCTTCATCATCATCCTCACATCACCATCATCATCATCATCATCAGTATCATCATCATCATCATCCTCATCAATAACATCTTCATCATCATCATCCTCACCATCATCATCACCAGTATCATCATCATCATCCTCATCAATAACATCTTCGCCATCATCATCAATAGCACCATCATCATCATCATCATCATCATCCTCATAAATACCATCTTTGTCATCATCATCATTCTCACATCACCATCATCATCATTGGTATCGTCATCATCATCCTCATCAATACCATCTTCATAATCGTCATCTTCCTCACCATCATCATCACCAGTCTCATCATCATCGTCGTCGTCCTCACCATCACATCAGTATCGTCATCATCTTCATCAATACCATCTTCGCCATCAGAATCAATAGCACCACCACCACCACCATCATCATCATGTGCATAAATATCATCTTCATCATCACCATCCTAATGTTCATCCTTTTTCTCACCATCATCATCACCAGCATCATCATCATCATCATACTCATAAATACCATCTTCATCATCATCATGATCCTCACCATCACCTACATCATCATCATCATCCTCATAAATACCATCTTCATCATCATCATGCGCGATCCAACGAGTAAACTCCATCGTCTCTGTTCATGGTCCCACATCCACGTCTCCTTATCTCGATGGCTTCTTTTATCCAAAAAATTAGTTGTAAGGACAATGACTATTCAGCCGGTACAAGTATAAATAATTGTGACATTCATGATAAAAGTAAGGAGATAGTGATGAATAGCAAGTCAAAAGTGACCATTCTTTATACATTTGTACTTACTCAACTGCTTCATGTCCAAAGGCATTTGCCGCCACTAGGTTGTGCCAAAACGACTATACAGTATGTTGTGGAGGTTGAACTAACTGTTGTGCAAAGTTTAAGTCTGTTGTGAGAAATGCACCAAAGCAACTGAGAAGAACTGTAAACAGTGTCCCCTCACCTGAAATATACATGAGACCCCCATGAACCGTTCCAGCATGTCCATAGTGAGGCTCCACCATGTTGGCTACAAAGGCCCACTCGTTTTTCTTCAGGTTGTAGCACTCCACTGTGTCTAATCACATTCACAGAGGAGGATTGGTTATATTTAACATCTTCACTTACCGATTTCATTCTTTATGATGTTCTGTTTACTGTAAAGCAGCAGACTGAAGTTACAGAGCAACTTTTGAAGTGGCTCACCTATTTCTCCTGAGGCGTTTCTTCCTCCAACTGCAAACAGTTTCCCCTTCAGGGCGCTCAGATGGAAAAAGGTTCGCTTCTCTTTGAGGGAAGCGATTGGAAGCCACTTATCGAAACGTGGGTCGTAGCGATAAGCGGTGTCAATGGCCGTCTTACCTTTGGTATCATACGTAATCTGACCTATAGGGAGCCAACAACAACCAGTTAGACCCTCTATAGTCTGTCAGGCCTGCCAACCCAGATGAGCTCATCATTCGTTGCCTCTAGAAACTTTTGTGTGTTTATTTTATCTGAACTCATTGTGTTTGTGATGGATTTCACCCTGACAATGTGAGGTGCCAGTGCACTGACCTCCAACAATAAAGAGGAAGCCTCCCAGCAGAGCCACACCATGCTGATAGCGAGGCTCCTCCATGGGCTTCAGAGCTCTCCAATGACCAATCGCCTCGTCGTACACCCTCAACTCCCGGCTCACCACCAGCTGCTGCCTCATCACTCCTCCCAGGGCCAGAATGTGGGTGGAGTCAGATCGAATCTGCGTCCTCTCGGTTTGCAGGGCCGGCTGCATGTAGGGCATCATCTGATAGTTGCTGGCCTCCAGCAGAAGGTTCACACATGCAGAATCAGAGCGCATCATGGAGTTGATCCCGTCTTCATCATCCTGGGAGATCTGGATCAGCTCACTGGGTCTCATTAGAGGGAAGCGGATGTGGCGCATCAGGGCGTAAATGGAGGAGGAACGTTTAGGAAAGTCGTGGTGCAGCCATCCTTTGGCGATGTGGTAAAGCTCCAGCTCAGAGGAACCAGTGAGCGAGTTGCTGCTCAGAGCGTTGGCCATGCTGGTCTCAGAGAGCTGGAGGTAGCGCCCAGACTCCACCAGGGCTGCCAGGTTCTGGCTCACAAACTTACCTACGGAAATCCAAACGGTTTTGTACTTAAGAAACTAAAAAGGATTTGATGCCTGCAGATCTAACATCACCCCACATGGTGCTCAGCTCACCGATATTCAGCAGAACGTCCTCAAGGAGCAAGTCTGTCGCTATTTGCTCCACCTCCACACAGTTATCTATGGTGATCTGCACCAAAGACAAATGAAAAATAAAATTAACGTCATTTTAAAGAAAATTTAAAATTGTCTTGTGTAGACGGGAAGAGCAGACAGGCCTGAGAGCGTCAGAGCTCTGCTGGGATGTTAAAGATCTCACCTCACTGCTCAGCAGCTTGTTGCAGAAGCTGAGAACCGTCATGACCTGCAGGAAGTTTGCAGCCTCCAGCGTGTCCTGGAGGTTGCCCATGTCCAGGCTGACCTTGGATGTGTAAATGAAGTCAATGATGTTCTTCAGCCCAACCTTATTGACCCCATGCAGCTTGATCTCTCTCATCCCTTGCTCCCTCATGCCTCCTAAAACCAGCACATATGGTCAAAGACAAGGTGAAAGGATGAATTAGAATTGTGAGAGAGGATTAGTGATGAGCTGGTGGGATGTCACCGTGCAGAAACGCAACAAAACAGCTGACTTTGTGCATCGACGTGGGCGTCATGAGGATTATGGGATAACAGCAGATCATTACGAGATCTGACGGAAATGTCTGCTTTGAATTAGCAGCAGAGAATCAGGAGAGAGCCAAAGAGAGTCAGAACAAAGTCACGATCTCTTTATTTTCTTGCTTGTAAATGTCAGCCCAACCTACATGTTCTTTATTACTGAATCACCTGCCTTCAGGTGCATGAAAGAGCAAACTAACCCGTGAACATGGCTTTGAAGTAGTCACTGCACGAGGCCAGGATGACTCTGTGAACTGGGAACACATCCTTGCTGTCTCCAGGAATCAAGACGACGTCGCAGAGAGTCTCATCTCCCCGGAATGCATCAAGGCCCTTTTGGGAAACGAGTTTTCCATCAGCGAAGCGATAAATGCAGCATCAGGATCAGGAGTGAGAGGAGTTAGGATCAGTCACCTCAACCTGTTTCCTTCTCACAGTTTTTAATTACATTTCAGGACCAATCCCAGTGCACACTGGGAATGTGTTTCGTATGAAAATGATTAAACACGTGAACAGCACCTAAAAAAGACTGACTTTAGCCTCAGGCTGTACCTGCAGGACATCGGCTCCATGCTGGCTGCTGCTGAACACCTTGGACAGCGGCCGGGGTGGCAGCTTGGGCTTGGTGGACTTGTCAGGCCGTTTGGGTGGCTTCTCCATGGGCGGGGGTAGAAGTGAAGGAGCCGGAGCAGGAGGTGGAGGAACAACAAGGACCGGGGGAGAAGGTTGCTCATCTGAAAGCCCAAAGATAAATTAAAGATGGGGCTTGAGAAAAAAAAAAACAGGTTTTACTGTCTAATTCATGACATATCAAAGACCAATAAAGAATGTTAGCAGTGGATGTGTGATCGGGCCAGAGCTCACCTTGCTGAGCAGGTGGAGCTGGAGGTCTTGCAGCATCTCTGGAGTGATGTCTGCCGCTCAGACGGGACAGTCTGCGGCTCAGCCTGCCTGCCCCGCTGTCATCTCCTCCTCTGCTAGAGACAAAAGTGCAAATGTGAAAATAATCCAACATTTCTGAGCTTTAACGGTGAATTTAAACCTATCCGTTTGAGTAATCAGCCCTTGCTTAAACTTTTGCATCACATCCTCTCTTGTGTAGAAACGAATTATCACCATTTCCTTCACGCCCCCTGCAGCTATAAGTCAAGGCTTCACGTTGACGTTGGCTTGGTCTTTCTATGACTCTGATGGATCCAGACTGCTCAGCTTGTCGTGGGCTCAGAAGAGGAACCAGAACTAAACTTAAGCGCATTACTTCTCCTTTTAGACGCAAACAAACAAGTGGTAAAAAAACAGGCTGAGAGGAGATGCATCTGCTGCACAAACATAAATTTACACACTTCCTGTTAGAAAAAGGTTGTAATTCCAGTTTGTATTTGTTTGAAACACATTTCCCTACTTTTTTGTGCCTGAATGAGAAAGAAGAACTCAGATGGCTTCATGGTGCGTGAGCGGTGCGCTGGATTGTAACACCGGCTGCTTTGCATTTCCTGTTTGACTCTTGCTGCCTCCACCGCCCCAGTTGGGGGACGAAGGACTAAACACACCCAGTTGTCTGTATGGAGTCTTGTTTATGACACAGTAAAAACTTTAAACGGTCAGTCCTCCCTTCATGACCGCAGTTACATCTCTTATTTGCTCTCAGCCATCTTTGATTTAACACCCAAAAACAGAAATGTCATCACATCCTGCTGAGAAGCTGCTTACCCCGCTTCGTTCTCCGCGGCGGGCTGAGGGCTGTTGTTGCGCTGGTGAGATTTCCTGCAAGAAATAAGAACTTTAGAGGAGAGAAGCATCACATCTGAGCTAAATCTCTGTTTGGTTGCATCAATTGTGCAAATTAGCACTTGAAATTATTTAATTTGAGTATTGATCATATTCACTGAAACATCATCATCATCATCATCATCAGCTTAATTTACACAGCACAATCCCAGGGATACCCACATAGCTGCACACTGTACCCATTTATAACAAATATAGCAGCAAGTAAAAGCAGTCGCTGATAAATAAGACAAATAAGAGCTACGAACAATGAAACACTCACTGTCTTTGTAGGTTTTGCATGAATGCTGACGTGTAAAAATCTGTCTTAAGCCTGTCTGACACGTACACTTCCCATCAGCTAAACGGGAAATGCTTTGGTAAAGTTTGGAAATGAAAAAAGTAATTTACTTCCACATAATCATCCAACATAGCTTCAAAGGAGACATCGTCGCTTTAACTTCTCCGTTTGTTAACATCTGATCACATGCAGCTGTCTGAGTTTAACCAACAGCTGACTATAAACACAAACAGCTTCTTTGACTCAGTCCCAGATGCATCCATAACACCCTTACCCGTGACCAGCAGCATGGAAGAAACGCGCTGCCTCCCATAGATTAACACTATTTTGTTTGGGCAGGGGCATTATGGGATACTTTCCTCATCTAAGGTCTGCTGTCCTGGTCTAGCTAAAGCGCCTAGATCATCTTTTACAGTGGGGAACAGGAGTTTACCTTAACCTCAGAGTTAGCGCTCCTCTGTCACTGGAGGTGCTTTACATGAAGTCTGATCTGAAACATGGATGACAGGGATGTTGCGAGGAACCCACCTGGATGAAATCCTCCTGAAAAGGCTGGACCCGAGGCCCCCCTCCTGGCTGTCCATCTAACGCAGCAAAGCTCTGAGAGGAAGAAACTGTCTGCAGCTGGCTGAAGAGCTGGAGCATCTAAGCGAGCATCACCGTGTGCTTTGACTTCACCCAGACCTCAGTCACTTCCTGTGCTACTTCTCTTTCTCGGTCTGCGTCTTTTCCGCATCTCGGTGTTCTCCACCCAACTGTGGCACACTTGTTAAAGCTATGGCACACTTACAGGCCTTTGGCGATGGAGGTGATGGAGGAATGGGCTTGTTTTTAGGGTTATCCCCCTTATTTACATCTCTGTTTAACAAAAGTGTTTAAAACAAATAAAAAAAGGAGTTGGAGCCTTTTAAATGAGATTTTCTAACATCACCACCTCACCCAGGTGCACCAACATATATTAAGTAACATCTTATGACCTGCTCAGTTAAAGTGATGCTATTAATCTGTATGAAACACTTATCAGCTGATCAGCCCTGGATGTTCACAGAGTTTTGCTGCTGTGGCCCCCAGACTCTGGAACTCTCTCCCCCTGAGCCTGAGATCAGTGGACTCAGTGGTCTCCTTCAAAAAGCAGCTGAAGACTCACTTGTTCAGGCTGGCTTTTGTATGACCTTCTTCACCACTCTCTCTTTATTCTGCTCTCCCCACCTATTCCACCTTCCTCAGGATCCACTGATTTCCCTCTTTCCTGTTCACTCTCTCTTTCTTAACATTTTGGAATCACAATTGTCTATTTTTGCTCATTTTAAATATATTTTTAAACATTTTCTAAATGCTTTTTTTATATTTTTACATTTTTTGTTTTTGTGAAGCATCTCGTGATTTTTATCATGAGAGGTGCTATAGAAATGATATTTTCTTCTTCTTCTTCTTCTAAATATAGATGTAATAAATTCAGCTGTAAATGTGAATCAGAGAAGACCTAAAATGTGTTTATTTGTTTATTTATTTAGACTTCAGTAGGCATTAATTCAACCATGAGCCCTGGCAGCTTGGTACTTATTCAGAAAACCAAACGAAATGTGTTGGGTCCCACTTTTATTTTATCCACTGACGCTCAGCCCTCCCGCTCTGTCGCTCCTACAGTCAGCATTCCTGATGCTGGACACTATGGAACTAGGATTGGGACAATATTCAGCTTAACTTGTACCAAGTTTTGTAACTTCGAACATGTTTCATCACATGTAACTTTGGATTTGCAACTTGTAACTTTAGTTTTCTAACTTGTAATTCTCAATTCGTACTCGGATTTCTTGTTTTGTAACAGGAACATTGTATTTTGTACATGTATTTTTTATTTTGTAAAATCAAACTTTTATTTTGTACATTTACTACTCATTTTGTAACATCAAACATTCATTCAGAAACATGAAACGTTTGTTTTGTAACTAGCAAATTTCCAAATTGAAAAAAATCAAGGTACAGGTTTGAAATCAAAACTCTCAAAACACACATTTTATTCTACAGGTACAAACCAAATCTACAGTGTTACGAATCTTTTTGTCTCGATTCTAACGTCAGTGGGAGGAACTTGGGTGGAACCAATGAGAGCACGAGTCTTGGCTACCAATCACGTTTCTCGAATTCCTGTCCAATCATTGGGAGAGGAGGGCAGGGTTCTGTCAGAGTTGTGTAGAGAGCATCGACACCTCTAGGTAACAAAAACTGTTCTGTGTTTTAAAAAAGAACTACAGCATGGAATTAATTGTTTCTCTTTGCAACAATCTTCACAAGAAGGCAAAACAGTTAAATGGCAGGTTACAGATATTTCCATTTGACTGTTTATTTTGATGGATAAACTCAAGGATGTTGGTTGTTTTGAAAGAATTACCCCAACGCACACTGATGCACACACAGATGAGCTGACATTTTAATCCTTACGCACATCATGGAGGTAACTAAATCAATCAAGAAATGATTCCCATCAGAACAGTAGAGCTTTATACTGGGCACTGTGCTCAGCGCGGATCGGAGCGCACACGGTGGACAGTGAGCTGAAGATCAGAGGGGTTCGCAGCGCAGCGCAGAACCACGGCGCATGCAGTAAGACTTCCTCCCAATGAAATGGTCTGGAAACCCAGTCTGTCTGAGGGATGTGTCACTTGGAAAAATGTTCGCTGACTATGAAACTTTGCACTTAGCACTTGTTCCCGTCTCTAATATGGAGACGCATGACGCATCCAGTCTGAGGCAGACCCAGTCTTTTAAGTAAACAAACTGTGTTTAGAAGAATTTAGATAAAGTGTTTCTTCCAAGCTGGGACGTAATTTTGGGGGGGGGACGGGTGGGACATGTCCCCCCCACTTTTTCAAAAGGCAGTTTTGGTCCCCTGCACTTTTTTCCGTCCAAAAACAATGCTACGCTCCATTAAATGGATTTGGTTGAGCACTAGGACCGAAACGGAAACCGGTTTACTATTAGACCCGCCCAAAAGCTAATCTATTGGCTCTGCTGATACTTGCTAACGTATTATTGGCTGTTGCTGCTGTCACTCAAGTTGCAAACAGTCAGAACGTGCTCACGTTGTTTTGCTAGTTTGGAGCCGCTAGGGAACACCGGTACTGAGTCACATCGTCAACTAGACGCTGTGTAATATCAGAGCTCAGCTCAGCTTCCATTACATAACATTTGAATAAGTGTTCATTTGTGAGTCTTTGGTAGTTAGGCACAGCCAGGAGGCAGCATGTCAAGAAAACGAAAAGTGGATATAAGAGACTTCTTTCAAAGTCAAAACGTAAGTTGGAACATGTCATGTGACAGACCTGCATTAAGCTCAGACTCACCTCCTCCTTCACAAACATACTCAAAACTAACTTTTACAAACTCATCTCCTCCAGATAACTGACTCCTCAGACACAATTTATTCGTATTATTATAATTATTATTTTTTTATTATTACTATTATCATCATAATTATTATTACTAGTAGTAGTAGTAGTAGAAGTGTAACTTCAAAACTTTTATCATTTAACTTTATTGTAAACTTATCTATTGCAATGCATATTTTCACATTAAAAAGCTCTGAAAAATGAACAGTATCGTCATCGTCAACAGATTTTTTTAAGCTTAATGTCAAAGATGTACACTTTTCATTAGATTTATCTTATTTTTTCCATTTATTTTTTGTGTGTTGAAATGCAACAACTGTTTAAACACTTTTAAGGGGAAAAACATATTTAATATGTTTTTATACACTCAAATGTTAGGGTGATGATCATGTGTAAAACATTAGTTCAGCATGTCCTCTAACACAGCAAATGAACAAACGGCCAGATCTCAGGAGGACCGTTTAAATAATTTTTATACTTTTGACTAGGCCTGGGAAAGTAACACATTTTGCTGGACGATATTTTGTCCAACAAATTGTTGATGATAAACGACATTGTCAACATTATCTAGACCAAAATAACCACTAATATAATGTTAATATATCATAATAATGCAAGTACACCCTTTAAAATGCAACAAAGAAACCTTCATTTAACATTGAAATGTCCAGAACCAGAACTTCTAAATGAATAAAAATAACAAACAAAAATTAAATAAAAAAGGAATCTCACTCCCTGTTAGAAAATGTTGCACCAAAAACAATGAAAAAAGACCCAAAACAATAAATACAATGGCCTATCCATTGTCAACAGCCAAAACTGCACTTCAATAATGATAATAAATAAAAATAATAATAGAGTTGTACATTTTTTAACTTATATATATATATATATATATATATATATATATATATATATATATATATATATATATATATATATATATATATATATATATATACATATATATTGAGGATGGAAAAATAATTGAGATGGGCACGTGACGTGTCAAGGGGTCTTTACATAACACCCCCCACCCCAAATCCGCACAAGCCTGCTGTGTCCCCCCCACTTCTGAAATCAAAATTTCGTCCCTGCTTCCAAGAAAGTATTTTAACTTTATTAATCAAGATCCATCTCCTTCTTCAAATCCTCCACTTTTTCCTCCACAATATTAATGTTCCCAAAAGGTTTAAAATAAAGATCAGGATTTTTTTTAAAGCTTCATTAAAATAAGGAGGCTAAAATATTTTTCTTCTAAATGGCAAAAACGAACAAAGTGCATTTTCAGGATACAGCCTTTGAAGGACAGCAACTCCCCATCTTTCTTTTATTAACTGCTGTTGGAAATATAGTGCTGTCCTGTTTATTGCTAGCAAAGAGCTCAAATTTCCCATTCTTTTAAGGAAAAAAACAGTGTTTGGAAGAAATTAGTGTTTCTACTAAGGATGTCTTTTACCTTTACTAATACAGGTTCATCCCCTTCAAATCCTCCTCCTTCTCCTTCATAATATTATAATTCCCAAAGTGTTTATTAAAAAGTTTAAGATTTTTTAAGCTTCATTAAGACAAGGAGGCTAAAATGTTCTATTCTAAATGGCTAAAATGAAATAGGTGCAGTTACAGCAAAGAGCCACCGGAGGGCAGCATTTCCCACCTTTTCTTTATTCCTTACTGCTGTTTGTGGCCAGCAGAGGGCGCAAATTTCCCATTCTTTTAAGGAAAAAACTGTGTTTGGAAGAAATTAGTGTTTCTACTAAGGATGTCTTTTACCTTTACTAATACAGGTTCATCTCCTTCAAATCCTCCTCCTTTTCCATCATAATATTATAACTCCCAACATGTTTATTAAAAAGATTAAGATTTTTTCAGGCTTCTTTAAGACCAGGAGGCTACAATGTTCTATTGTAATGGGCTAAAATTTAATGTGTGCAGGCTTCCTGGTGGTGCAATGGTTAGAGTTGTTGCCTTGCATCAAGAAGGTCCTGGTTTGCTACACGGAGTTTGCATTTTCTCCCTGTGCATGTTTGGGTTCTCTCCGGCTTCCTACCCACCGTCCAAAAACATGACTGCTTTTGGTTGATTGGTCTTTCTAAATTGTCCTTAGGTGTGAGTGTGGGTGTGTGCATGGTTGTTTGTCCTGTGTGTCTCTGTGTTAACCTGCGATGGACTGGCTCTCTGTCCAGGGTGTAACCCGCCTATTTGCCCGTTGACTGCTGGAGATAGGCACCAGCCACCCCGCGATCCTACGTGGACTGAAGCGGGTTCAGAAGATGGATGGATGGAAACAGGTGCAGTTACAGCAAACAGCCACCGGAGGGCAGCATTTTCTCACCTTCTCTTTATTCCTTACTGCTGTTTGTGGCCAGCAGAGGGCGCAAATTTCCCATTCTTTTAAGGAAAAATCTGTGTTTGGAAGAAATTAGTGTTTCTACTAAGGATGTCTTTTACCTTTACTAATACAGGTTCATCCCCTTCAAATCCTCCTCCTTCTCCTTCATAATATTATAATTCCCAAAATGTGTATTAAAAAGATTAAGATTTTTTAGGCTTTTTTAAGACTAGGAGGCTAAAATGTTCTATGCTGATGGGCTAAAATTGAATGCGTGCAGGCTTCCTGGTGGCGCAGTGGTTAGAGCTGTTGCCTTGGTCTCAGTAATCTTGTATTCAATTTTGAATGCGTTATCTGTTACCATGGCAACACAAGGAACTACATATCACTTTAACCAAGTCTCATAGGAATGAATATTAAAAAGCTGAATATTGAGCCAATATCAGACTCCTGTTTTTGATTGTGTTGAACTATCTGTACTTAAAACTAGAAACACGTTCAATTTGATTGACCGTCAGAAGGTGGGAAAGTGCCCCGCTCCCTCCCAGCTCCCTGATTGGTTGAGAGAGGTCAATCATCTTCTGGCTAAATGGAATTACACACTCACGCATGTGAGACGTCAAATCGATCAGCTTGGCCTAAGGAATCCATCCATCTAATATAAATCCATACATGCTTCTATCCAATCATCCATCCATCCATCCAATAAACCATCTAACATCCATCCAACAATCCATCCGTTATTTCATTCATCCAACTATTCATCCATCCCATATCAAATCTGAACATATGTAAATCTATCAGTTTCAGATATCAGCTAATATTTCTAAATTCACAGTTCAGCCAATTGTAAAAATGTACCCGTTAAACTATTCTCATTCAAATGCCAGCTGTTTAACATTTCAAATTTTGAGTTTTTAATAAATGTTCAAAGATTAACGTTTTCTGCTGTTTAGCATTTTTATCCATTCTCCACCTATATTCTGAGCTTTATTACACTTGTTGGTGATTTTTGCTTCTAAATCTTTAAATTCTTTCAGCTCATTTTGACAGTTTAGCTTAGTTTCAGCTTCACTTCAGCTATTCAGCAGCTTCAGCAATCCGTTTCTGAATTCGGCTTATGCTACTCATTTCGCAGTTCAACTAAATATAAAAATTAAACTGTTAAACTAGTCCTACTCAAACAACAAGTGTTTAGACATTTTTGCTGTCCAGATTTTTAAATAATGTTCAGATTTCAGTTTTCTGCTGTTTAGGATCGTTTTCTCCGTTCTTCACTTTTTGTGCTTTATTTACATTTTGGTGCTTTTTGCTTCTAAATCTTTCAAAACATTCAGCTCATTTTAACAGTTTTGCTTTGTTTCAGCTTCAGCAATTAGTTTCTGAATTCAGCATATGATGCTAATTTCACAGTTCAGCTAAATGTAAAAATTAAACTGTTAAACTAGTCCTACTGAAATAACAGGTGTTTAGACATTTTAGCTGTCCAATTTTTTTAAACAGTGTTCACAGATTTGAGTTTTCTGCTATTTAGGATTAGTTTTCTTGATTCTTCACTTACTTTTTGTGCTTTTTTTGCTTCTTAGTGCTTTTTGCTTTCACATCTTTCACTACATTCAGCTCATTTGACAGTTTAGCTTAGTTTCAGCTTACTTCAGCTATTCAACAACTTCAGCAATCAGTTACCAAATTTAGCATAAACTGCTAATTTCACAGTTCAGCTAAATGTAAAGATTAAACTGTTAAACTTGGCAAACTGAAATAACAGGTGTTTAGACATTTAAGCTGTCCAGATTTTTATACAATGTTCACAGATGTAAGTTTTTTTTTTTGCTATTTAGCATTATTTTTCTCTATTCTTCACTTACTTTTTGTGCTTTATTTGATTGTTGGAGCTTTTTGCTTCTACATCTTTCAAGACATTCAGCTCATTTTGACAGTTTTGCTTAATTTCAGCTTCAGTTCAGCTGTTCAGCAGCTTCAGCTTACAGTTTCAGCTATCCAGCATTCAAACAGCATTTGTGCAATAAATGCAATTTTTCTAGTTTTACACTGTTGTCTCTTCATGATCTGGAGGACCTAGTCAGGTCCATGAAACCCTCTTGTTCTCCAGAGGACCCCCTCCCACCAAAACTACTAGTTGGGGCTCTTCCTGTGCTGGCGCCATTTATTCTGGAAATCATCAACAACAGCATTTCGACTGGAGTGTTTCCAACCACCTTTACGAATGCAGTTGTACATCCTTTACTGAAAAAAACTGGCCTGGATCATACTGATTTTTCCAATTATCGTCTGATTTCCAAACTCGTTTTTATCCAAGATTATTGAGAAAGTAGTTCACACTCAATTTTCCAGTTACTTAGGAGATCATAGCCTCCTCGATCACTTTCAGTCTGGATTTAGATCTCAACACAGCACAGGAACTGCACATCTTCGTGTATTAAATGATATCCTGGTGGCAACTGATTCTGTTTCCCATGTCCTGTTACTCCTGGACCTCTCTGCTGCCTTTGACACAGTGGACCATGACATCCTACTCAAAAGGTTGGAGATGAGGTTGGGGTTCACAGGGATCCCAATTCATCGGTTCAGATCATATTTGTCAGATAGACAATTTAGTTTTCACATTGACAGTTTTTCCTCTCCATCTACTCCACTTCGCTGGGGTGTGCCTCAGGGTTCGATTCCAGGACCACACCTATTCTCGATTTACTTATTGCCATTGGGGATGATTCTGGCAAACCTTGGAATACGTTATCACCTTTACGCAGATGATTGCCAGATTTATCTGGCTTTAAGTAAACCTGACTCAACACGTCTCCTTGTTGACTGTATTACTGCAGTTAAAGGCTGGCTGTCGGAGAACTTCCTTTGCCTTAACGAAAACAAGACTGACACCATTCTTTTTAATCCAATAAATCCAAAGCATGCACCTGGTGACTATCCTCTACCGTTTTTAAATCTTAAATCCTGTGTACCCAGTCTGGGAGTGAAACTTGACTCTGATTTGTTAATGAGTTCACAAATTAACTCTACAGTCCAGTCCTGCTTTTTCAACTACGTCACATCTCGCGCTTAAAGTCAATAGTCAAACGACCTCAGCTGGAGTCTGTTGTTCACGCCTTTGTAACTACACGGTTAGACTATGCCATCTTACTACTTGCTGGTGTCAGCGTCTCAGCAATCGAGCGTCTACAGAGAGTGCAAAATGCGGCAGCTAGGTTCCTGACAAACACCTCGAGAAGCTGTCACATTTCACCGGTCCTTGCACGCTTGCACTGGCTGCCTGTTAAATACCGCATCCAATTTAAGGTTTTGACTTTTGTATACAACATTCTGAATGGTCAAGCCCTGGCTTATCTTTCAGAACTGAGAAAGCCTATGCTTCAACCAGAAACCTGAGGTCTGCAGATCATTTGCTTTTGTGTGTCCCAAAAATGAGGTATAAATCTCGTGGAGAGCGGGCCTTTGCATTCACTGCTCCTAAACTCTGGAATGCTTTCCCCCTTAGTGTTCGACAGGCCTAAGAACTGGGTCGATTTAAGTCGGTACTGAAGGCCTTCTTCTACCATTTAGCTTTTATTCAATGATCTAGCTATTAGTGTTTTTACGTTTTATTGTGACTCTGCATTTTATTGTTGTATGTTTCTTTTACAATTTTTTAGATTTTACCTCTTACCTCCTATGTGTCTTTTATCTGTTTTTATCTTGGGGTTTGTCCTTTTTACTGTACAGCACTTTGGTCAGCTGTCATGCTGTTTTTAAATGTGCTATAAAAATAAACATGGTATGGTATGGTACTTCCCAAATATGGAAAACGTTGTCTGATAGGAAGATGTTCTGAGGTGATTTGTTTTTATTTTCATGATGACATTTCAGAATCTACTCCAACATTAACAGTTTACTTCTGTCAATTTTCTCAGTGCTGCCCCCTGCTGGCACATCAGAGTTTGGAGCACTGAATGAGGTTCCTGTTGATTTCAGCTACGCTCCTGCAACCTGAAGAGAGAGAATGATCATCTCTGTGAGCGTGTTGAACCCAGTTTTATTGTCCACTCACACATCAGACTGACCTGATAAAGCCATGGACAGACGGAACTCATCGTTCAGGATCTGGAGAACCTCCCTCACGCCCTCCTCCCCCTGAGGCGTCATGCAAAAACAACTGTCTAGCTCTAAATGTTTAGCTTGTAGATTAACACAAAATAAATGTAAAACAAGGAATTCATGATGGTGCAAATTAATTAGCAGCAATGGGCTGAGTCTAGCTGTTAGCTTATCAATTCTGCAGGATCTAAACTATGTCTCTGAACTGAGGCAATCCAGATGCCTTCTACATAGAAACCCATTTGGAAATAGGTAAAATATGTGTCAGACATGATTTTTGAATGAGAAACTTTCTTTTCTCAAGTCAAACAGGTGTTGTTTCCCTGCAGAGATCATGAAAACTGGGAATTTTGTGGAATAAAAGTAAAAAAGAAACTGTTTCTCATTATTCTAACACCAGGGCTGTCTGTGCATCAGACTGCCAAGGCCTTTTGTCTGTATTTAGTCATGTCACACTGCAAACACACAACCATCAACACTGTTGTCCTACCTTGTATGCAAGGCCCCAGACTGCAGGGCGACCAATAAACACACACTTGGCCCCCAAGGCCAGTGCCTTCAGTACATCACTTCCTGTCCTGATCCCCCCGTCCAAATAGATCTCGATCCTGCCCTGCACTGTGTCCACGATCTCTGTCAGGGCGTCGATCTGTCAAACACACCAGGAAACACAAGCAGACATGAACTAGCAGCTCTCCGCGTAACTAATCTCCAATGACTTTCTACAAAATGTGAGAATCGTGGCTAAAATGCAGGCGAACAAAATTAAGACCAAAATGTGCACATCTGTTTGCATCTGTCCCATTTGACCTAGCCATGCGTGCCATTCATTCCAGCTGAACATCATCTCCTCTCCAACAGTTACATCCCTATGAGATGCTGGTTCAACGCCGAGTCCGTTCTGGTTTGGTTTCTGTTATGATGTGTGTGAGGAGTGTGTACCGAGGCTGGGCCTCCATCCAGCTGTCTCCCTCCATGGTTGGACACGATGATACCCTGGACACCGTGCTCCACAGCCAGCTCAGCATCCTCCTTGGTCAGGATGCCCTTGATGATGACGGGGAGGCGGGAGATAGACTGCAGCCAGTAGACATCCTTCCAGCTGATAGAGGGGTCCAAGGTGTTAGCCGGTATCCCATACTCCTCTGCGACACGCGTCTCCTGCTTGTAGTGGGACATGTCCCGTAAGTGTGGACCCATGAGCAGTGGTTGCAGTGTTACAGACCAGTTTAACAGCATTTACTGTATATTTGAGTCTGAAGCATCTGAGGTTTTATATTTATGTTTAACTTACAATATGTAAAAGTCCATGAGTCTTCTTCACAAGCAAAAGTGTTGGTACCCTTTGGTCAAAAAAAGAAAAACCCACAATGGTCACAGACATAACTGGAGTGATAAACAATAATTCTAGGAAATTTAACCAACATAAGTCAGACATTGCTTTTCAACAATGCTTCAACTGACATGTTTAAAAAGAACTAAACTCGTGGAACAGGCTTGGACAAAATGATACCCCTAACTTAACATTTTGTTGCACAACCTTTTGAGGCCATCACTGCAGCCAAATGATTCCTGTGGCTGTGTGTGAGACTTCTGCACCGCTCAGCAGGTATTTTGGCCCACTCCTCCTGAGCAAATTGCTGCAGTTGCCTTTTCCAGACGGCACATTTCAGCTCCTTCCAAAGATGCTCAATAGGATTGAGGTCAGGACTCGTAGAAGGCCCAGGGTACCCGCGGGTCCTTAAAAAGTCTTAAATTTGCTTTTCCAAATTTAAGGCCTTAAAATCCTTAAAAATTACAAATAATCCTTAAATACAGTTTCCAAAGGTCTTAAATTACCAAAGACCCAATAAACAAGATTCTTTTATTTCTATTAAAAAATTGTGAATTTCTAGTTAGTGTTCAGCATTTTGGGTGTATGATGTTCAATTCAATTCAAAAATACTTTATTAATCCCAGAGAGAAATTGATTGGCAAGCTGGCATAAGCAGAACCGTACACATTCAGTTGGTTGTGAAAGGGGGCTATTTTTAGATGAGCACATTAGCTGGTTAAGCTAGTGGGAGCTTGCGCCATGGGGAAGTGCAAGTTTAATGGTAACTGGATGGCTAATCCCATGTTCACGACGTGGTTAGCACCAGTTCCAGGTAATAGCTGGAAATTATAGCTTAAATTTAATTTTAAAAATAGCTTAAATTTGGTCAAAGTGGCCTTAAAAAAGGTCTTAAAAAGTCTTAAATTTAGCTCCCTTAAACCTGCAGATACCCTGAAGGCCACTTTAGAATAGTCCAATGTTCTCCTCTTGGGTGTTGTTAGCTGTGTTTTGGGTCGCTGTTCTGTTGCGAGACCCATGGCCTGCAACTGGGACCAAGCTTTCTGACACTGACCAGCACATTTCTCTCTAGAATCCCTTGATGGTCATGAGGTGTCATTGTATCCTGCACAGATTCAAGAGGCCAGATGCAGAAAAGCAGCCCAGAACACAACAGAGCCTCCTCCATGTTTCACAGTAGAGACAGTGTTCTCTTCTAGATATGCTTTGTTTTTCCATCTGTGAGCATAGAGATGCTGAGTCCTGGAAAAAGTTCCATCTTTGACTCAAATGTCCAGAGGACAGTCTCCCAGAAGCTTTGTGGCTGGTGAACATGTAGTTTGGCAAATTCCAGGCTGGCTTTTTTATGATTCGTTTTCAACAATGGTGTCCTCCTTGGTCTTCTCCCACGTGGTCCACTTTGGCTCAAACATTGACGATGGTGCCATCTGACACTGATGTTCCTTGAGCTTGACGTTCACCTTGGATATCTTGAAAGTTTTTCAGGGCTCTTTCGTTACCGTTCAGATTATTCGTCTCTTTGCTTTGTCATCAACTTTCCTCCTGCAGCCATGTTCAGAAAGGATGGCTACAGTCGCATGGATCTGAAATTTCTGGTCACAGAACATCTAGCTGCTTGGAGATGGTCTTATAGCCGTACCCTTTAACATGCTAGTTTATAATTTTCTTTCTAATCTCCTGAGACAACTCTTTCCTCCACTTCCTCTGGTCCATGTTGAGTGTGGTACACACCATGTCACCACACAACACAGTGACTACCTGGAGCTCCATAGATAGGCCCACTGACTGATTCCAGGATAATAGACTCCTGTGCTGCTAACTAGTGGGCACACCTTGAATTAACATGTTTGTTATACTTTTTCAGACCTGTTCCATGACTTTATTATTCATTGAATAACTCAGTTGAAGCATGGTTGAAAAGCAATGTCTGATTTTCATTGGTTAAATTTCGGAGATTTTTTGATTTAGTATAACTTTTGTCAGATTCAAGTGATTTCTGTGACCATTGTGGGTTTTTCTTTCATTAACTGAAGGCACCAACAATTTTGTCCACTTCTGTAAATGTCACCAAAGACCCGAATGAACTGAATTGATGGTTGTTTTACAGCACTAACATTAGGTAGCTCCTCCACTTGCGGGACCAGTTACCCGAGGACTGGACTGGTTTGATAAATGACCTTTACCTGGAACATCCCTTCAAAGTTCTTGACCTTGAGATGTGGCGGCAGCCTGAACTGATTGCGGATGTCGTTTCTGCGCTTTCCTGTGTAGGGGACGTCAACGGTGAGGACCAGGGCCTTGTAGCCCAGCGCCTCAACTCTGTGCACCAGCTGCTCCGACAGCTTCCTGTCCCGGTACACGTACAGCTGGAACCAGCGGTACCCATTTGGAGCAGCAGCAACAATCTCCTCCACCGAGCAGGTAGAGTATGTGCTGGTGATGTAGCAGGTGTCCAGAGACTCTGTAGCTGTGGAGAGAAATTCTTATTTACTCATAAATGATTAATATACTGCTTTTCTTCAGCCTTTGGTGGATCGTTTACATCTGAACATGTGTCTGCAGCTGGAGGTCTTGGAATCTGATCTCAACTCTCAAAGAACTTCTGTGACTAAGCTGTTTTTTTCTTGGATCTTCTCAGATTTCCTCAGACTTTTCTGTTGTCTGTTTTCTGACTGCATTTGAACCTTTGCATAAAAAACACAATAACTAGCAACTCTTGTTCTTGTTTAAAAAAATCATCAAATAACCCTGCAGCATAATAATCCCCCCTGGGCTCAACGTAAGGAGGTAATCTACCCGTATGCATTCAGATTGTAACGTGCGTGTGATTCATGAGCTCATCCATGATCACAGAGGTGGCTGCAACACTGCCATCTAGTGGTGAATGTGTGAACTGTCATTAGCTCTTATCTCAGAAACCAAATCAGTAAACATCTATCTATCTATCTATCTATCTATCTATCTATCTATCTATCTATCTATCTATCTATCTATCTATCTCAGCTGTGTCTGAGTGAAGTGCACAGTAAATGATGAACTAGGTAGCTTAATGAAATTAGACTGAGTTTAAAAAAAGTAGGCAGTGAAGAAAGCCTTAAGAACGTCTCAAGAACCTAAGTAAACAAATAAAATGTAAGGAATCAAGAGTTGGGGCAGACTTTTGCACAGAGCTGTGTTTTTGGTCCCCACCTCGAGCTGTCGCCACCTCCCCTTCATGCCAAGCCAGGCAGTGAAACGCTGTGGGAGCAATCCCAACAGGAAAGCTGATTTCTGTCCCCAGCACGGTGGTGCGTGTGTCACTCGCCGATACGTCCCGCAGGATCCGAGGCCTCAGTCGGATCCTGGTCATACACAGGAAAACTACAGTCACACATCACCTAAGATATACATCATGTTGTTTCTTTACGTGTTTTAGTTTAAAAATACAGACATCAAAACGTCTGAGATGGAAACAGGCTGGGAATGTTCGACTCTCTTGTAAGTATCTTTCCAGGAATTTAACATGTCATGTTCAACCCGAACCAATCAGAGCAGCAACCAAAGCTTGTTGTAGTGAAACACGAGACCCTGGCTGTGTCTTTATGGAGACACGAAGACAGCTGATGGAGCCGTGGGTGTCACGCTGAGGTTTGGAGGAGTTGGACCCAAAATGCAGATATTCAGAACAACATGAAGCAGGAGCGGATGTGAACGAAAACATTCCTTTATTAGGATGAAATCAAACCAAAATAGAGTCTAAACGGGCACAAAGCCAAAAAAAAAAAAACCCTAGAAAGCCTGGAGACCTGGAAAACCACGAAGGAGGGGGGACAAAACAACGCTGACACGAACAATGGACCAACACCATATTGAGACGCAGACAGGGTTATATACACAAGGGCTGGGTGATTAGGGAATTGTGCACAGGTGGGACCAATAAAACAGAGGAGGAGCACAATGGAGCAGGGGAGGAAACCAGACCTAAGAATGGGGAAGGGAGCAAATGAACTAGAGGGAGAAAACAGACTAGATAAAACACTTTACAGAAGACTAATGATAAAAGGTGTCTAAGGGAAAAACCTAGAGAGCCTGGAGGGGGTTGGAGGGCACACAGGGACACTGAAACCTGGAGGGAACACCTCAGGGGAAAAAACCTAGAGAGGGATGGAGAACACAAGGAGACACATGAGGGGAACCTAGAGTGGGCTGGGGAACACAAGGAGACACATGAGGAGGGATGCAGACAAGGAGACACATGAGGGGAACCTAGAGAGGGATGGAGAACAGAAGGAAACACATGAGGGAGACGCAGGACACAGACCATGACAGTGGGAGCAGAAGTCCAGAAAATCATGACTTGTGGAGAAACTCCTAAAATAGTTTCTCCAGTTAATCATTATGATCCGACCCAACGAGGCAGGCTGCACAGCAGAAGTAAAGATCTGTTGCAATGCTGCAAAGTCCATCAGAAAGGTGATGGGCAGCCCAGCTCAGAGTAATCTAAGGCTTAATGTGTCCCCAAAAATGTTTAAACATGAACATTATGCCTGAACACATTTAGGGGAATTCTGTGAGACAGTAGTTGTTCTACTGTAACAAAACTCATTGCAGAGGGGGTGGAGCATCCTGACCTTTTGAATGCCAGCAGGTTGTCATCTCTGGTGCAGCACTCGTCTGCTCCGGCGGCATAATAATCCCAGGTGGCCTTGGAAAGATGCTCCTTAGCGTACTCCTCAAAGTCTGTGAGGCACACCATGGCCATCTCTGCACAGCGCACTCCCTCTCTGTGGGACCAGAGGGCAGCAGCTTTCAGACCCCCTCAGGAAATAACATTTACTGGATTCTCTTCCATATTTAACCCCTTATAGGGGACTCATTGAAGTTTTTTAATTTTTAAATTTCAACCCCAGGGTGTTATTGTAACCAAAAGTTTACCAAAACCAAAGTTTATTTCTGTTGTTACAATTTTCAAAAATATTTATTTTCATGCAGAAAATCAGAGAAAACAAATGATCAAAACTGGATGTTGGCCCTGTTCTGGTAAACAAAACCCCAAAATAAAACACATGCACAAAAGCATTACTTTTGAACAACATAGATAATTATAAGACACTTTAGAATGATGTAGCTAATTATAGACCATTATATCCCTGTTCAAAAATACAGAATATCACAATTATTAAACAATATAGTATATTTTATAAAAACAGATTACTGTAGAATATTTTTGTTAAGTCATTGAAGAATAGATACCATTTCTGATCAAATATAAATTATTATAATATTATAGAATATTTTATATTTGAGGATCTGCCTCAATGCCATCTTCCTCCTGTTCATCATCATCACTGATGGAGAGATTAGTTGACACAAAAACTGTCTTCTATTTTCCAGGGAAATCTTAGTTTAAAACTGCAAAATATGTTCAATATCATAATTGTTACTATTAATGTTACCATGAATATTAATATTATGTCTAAAAATAACAGATTTTATCAAAAAATAGACATAATTTCTTGTAGTTATTCAGGGCGTATGTTTAAATATGGCAGATTTGATTTTCATGCTAAGATTTCACCAACTTCATTGACTTTAACATTTACTACACATGTATCCTTATTCAGCAAAACTAGTCAACCTGGTGATGGGAGAGTTTCATAAACCTAGCATGGTTAGTTTTAGAGATCTGACCGTGAACATGAGAGGAGACTGAGGAGTTTTCTGGTTCTGCAGACACACCAATATTTGGCGCCTTATAGCCCCACACTGATTGGTGGAATGGCGCCATGGTGCAAACTGTGACTAGCTTGATCTCTGATGATTGTTGAGTGAAGTCCTGTAATCCTAAGAGTTTGTGAAAAGGCACACCGACATCATTTATGATGTGAGCGGAAGTGTCTAAACATAGACGTTGGGCCTGTAAAGGGTTAAGTAGATTTTTGACTGAATGAGCTCCAGAGATTAACACAAACAGCAAAATCAGATGTTTTCTGGAGCATTTTCACCAGATTAGAGTTAGAACAGAATCGCCAAACCAGCAGGTGAGGTTCGGAGTAAAATATCGTCAGACTTACCTTAAGCGATGAACAAAAGCTCTCGCTCTCGACTGGTGCAGCAGCCAGAACACTAAACTGAAACTTTAGCCAGTTCAGTCAATCAGTAACTCACCAGCTGGGCCGCTGCACTTTGACATGGAAGGAGCTGCTTTAGGTGTATTTACCACAGTTGAGTTTTTATCAGACTTACAGAGAACAGCTGAAGCCTCTGACGGTGCAGGAGGAGGCCCCTGCTGGTATTGTTAACACCAACTGGAAATATGCTGATGGTGAGTTTAGCTGTACTGGGAACAACTGGAGTCTGCTGCCATGGGGACAAAACCAGCTTTGTTTATTTACACTTTATTGTTCTGCTTCATTCACAAGATTCAAATTATTTAGATAAATTAAAATAAATAATTTTGTTTCAACAAAAACAAAACCCAGTTACCTTTTGTGTCATTAGATTAAATGCAGCAACATTTGATTTTTCTTTGAAATTTAACATTTTGGATATAAAACGTCTTTATATTCCCTTTTTTCTCTTTTAACTCAATAAAACTAGATAATGATGATGGTGGTTTTTTTGTTTCTTAAAAAAAACATAACGTTTTTAATTTAATTGAGATAAAACATAAAAACATGTTAAACATTTAATAAAATGTAATGCATTAGTAGAAAAATAAAGAAATTTTAAACAACAAAAGAAAATAAAGCTAACTTATAATACATTGTTTTATATTGCATTATGAATAAACTAGTAAATTGGGATTGGATCGAGTATCTCTACTCAAACGTCTACTAGCATCATATTCTATGACTGTCATGGCCGACCGGCCTCTGCAGCACCCTCTGGTTCCCATTTTTGAGAAAGGAGACCAGAAGGTGTGCTCCAACTACAGAGATCACACTTCTCAGCCTCCACGCTAAAGTTTACTCCGTCTCTGTAAGAAGGTCTTTTCATCGCTGGGCCAGTTTTTACTAACTAATATAAATGTCAGCACTCAAGTGTAGTCCCGATGTCAATGAAAGCAGTAGTGGTCCAGCCAATACTGGAGAAGACGGGCTCTGACACGTCTGTTGTTCTACCTATAGACCTATTTCCACCTCTAAGTTGGTGGAGAAGGTTGTCTATCAGCAGTTGGTGTCTTATTTAGATGGAGCTGATATGTTTGAAAATTTTCCATCTGCGTTAGGCCTGGGCACAGCAGTCTTCTCTGTTGATGGTGTCATCATTGTAGCAATGGATCAGGGTGCAGCTGTGGAAATGCTGTTATTGGACTTAACGGCAGCTTTTGACACAGCTGACCGTGACATTCTGCTCTGGAATGGTGGATGGGGATCACTGGGTCGGCTCTTCACTGGCTGCGGTCGTATCCTCAGGGTAGGTTTTGTGTCATGGTGGGTGAAGCCTCGTCTCCCTGGGAGGACCTGCGGTAGGGAGTCCCACAGGACTCAGTCCTTGGCCCACTTATCTTTTCCCTTTATTTACTCCCTCTGGGGATCCACCTACGCTAGCATGGCGTTAAGTTTAATCTGTATGCAGATGACTGCTAGATTTATTTTCCCCTGTGTCAGGGGACAGGAGGCTCTATTTCCATTCTGCTGACTTGTTTGGATGGCTGCTAGTTATTTTCATGTGAATGAAGGTAAAATTGAGCTCCTCACGTTCCTCCCTACTCACAAAGTGACTGAGGGTGCTGTTACTGGTTCTGACCTTCTTTCACCATATCAGAAGTCAGTTGTCACTAGACTGGGGGTGGGACTGGACTCAGAACTCAAATCTCACATTAATTTGGTGGTGAGGTGATGCTTCTTTCATTTGCACCGGCTAGCTAAAATCAAGCCCATGTTGTCTAGAACTCATCTTGAGTCCGCACTTCATGCGTTTGTCCTACCCAGGCCTGATCATTGTAATGCGCTATATGCTGGACTGATGCAGACAGTCCTGAGATGGCTGCAATTGGTCCAGAACTCGGCAGCTAAAATCTTAACTGGGATGAGGAAAAGAGAACACATTACTCCTGTACTGGAGTCGTTGCACTGGCTTCCTGACTGTTGACTTGTTTGGATGGCTAAATTATCAGGCTAAATTTAAGATCTTATTGTATGTTATCTGGTCCCTACGGGGTTGTGACCCTCTTTGGCTGTGTGGTTAAAACGACACATCCCTTCACGATCTCTTTGTTCAGCTGAGGAGGAGTGTGTGATTGTCCGGCCTTCTAGACACAGAACAAGAGGGGAGTGGGCTTTTCCGGTTCTAACCGCTACTCTCTGGAAAGAGTGGCTGCTGGCTATAAAACAGTCTCCATCACTGGATGTTTTTAAGACTCAAGCTTATGTAAGCTGATGTTTTTAATCCTTACATTGATCTTTTTTTTGCTGTTTTATTGTAGCTTTTCTTTCTTTTTTCTATGATCTTGTTGAATGGGCTGTTTAGCAACTTGGACTCCTGCAAATGTAGTGGAAGGTGCTTTATAAATTATAAATGACCCGCGCTTGTATAGCGCCTCTCAGAGTAAGGACTCCAAAGCCCTTTATACTACAGTGTATTATTCATCCATTCACACACTGGTGGTGATGAGCTACAATGTAGCCACAGCTGCCCTGGGGCGCACTGACAGAGGCAAGGCTGCCGAGCACAGGCACCACCGGTCCCTCCGACCACCAGTAGGCAAGGTGGGTTTAGTGTCTTGCCCAAGGACACAACAGCAGAATTATCTGTCCGGAGCCGGGATTGAACCTGCAACCTTCCGATTACTAGACAACCCGCTCAACCTGTTGAGCTACTGCTGCCCCGATAAATAAAATTTGATTGATTGAAGGTAAAGGAGAGAAGGATAAAAGTGGTTTTAGTCCTGGCCATGGAAATACAGCTCCTGAGGTGGGTGGATTCCCAGCTCGGGTCACTTCAAGAGGACATTAAGTATCTCTGGGTCTTGTCGAGGTCAACAAGCAGACCGGGCCAGCTTCACCAGAATCAGCAGGGTCACTGGAGGAGAGCCAAGGGGGAGGTGTTTTTATTTTATCCTCTCTGGCCTGGAAACATCTCAAGGTCCCATCAGAGGAGCTGGAGGCTGCAGGAGCGAGGATGTTCGGGCTTCCTTGCTGGGACTGCTGTGTCTGAACCTGAACCCAGATGAGTGGCTGGTGATGCTACTGGGCCTGTAGTCCCTAAATGAGCTCTGACTGTGCGTGAAGCTGCTGGAGCATCCAGGACAGCAGCAGCAGGTTGTAGTTTAGATGTAAACAGCAAAGGTGAAGTTTACGTGTTAATATATTCACAAGTGTGTTTTAACAACCTTTAAAAACACACGTTTATCCAGGCTGAAAACACACAGGTAATTACTGTTTGGTTTTGATTTTGTCAGAGTATACTCACTGGTTACAGCTGCACATGGTTTATCAGGACTGCTCATAACCTTCTACCAGTCTGGAGACGAAACAGAGAACAGGTGTTAAAACAAACTACAGCTGCTTCTGACGGTGAAACTGTTACAGCGTCCTGATCTGAGTGGGTCCAGTTACGATACGTCTGAAATATTCATATCATGTTCCTTCATAAAAACTGGAATATAGAATCTCTTCTTAGCTCTAAATCAATGTTGTGATGAGTCCAGGCAGAGGTGTAAAGTGTTTGACTACAGAAGTTTACAAAAGAGATAAGAATTGTTTCACCATTCAGATTTAAAGGCATACTATGCCACATTTTCATATTTTTAAACAATTTCCTTGAGCCAGTATGCTAAAATGACCCTTTACATGGTTAATGAAAGGTCACTCACACCCCTACCACCCCCTGTAACCAGAATATTGCACTTGCAACTTCAGAGTTTCCAGGGCACCCCCTGTTAGGGGGTGGGGGTGGGTGGGGGTGGGGGGGTCAAAAGCTGCCATTAAGTCCAGAGACTATAGAAAGAAATCATGAACACAGTTGATTTGTTTAATTTAGCGATGAATCACTCCTGTAGAGACTAATGAAGGCTGAGGAGACATCTGAGTTGTTAGCTTAAGCTTTAAAATGATGAACGTACAGCAAGGAGATAAGTTTCACATTTGCTTTTACTAACGGACACTAGGGGATGCTAACAGCAAGCCAAAACTGCCTTTTATTCCTTTACCCATTTCTCCAAACTGAGGTTGTTCAAAGAGCTATACCAAATACGATATTTCTCAACTTGAAACATCTGAACTGTCTTTGATGTTGTAGCTAATTGCAGCACCAGTAGAGCTAAAACGATAGAATAACTCAGAAAGAATCAAAGGGAGAATCAAGTGTTTAGAGTTGATTTAACCATGTAGGAAAAGTCTTTCACTTCCGGTGAGAAACACTAGAGGGCAGTATAATCCTAAAGGAAACTTCAAGCTTCACTCAGCATCTGTAGGAAACCATTCTTAAGGCTAAGTGACACGATGGTGATAGGAGTCAGGTGGTGTGTGATGTGTGAGAGAACGCCTCTGATTGGAAGCTGATTGGCTGCTGGGAGCATGATGTTCAGGTGAGTTTCTAGAAAACACCTGTGGTTTCTACTGTTCACCAATAAACAGATGAAGGAAAACTCCTGGTTCCAAAGATGGTATCTGTGCTCCATTTACCCTAAACCCTTCTGATAACTTTGGTTTATGTTCATGTAACTAGTAGAAAAATCAGGATGAAATAAAAAGTGACTCTATTAATAAAAAAATAAATCAATTTGAGCATCTCACCTGAAGTGGAACTGGATATCAGACCTTCACTTTGTGTCAGGGCTCATCCCTGTGTGACTGGGTCATGTTAGCGCCCCCCCCCAACAAACACACACCCTACTGTGTGAGGCCCCGCCCGCTCTGGCTCAGCACCAGCTAAACTCCTCGTCAGCAGTCCTGTCCTGGCCTCTTTTGTTAAAGAAAAAAAAACATTAATAAAAGTATTTTCTTTCTTTTCTCTCATCTTTCTCATCTGGTGTTGAATCTCTGCTTTCCTTCTTTCACCATGGCCTTTTCCTTCCCTTCCTTTTCTCTCCTCATACATAGAATCCACTGTAACACATAAATCTTGTGTTTTAATCCTGTTTCCCTGAGGAAACACCCACATGCATCCTCTTTAGGCCTGAGAAGGGAACGTTGTTGACTGAAGGGGACCGGAGAGCACGTTCCCTGAGCTCTGACAGGACCATCTTGTTGTGATTGCGTCTCTGCTGT